CACCATCCTGCGCCAATAAACAACTAACCACTTCATATGTATTTGCCAAATAAAGTTTGAGTGGCCGACCTTGTTTGGGAGGCATCAAGACTGGAGGATGAACCAATGCCTGCTTGATAGCATCTAAAGCCGTTTGTTGGTCGGGACCCCATTCAAAGGCAATTTTTCCAGCTTTCAACAATTTAGTAATGGGTCTGACCTTGCCAGCAGCATTAGAAATGAAACGCCTCAAATAATTCACCTTACCCAACAGACTTTGGATTTCTGTAACCGTCTTGGGTGGCCGACTATCAAGAATGGCTTTAGCCTTGTTGGCATCAATTTCAATTCCTCTCTCATGAACTAAGAATCCTAGAAAGCTCCCGGCTGATATTCCAAAAGCACATTTGGTTGGATTCATCTTCAACTTGTACTTCTTCATTCTTTCAAATGCCTCTTCAAGATCTCTCAAATGTTCGTCAAAACTGGCAGATTTAACTATAACATCATCAATATACACTTCCATAGATCTGCCAATTAAATCATGAAAGATTGAATTCATGGCTCTTTGGTAAGTTGCCCCTGCATTCTTTAACCCGAATGGCATGACTGTCCATTCATAAATACCCAAAGCCCCTGGGCATCTGAATGCTGTCTTAGGAATGTCTTCTTCTGCCAAGAATATTTGGTTATAACCTGCATAGCCATCCATCAGACTAAGGATTTTATGCCCTGCTGCTGCATCTATCAGCATGTCGGCCATAGGCATCACGTATTCGTCCTTAGGGGTAGCTAGATTCAAATCCCTGAAGTCGATGCATATCCTTATCTTACCATTTTTCTTGACCACTGGCACAATATTAGCCAGCCACTCCGCATAACGGCAAGGTTGAATGAAACCCACTTTGAGAAGTTTTTGGATTTCTTCCTTGATTTGAGGCATCAGATCTGGACTCATTCGCCTTGGAGGTTGTTTGTAAGGTTTACAACCTTCTTTGATGGGCAATCGATGCTCTATTAGACTTCTTGTCAAACCAGGCATCTCTGAATAATCCCACGCTAAACAATCAATGTTGTTTCTAATAACTTCAAGCATCATTGTTTGTTGCTCTTTAGACAAATAACCACTTAACCTGATCACTTTTGGAACCAATTCGGTTCCTAAATTAAACTCCAATAACGGGTCTTGTGATGAAGCTGTTGGTTCTGTTTTTTCTAATAAGTCGGGCCAACGAAATTGTTCATCTTCTTGGAGGTGAACATCCAGAATCTCTTTATTATTTTCTACTTTATGTAATAACTGTTTTAAATAGAACTTATTAATAAGAGAACTACATACTTCTAAAGTTGTATCTTCCATAACAAACAACTTATACAGAAATGGGTGTGGCTTTATCATGAGCCATACAATAAAGGTGTTCTTTTAATAGAACATCGAGTTCTGGCCAGTGACTTTATAACCCTTGTTTGGGTATTCCCTGGCCATATACAACTGAGACATCGGAGCCAAATGACTAGAATAAAACACTGACTCTTCCACTTGTTCTGTTACGTCGAATGGGTTGTCATTCGCTTCCATTTTAAAGACCTGATTTCCTTCCCAGAACATTAACTGTTGGTGCAAGGTTGATGGCACACATTGAGAGGCATGAATCCAATCTCGTCCCAGCAAAAGAGAATATGTAGTATCTGCGTCCACAATAAAGAAAACAGTGGAAATTTTCTTTGGTCCGACCTCAATTGTGGCAACCATCATACCTTCAGGCTTGGTCGGCTGCCCTGTAAAACTTGTCATTTCGAATTCCACAGGGGACAGATCATGAATTCCTTTCCCTAGCTTCTTGAGAGTCTTCAATGGCATAACATTAAAGACTGCTCCATTATCCACGAAAACCTTTGTGATTGGTTTCCCACAAATGTGAGCATTAACATACAGAGGTTTCAAATGGGAGTTCGCACCCTCTGGAATAGGAGGAAACACAATTGAAGGTGCTTCCGACTGAGGCTCAGAATCTGTAATCTTTGCCCACTCTGTTTCCTCTAATTCGCCATCTGCCAAGAATGCCCATAAAGGTTCGTCCATAGTATCATCTACCAGACTCGCCCACGTCGGTTCATCACTCATCTGGTTAACCTCTGTCATTCGACAAGGGATTCGTGGTCCCAGACGAGATTTAACAGATCTTGAATTTTCCTCTGTAGGCACCACTTCTTCCTTCGTCTCATTTCGAGATTGAACCGTCAAGGATTCAATACGAAATTCTTCCAGAGATGGATTGATGTTGATCCGTTCACAATGTTGGCATCTAAAACCTTTAATTATTTCATCTGCCATTCCTTTACCTTTCCCCTGTCCCGACGAACTTCTTTTGGTATAGTCGGAAGCTCCTAATCCGTCCTTCGGTTGCTTTCCTGACCAGACCCGACTGGACCGACTTATTGGAGACTGAATGGCCGCTCCCTGCTCGTCGGTCGTTTGTTCTGTAAAGACTCTAATGGACTGATCTCCTGTCAAGTGGTCGGCCGCATTTTGTTCGTCGGTTCTTTGTTGCACTGCAGGAACTCGTTTCCCATACTTTGCAGCATACCTGCGTTTGGCATTGCGAATCTGTGTACGATTCATACCTGGGAAACGAGGATCTATATCAACGGGTAAAGGCTTTTTATTTCGAGCCCAATCGTTCCCGACTGAACCCGTTTTTCTGGTCGGGTGGTCTCTCACTAAAACCTTTTCCTTCACTTCCACATTAAAAGAACCGTCTGGACGGTCCCATTTTTCAGCGACTGGCCTTTCAACAACCTTGAGTCGTTCTTCCGGTCGGCTGCTATTTGGCCGATTCCCTTTCTTTTTTCCGGGACTTGCCTGAGTTTGCTCCCCTGTTTGTCCACTATTGACCGAACTTTTCCTTGTTTCCGAACTTGGTTGGATGTCAACCATTGCAGTTGTTACTTTCGGAAATGGTTGCTGGTCTACACCTAAAGTGATGTATTTGAGCCGACCTGTCTTGATGGCTTTTTGAACTTCCTTCCTAAAATGAGTACACTGACTTGTAGTGTGTGTGAAAGAATTATGCCACTTACAATATGGTCTCCCTTTGATTTCTTCTTTAGTGGCAAGTCTTTGGCCCTTTGGAATACGGATCTGCCCATCAGTCAGTAGGATATCAAAGATTTCATCAGCTTTCGAACTATCAAAGGTCGGTTGCTCCTTTCCTTCAGATCCTGGTACTGGCTTCAATTTAGGACATACATACGGTTTTCCAGAAAGGATTTCGGCTGCCATCTCTTCTGACTGATTAAAATCAAAGTCGCATGTCTCTGTTCCCATACTCGCCATATGTTGGCCTCTATTACGCCTGTTATGCTGATCTTCCTCTCTAAACAAAGACTCTAGACGTCCTGCCTTGGATGCAAGATTTGCCAAATCCTCAACATCCAGGGCAGTGAGTGCCTTTCTTAAACGATTATGCATATTCCGGACCACTAAATTGGTCATCTCTTTCTCACTGATTACCGTAGGACATCGTCCCTTTATCAATCGCACCCTTTCTATAAACTGTGAAGCAGTTTCTTCTGGATACTGTCTCAATTCAAGTAAATCAGTTAAAGAAACAACTGGTAAAGGATTAAAGAATCTAGCGTGAAATGCCATCTCCAATCCTTCCCATGTCTGAATTTGTCCAGGAGGTAGACTTACAAACCATGAAAACGCCGTTCTGGTAAGAGACAAACCAAACAGCTGTAACTTATAAAAAGGGTTATTGCCAACCTCTCCTAATTGTGCTGTGAACCGACCAACATGTTCTATGGTGGAAGATCCGTCCTCCCCTGAGAATGCATGAAAGTCGGGTGGTCGAAAATTCCTTGGGAGAGGGTGTTCATGAATGATCCTTTCTGGGAAAGGTCTTTGATATGCAGGGCGGTTAGCCATCTGAGGAGTTAATCCATACTGATCCCTTAATATATGTGCAATCTCATCAGGATCTACATGAAAGCGTTGATGATCAGGAACCTGGAACGGATCCTGCACAGGAATATGAATCGGATCATGTATATATCCTTCAGGCCTGTCCTCCCTTGTATTGTTCGGCTGCGAACTGGTAACCCTTGGTCCCAGTGGAACATTGTTGGGAAAAGTCAAAGGAGTTTTTCCCCGATCCATTCGGTTGGGATTTGTGGCACTTGGGAATGTACTATCCACGAATGATGGCCCTGCGAAATTTGCCTGTGGTCTGGACGGTGACACTCCTGGTGGCGTTTGAGTGGGTTGAAGACTAACCCTTGACAATGCTTGATCTATCATGTTCTGCAACTGACTCTGTTGCTCACGCAACATGTTCGTTTGTTGCTCACGCAACATATTCTGCATAACCAAGGTATGCTGGTTGTTCATTTGTTGAACATAAGACCACCAATCAGTTGGTGGTTGTGGGATTTCCCCGGCATTTGGCACAATGGGTGGTGGAACGGATTCTCCCACCGGTGTCGAAGATGCTTGCGGTTGTGACCCTGCCATATGGACCCTTCCGATGATTCGGCCGGATCTAAGACGTATGAAATTATCGCCGGAATTGGAATGAGCAATTTTGTCTTTCTCCCACTGTGGTCGCCAATTTGTTGATGTATGTTTTCAACAAAAATAAAGTAAAATTCAAAGATATAGAAAATATCCTTAAACTTGATTAATTAGTGCCTGAGATTAGGAATCTCTAAACACTGTAACGTACAGAAACTAAACTGGAAATTAAAAGACTGAAATTTAAAGTGGTGATCCCCAAATCTGACTTTGCTTTGTTGAAGTTGATTGAAGATCCCTTGCCAAATGATGATCCAAATCCTTAAATATTCCCTGGGAAACCGTACTGAAAACCGTCACCCGAACGGTTACAACGTCTCCTTCTCAACCGTCTTCCAACCTTTCTTATGCTGACACGTGTCCCCAGCAGACCAAAATTCCCTATATTTCACTCCTTGAGCCGACCACAGACCTTCCGCTCTTTTGGCCCGACTTCGTCCTTCGTCCGACCTACTTCTTCGCCCGACCCCACTTGGGCCGACCTCCATATCAACCGCCCCCTGTCTTTGATCAAAGGCCTCCGTGTTTGTCCGACTCCTCCTTCTATCCGACCTACGGGTTACCCGACCTGCGGATATCCCATCTCAACGACTTTCCGTCTCGAGGACCTCCCGACTTGAAAACCTTCCGACTTGAGGTCTTTCCGTCTTGCGGACCTCCCGACCGGAAAACCTTCCGACTTGAGGTCTTTCCGTCTTGCGGATCTCCCGACCTGAAGACCGTCCGACTTGAGGTCTTTCATCTTGAGGGCCTCCCGACCTGAAGACCTTCCGACTTGAGGTCTTTCCGTCTTGCGGACCTCTCGACCTGAAGACCTTCCGACTTGAGGTCTTTCCGTCTTGCGGATCTCCCGACCTGAAGACCGTCCGACTTGAGGTCTTTCATCTTGAGGGCCTCCCGACCTGAAGACCTTCCGACTTGAGGTCTTTCCGTCTTGCGGACCTCTCGACCTGAAGACCTTCCGACTTGAATTTTTCTTAGAAATAAATAAATAAATTTATTTTCCTTGATTTCCTCACGGTGTCCTTCAGCCAGTTCAATCAACCCTATTGCCAGGCCCATTCCTCGTTTTACCTTGGGCTTTTAACCTAATTCTAAATTTCGTACGTAACAATAATAATAATAATAATAATAATATCTGATATTTAAAAACATGAGGGACCATTTTCTTCCAACATTTAGATCATATTCAATAAACCATCATGCTGTGTTTGGTTGTGGATTTTGTTAGGTTTTTTACTACTCTCTTTAGCCGCTAAATTTATACTTATTTTCATTTGTACAAAAGAAATTGATATAATTAGCAAACGGAGAAAGTCTTACCAAAACAAGAAAATTCAAATATCAAATAAAATAATAAAAATTGGCTCCGTTCACGCAATGTTTTTAGATTAAATGATTTTTAATGTATAGTATAAAGAATTATGTCAAAATATAAAATATATTATTTTAAAATAAAATAAAATAAAATAAAAGTTCAGTATGAGGAATCGCAAATCAAACTAAACCTTACTATTTAAATCTCAAAGTCAAAACTCAAACTCGCAACCAAAACAAGCAAAAATGGAACTATCTACAAGGATGTATAGTTTGGAGTTAGGATGGTTAGGTAGAATATTCAAATTTTCAAATGGAAAATTTTGCAATTCGAATACGATACAAAATAACATAAATAACATTTTTTAATATTCAACGGATTAGGCGCCGACATATGGACTATCAAATTTTCGAGTATTTATAACTTAATAAATATACATATATATATATATATATGCATATACTTCTTACCACATTTTTGAGTTTTAGCTTTGGGTTAATCTACCCTAACTCGAAATTTCGAAGACAAATATATTCAATCTAAAATAAAAGTTTAACATGCTCATATATTGGCTCATCTTGTAGGACTAAATCCTATGATAAAACTTCTAATTCTATCTATAAAAGATTTCTAATGTTAGATGAAACATTTAACACAATATATATATATATAAACATATTTTATTCACTCACAAAAAATCAATAATTCAATCATAAAGTATTATTTTTTTTATTACTTATATGATTTTTCATATCTAACATATATAAAAAAAATATATATATATATATATTCGTCCAAAAATATAAAGTGAACAAGCCTTTAATCTTTTTCATTCACATATGTATTAATATATTTACTTGATTTTTAGTGCTTTAGATTATTTTTAAATTTGAAAGCTTTGAAGTAAAAAGGGGTATTCGACACAATATTTTGAATAAAAAGTAGACATTCGATTTTTGTATAACACCTAAACATAATTACAATATGAATTGAACAGTGAAAAAATAAAACTGAAAAATACAAGAAGACAGCAAAAATTATAAATACTATTTCATGTATCAATTTTTTTTCGATCGCGGATAAAACACATAACGAATGGTAACAATAATAACGAGGCTTTCGAAGACAACATGGTACCATGGAAAACCTTTCGACACAAAATTATACAGATCTTTTATAGCAAATTATTCTAATTTAGTACAAATTTTGCGTCGTAGTTTTGTTCAAGTATAAAATATATTTGAAGATCCTTCCAGGTCGAGATTCAAGAATGTTCATATATGATTTGAAGAGTTAAAACCTAAAGAAAGGGCCAAGGAGAAGACAACTGTAGAGAAAGAAAATGAAATGGGACCGACTATTTTTAACTCACATATTGTTGTTTCTCAAGAAGGCTTCCACAGAAATCAAGATCGAATCGCTCCTCCGGTGGATCGCCGATGCAGTCAAAAACTGCATCGGCATTTACAAAATCCTCGTCGCCCGTATACCTTGAGTTTCAAAGAAATTCATTTGGTACTTAAATTTGGTAGAGGATAAAAATATGCACACATAATTGTGAAAAAAATGCTTTGAAAAAATAAAAATAAAATTCAATAATTCTTTTACTATGCAATCTCTCAATTTTCTCTTAAAATGGCATATTCAAACATTTTTTTCCATACAAAATCTCATATACAACAACTATTTCGACTCAAAAATATCAAAATCCAAAATATACCATACATATATATATATAAATAAATAAATAAAAACCATGAACATTTTTGTTTTTGTATAGTTTTTGGTTTTGATATTTTTTCGTGAAATAGTGCTTAAATGCAATGTTTGGAATGAAATGAGGCTATGTTCTCATCCAATTTTTCAAATCTTTTAGGTGAAGAAACCGTGAATCGACATTTTTTTAAGAAAATTGAGAAATAGAATAGTAAAATATTAGAAAAATAAACAAAAAAATAGGGTTTTGGGATTTTGTTGTTTTAAGGTGAAAATATATTTTAATGTGATTTTTTTATAGTAAAAAATAAAAAATGTACAAAAGATTGAATAATGAAAACATCAAAAATAAAATTTCGCATCAAAAATTTATTTTACCTAACAATCAACAAAAACCAAACCATGCACAACCAAAGACTCAATTCGATGATATTTACTAACTTGTAAGAATAAAAAGGAAAAAAAATACCGAAAGATTATGGCAGTATTCAAAAACCTAAAAAAAATCATTTAATTTTTGTGTTGAGCTATTAAAACTCACTTTATGGGACTAACTTATAACTTTTTTTATTATTCAATTGAAATATGTGATTAGATCGGATAAAAATTTACGGAAGATTTTAACTTACCCGCTCTTTGTTACAATGCACTTCATTCCTGCGGCTTTGGCTGCAGCGAGGCCGATGGCGCTGTCTTCCACAACGACGCAGCTGAAACAAGTAATGGCGAAATGTACAGAATACTAACATTCTTAAAATTACAATGAACTTTTTGAGGATGTCTTTTTTTGACGACAATAATAATAAGAATAAAGGGCTGTCTGTTGTACCTTGATGGCTCGACGCCTAATGTATCTGCTGCTAAGAGATAAATTGCCTGCCATAAAAGGCATCGATGTAATGATCATAATGCAAAGGTTTCAAATTGGGTACAAGGTTGAGAAAGCTTACTGGATCGGGCTTCTTGCGAGGTACAATGTCTCCGGCAAATATCTGGATTTTTTCTGCTCGAGATTGTCCTAACAAGAATGAAACTACAGCAGAGACCTGAAACTCGATCACCCAATAAAAAATTAATTGTCAGTGTAAGCATACATGTAGTATCATTAAAATACATGTAACTTAAGCCATTTTGATATTTCGAATTAGTACAGATTGGAACACAGGGTTCGGAGAATTAAAGAATAAGAAAAACTTAAGAACCTGATAAAGCATACCGACTTCTCATTTGAAGTGCTGCAGACTGCGACTTTAACTCCATTTCCAAGCGCCTGATCGACTAACCTGTTGAGTGAAGGATTCAAATTTTCTGAATTGGGAACTATCTTCATTGAGCACGTATACAAACAAATACACGGGCGGGTTCTTCAATTGTTGCTATTTCATGGAAGAAACTAAGGATGAAACTTCGAGAAAATTAAAAAAATCTTCTATGTATACCCCGGTATCACTTTTGTCCTATATTTATCTCTTGGGCAAAATATATCGTATTTGCATGCAGAAGTAGCTATTTTTGTCCTTTGGCCGTTCACACCACGCGCGGCCAAATGATAAAAATAGCTACTTTTGCAAACATGTGAGGTATATTTTACTAATAAGATAAATACAGGACAAAAGTGATAATATTATATACATCGGGATATTTTTTGCAATTTTCCTGATGGAATTTCATAGCTCACAACTACACATTTGAACAAGAAGAATAACAGCATCTCAATACTAGAGTTTTATCAGCATATTGGTACTATTTCTTGTGCAATCGAAAACTATTGTGCTCTAAAAGTTTCAATTCACATGAATTGACACATTCATTTATAAAATTTTACCAAACTTCTATTATTCATTGAAAAATTTTCCTTCAAAAATATCAAATCAAACATTTATTTTCACTTTTTATATTATTATACTAAAAATCAATTTTATATTCAAAATATCGCATCCTATAACTATTCAAATTCAAAATTTTTTATTATTCAAATCTCAAACCAAAATCCAAACTCCGAAACAAACAGCTTACTTTGCAACACCGGGTCGGAGTGGCAACAACTTCTTCTCAATAAGAGCCATGAAAAGGTCTGTCTTTCGCTTGTGCAGTGATGCTACGAAGTCCTTTCTCTCTTGTTCGCCCTTTGGAGCATTTTCAGGCCAACCGACCTTATTAAAATATGCCGTCATCCTAGAAAAGAAACCGTAAATCTTTAGCAAGAAAGCTTCCTCATCGAATTATGACACTCTTCAATGAAGAAATGCTGAAACAAGAAAGTCAAGAAGTTCGAATATGGATTATGCATTTTGTTTAAATAGACATTTGGTTCACATATCGTAATCAGAATTTATCCAACGTTCCAAAAGACTTCCAACAATTTCCAAATTTTTTGTAGTCATATTTCTACCACTCTCTCTTAACTATTTCTACAGCTGATTTTTTTGTTCCGTAATTGAACCTATTATCATTTTAATCTCGTAACAGATTAGTTTCGTAAGTAGAAATTTTAGTCCTCCAACACCGGAGATGCCTACATGTCACCCGTGTTGCTTGCCGGAGGACACGTGTTCGTCAGGTCAGCGTGGATTTTATTATTTTTTTTTTCGAATATTTAATTTTAAATTTATACAAAAAAGACAAAATGAATTAATTTATTTTTTAAAAAAAGTTTAGGAAAAAAAAAGTAAACATTCGCGTGTCCACCGGATGCCGATGCCGCTAACTTGGCAACACGTATCCTCCGACGAACCACGTGGGTGCCACGTAAGCATCTCCATGCAGGAAGACTAGAATTGCAAAAATTTTCACCAACAGGACTAATTTGAAACAGTGACTATAAAATCAATCTACCCTATCTTCAATTCATTTCTTTACTGTTTTCGGAAAATCCCTAAACACAGAACACCCCCAAACCACAAACCACAAACAACATAACAAATACAGAATTCAAATCAATAAATACAATTCAAATTCAGTAAAACAGCTCTTCCCAAATCTGCAACAATGCTAAAGTAAAGATCTAACAGAAATCAATCAGCCATAATACTGATCTTACCTTTCTTTGCCTCCCCCAATTTTAAGCAATTCACCATATAAATCAACATCCCAAGTCACTCCCAATTCTTTCTGCATCATCATAAACCAACAAACCAAATCCAATTCAATTAAAAAGCAGTCTCCCAATAGCAGAAAGCAGCCAAAACCCCAAATAATTTCAAAAAAAAAAATCGAAATACCTCCGCAAAGGTTTCATTGAACGAGACGCGGTGGCCGTCTTTCTCAGTGTCGACCAAGACGCCGTCGCAATCGAACAAAAGCGCCTGAGGAAGAGACGATTGAGCAGCAGAAGCCATACATTTCGTCACTCGAAAAGCCCTATCCCTAATTCCGCCCCTTTTCCCGATTTCGGAAGTGGATAATCTCAAAACTCCGCCGCTAATTCGGCAGCTTCGCGGCGGCGAATAAAGAGACGTTCTGGCGAAGAAGAGAGTGTTGAAGGAGGAGGAAGAGGACGAAGCAGTTATCGGCGAGGGAGAGATTGGATTTGCTGCCATTGAAGGATTAATTTTGTGAGTGAGAATGGGCGTAGAGCAGAGTGGAGGAGATGAGAGCCATTTGTTTTTTAAGGCAGAAAGAAATCAGTTATCCACACGTTTTTTAAAAAAAATAAAAATAAAAATAAAAAGATTAAATAACGAAATCCTAACGGTCATTTTTTAAGCTTTGATGGTGAGAATTATAGGTGTGTGTTTTCTTTAGAGATGAGAAATGTTTGGAATTAAGTTGGGATTTTAAGAATAGGAATAAATAAATTGAAATAATGGTTTATATGATGGAAATAAAACTTATATATATTTGGTTTTCAATGATGAATTGAATTTTTTTATATTATACTGTTAAATAGAAAATAAGTATTTTATATTCTGATATTAGAGAAAATTTTCTTAATTCTGCCGAAATTCGTTTAAAAAGTTCCTTTTTAGTTAGTGTTATTAAATATTTGTGATCATTTTGTGATATATATATTTCGCAATTATTGCATACTAAATAAGTAAATCAAATTCAAAAATAATGTGAATTCAATTTTTGGATATTTTCCATAAATAATAATAAAAAATATAAAATGAAGTCAAAAATCAAATTAAAAAAATCAAATTCAAATACTCACTAAAAAAAAATTAAAAAATCAAATATTCAACTTAAAATAGTATATTTTATACGTTGAAGCAATTTCACGTAGCCAACAATTGTGTTTCTTGATTTTTTTTCTTCGTAAAATCAATAAAAAAATAAAAATAAAATCACTAAATAAATACGTCTGAGCAAACACAATTATATTAATTTTTTAATATATTTATAAAATTATTAAATGTAAAATACATTTAATTTAAATGAATTGGGCCAAATCAGGCACCTCCCGACTTCATAGGCCTAAGCCCGGCACTATACACCAGTCATATTCGGCTGATCCAGCCCAAAATTTTTCGAACCTATTTTTTTAGACCCACAACAAAATTTTTAGTGTGTATTCGAACCTAATATTTGTAGGATCTAATATTGACATATACTTTGTATTAAGAAATCTAAATAAAAAATAATACCAAAAGCCCACCCTTTTTAGAAGTTACAAGGATCAATAATTATAAACACAAGATTTAATCCCTCTACACAAGTTATGCTATCTTAAGTATAATTATTACCATAATCAAAGAAAAAGACATCCAAACACAAATCAAATTGTAAGAAATCATAATTTTTGTTAGCATGAAAAAGATTTTTTTCTTCAGATAACTAACCAGCATGAAGAGCAACCTTTCGTTCAAGTTCATTTTTATCGGCTCCGACGACCTTATCGACCTCTCTTCCGTTCTTGATGAAAAAGAAAGTTGGCACGCTGCTAATATTGTATTCGGCAGCAGCATCTCTTGCCGCGTCAATATCAACTTTCAGAAACACCCCTCGTGGGTACCGCCCAGCTAAGGTTGAGAATACAGGAGCAATTTGGCGGCAGGGGCCGCACCATGTTGCTGTGAAATAGATCACTGCAAGACGCCAAGTTTTTGTAGCGGCATTCAGCTTAGTTTTCAGCTCATGCGCAGATGGGATGACGATTACTTCTCCTGCAAAATGAAATTCAATGCTGTTAATCTTTCGAGAAAAAATATATATACATATATATATATTTGCGAAAATATTTTAAGGAAATTGGAAACTTGCTTTTATTGATCATCAAAATAAAAGGCATATATATTTAATATAGAAGAAACTCAATTGACTCCAAAATAAATAATCTAAGACCGAATCTACATCTAAATCTAAATCTAAAACTGAATATCTAAAATATCATCAACAATATTAAAAGATGAACTGGAAAAAGAAATCACCATAAAATCGGTATATAGTTTGTAAAAACTCAAAAGAGAGCATCCAAATACTACTACAGGAAGGTGTTTAATAGTCGTAGCGATACAAACAAGAATACTCAACCGAATCTACCCGACTATGTTGCCTTGCCCCCAATTTTTTATTTTTTATATTATACTAAAAATCAATTTTACATTCAAAACATCACATCATACAACTACTCCAATTCAAAAATTTTATTATTCAAATCCCAACTCAAAATCCAAATCCCCAAACAAACACACCCTTGGGATGTCCCAAAACTTTTGGGACTTTTCCTCATTTATACACAGTTTCTCCTCTTTTACCCTTCTAAATACAATTCATAAAATCAATCCAAACAAAAGTAACGCCAAAATGGTCGAAAAATTATTAAAATTATACTACCTAAAAGCACATGCCAAAAGTAAATATAGCAAAAATATAGGGATGGAGAGAATAATATCATACTCCATCCGTCCCAATCTATTTTCCATGATTTTTAATTTGGGATGTCCCAAAATATTTGCAATTTTTCTTCATTTGTACCTAATATTTTCATTTTTACTCTTATAAATATATTATATAAAATATTTTCAAATGGCAAATAAGGGAAAAACGGTCAAAAAAAACTATCAAATTTATACTAAAAGAGCCTTGCCCAAACTAAAACTAGTAATCGTAATGGCACGGTGAGAGTATATTATAATAAATCAAATCATATCATGATTCATATATCTCACAAAACATCAAACTACTTTATCCCCAACTTGAATGAATGAGCAGATATTTATGCATAAGCTACAAACTAAAATATATGAATCATACGGACATACCATCTTTTAAGGCCTCAGCGGCTTCAGCTTCCTATAAAAATTATAAAGAAAAGTCATAGCATGAACAGGGTATTAAATATCAAAGAAAACAAACCAATATATCTTTTTGTAAAGATAAGCTCAACATGAATAATTTCAAAAATAATTTGATGATAAGGGGCATAATAACCATAGTATGTGGGACTTACTTGGCGCAGCCTCTCGAGCTCAGCTTTTCTAAGCTCCTTTTCTTTTCGTATCTCTTTTCGTATCCTTTCATATTTCCGACGATGCTCTTCAATTTTATGTACATTAGGTTCAACCTAAAGAGCGCAAAACAAGATTACACCAATATATCTTACATACATGTGAAGAAATCATAAAACAAGAATGGCTATAAGATTAAAAAAACTAAAATAAAATAAGATGGTTGTAAGAATGTTGCTACTTTTAGGAAAGTGACCTTTTTTAGTGTCGAGTCAATCTCTTCATCAAAATCCAATTTGGATGCCACATGCAAATCTCTAGCTGCCTCTTCCCACGAGCCCAACATTGCTCGTGCCATTCCACGTGCTTTATACCCTTTTGCTGAGTCGGGGTTAATCTATATCATATTGAAGAAATAAATATAAAAACATAATATAATGCACCCTAATTTGTTCAGCTTTTACATGAGATAATGTTTCAATAATTTTAAGATGGCATCAATGGATGAAGATCTCATGTTTAAACCCCTACAACTAAACACTTACATAAATATATATATATATGTGTGTGTGTGTGTATATATATTCACATACAAAGGCTTTTATAAAAATTGAGGGCTGCAAATTTAAATAACTAAGACAAAAATGTCCCATTTAAAACCTCATTTGAGTAATTATAGTCAGATTATTTATATTTGTTTGTGTTTTTCACCTATTTTCCATTAGAACATTGCATCCAGTAAACTATTGTCACTTCCAAAACATCAAAGCCAATAACAACAAATAACTGAATAAATAAAATAAAAGGAAAGGAAAATCAAACAAATGAACAAATCCTTAATATATTCAACTTGTGTCTCACAATATACAGATTCACTATTCCACTTTTCCCTACGCCTACAAAACATATGAACGCTAAAATTGATTAATTGTACAAAGTATGGTAAAAACATTAGACTAGCTTTTGTCTATTTGATGGCTAAAACTGTTATAATATGTAATTAATGATGCATTTTTCTATCAGTTTAAGTTTGTACGTAAAATGGTCATTCAAAAATTGTCCACATGCAAGGTTCTTTAGTGAAATGGTCATTTAACAAAAATGATTTGGAACTTTAATTGATAAAAACTATTCTCAAATTAGAAAATTAAAAATAAAAACAATCATTGTGGGATCAAATTTACTATTTTTCCAAGAAAAACATTTATAAATAAAGATATAAAAAATGGCATATTCATCACTGAATAACTGATTCAGTAAAGAAGCAAGAAAGTGTGAACCTGTAAAGCTGCATTGGCGTCACCAATTGCAGCATTTGGTTTCTTTAGTTTGACAAAGATACTTGCTGCCAAAGAAAACTTTATATAGCCATCAAAACATTAACACGACAAACAATAATCAAGATACTACGCTAAATCTCGTGAATTGTTTGAGTGTTTGAGATTACCTCTATTTGCATATAAGATTGCTGACTTGGGGTTCAACATGATTGCTTCGGTCAAGTGATCTATGGCTTCACTATACTTACCTGAAGTTCATTGAACATGGTTTAAGCCATATTGCCATTTGTTGCTAATTTGCAATCCCTATCCAAACATTATAGGTGTGTGTGTTTGTGATATAGATTCTATTTTTGCACTGTGCAATGAAATAATTGTTTTTTCAGGTAAAAATTATCACATCTAAAACCTATATCTCATTCAGAAAAATTTGAATCCAAAACACATTCAAACACACCCATACTTCCATAGAAACAAAGAATTAGAAACAAGAAAATGTATTCCAAAAAATAGGTATGTTACCCTCAGAGACTGCATCAACAGCTTTTGCCTTCCATGACTGAGCAATTTCCTGAGACTCTTCAGTTACTTCAATGGAAGGATCTCCCATCTGCAAAGAAAACAAAAAGAATAAAAATAAAAACAACCACGCATGAGGTAAAGAAACCAGAGATCATTTTCAACAGTTTTCCAGCTGCAACCTTTAGTGGAGGGTCGTTGTCCGGCTCCACAACATCAGCATCATCCAACTCAACATCTGACTCGACAATGTCCTCATCTTGACCACCACTACGTTCATTAGCCTGCATAATATTTTTCATTGATGGTGAAAATAAATTTGCTAGCATCTAAAACATCCTAAGTTACAAGTGAGGATGATTTTTCCCATGATGAAAATGATCGGGAGAGTTCATTGAAGAAATCAAACAATGAAAATATATATATATACATATATATATACCTTTTGTGATTTATACTATTCCATTTATTATTTTTCGGTTAAAAAAAAACAATACATCTAACAACTATTTAAACTTCAAAAATATCAAAAAAGAGACACACCACACCCATAAATTGTCAATTATTTAGAACACATTCCTCGCAGAAGATAAATAGATAGAAATTGCATGAGTAGAGATGCAAAAAAACTTTGATATTTGCAAATGACCTGATTTAAATTAAACTCCATAATTGAAAATCAGTTTATAAGTAGATTGAATTACAACTATTTAAACAGGGATGAAATTGGTTCTCTATAGATAAGTAAACTCTGTAATATAGTTTCGAATTCAATTAGGAAATTTGGTTAAAGTTTACTGTTTTCATTCTTTCAAACAACCATTTGTATTTTGTAATAGGTCTGTGCAAGTTCGTACATTCATTATGATACCCAATCGAAAATCCCTAACACAACAAGTTAATGGATTTAATTTAACTTCAAATTCAGTCTAAACCACAAGAAATTACTCAATTTATGTTAGAAAATATTACAAAATTGAAACATGCAAGACAAATTGTGAAAATCTAATGTAAAAGATTAACCAATAATACAAATTTTCGATTATCAATTGCAGCACAGAAATTAGGTAACAAAATATACTCTGCCTTCAACCAGCAGCGAAGTGAAACCCTAACACCCAATTTCCCATCCTTGAATCGAATCAAAGAGAAACTAAATTAATATAGAAATTAAGCTTGGTGAAGTACAGTTGACTTACCGAATCTTCAGAAACTGGAATTTGAGCTCCCAAGCTAAGAAAACAAAATAAAGAATGAAAATTTGGATAGATGAGGAGAATCGAAGAGAAAAGAGGAACAGAGAAGAAGAGAGTACCTTTGAAGGAAATTAGTGAAGAAAGCAAGAGAAGGAGTTTGCAGTAGAGAAGGGGTGCGCTTGCAGTGCTCCACAAAGGCCTTCAGCTCTTTGATTCTCTCAGCGTCCATTTTTGCGCTACTCTCCTCTGTGATTCTCTCCTTCTTCTTCAATGGAATTGAAGCGAGGAGAATATAAATTAGATAAATTAAATGGAAAATGACATGATAGGGATGGAGTGTGTATTTATTTATTTTATTTTTTTTTAACAAATTATCATCAAATTTAAATTAAAATTGATTCATTTTTAAAAAAAAAATTAAATTAGTTCATTTTAAATGTATAGGGTTTAATACATGATCCTTTTCTGAATATAATTAATTAATTTTAAATGTATAGGCTTAATACATGATAGTCCCTAGCATTTTTATGGTTTTTTTGGGATTTTTTAATATTTTCCCCGTCCATCCGCCTCCGAAGTCATATTTATCTGCGTCATTTTATTAATATTAAAAATAATTTTATATTTGTATAATTTTTTTATAATATTTTAATAGTATTATAAGGCACCAATAAAGTAAAAATATTTTTTTATTAATTTGTATTTAATAGTTAATATAAAAATATTAACCTTCATAAAATAGAAGGGACTCTTAGAGTCAGGAGGATGTAATATATTAAAACTAATATTCCCTCTCTCTTATTTAATTTATTTATTCTTTCTATCCACATAATTTGTTCTAAAAATATAATTATAAATTTTAATCATATTTTTAAATTCATAATTCATAATTTTTTATTTTAATTAAAATATTTATTTAATTTAATTTTAATTTATAATTATTTTTATTAAATCATAATTATTTTTATGATACACTTTTTAATTACTTCTTAATTACACAATACTTAAAACTCTGACTCAAATGGAAAAAATTAGCTGTAAACTGATGGAGTAGTATACAAGAGATTTTGACATATATTTAAAATATTTGTAAGTGTAATGGTATGTTTGTAATTTAAAAAAAAAAAAATACTTTTAAATGTGTCTTATCAAAAATGATAAAAAAGATATTTTAAATTGAAATGAAAAATAATAGTACTTCTTTTTAACATAGCCATGTTGAAATTCCTCCCTATTACAAATATATCATCATATATATATATATACAATAAATTTATACATAAAAATTAAAAGACAAAAATATCAAAAATTCTTTACACACTTGTTATTTTTTAATCTATTACAATATTTCAAAGTCCCTTTGAAATGCCGACGGAGAAAGTAAATTTAAATCAATTTTTTTAATACAAATTCAAAGATATTTTTTTTAATTTAAATAATGGAATAGTTTAATATAATAATTTATAAGAGTAATAAATCAAAAATAAGTTCTAGAAAAGACACCCCCTCTATTATTTTCAGGGGCGTGCACGGCTCGATTCAAATCGAACTGAACTTTCAAAACTATCAATTTTCAATTTATAAAAATAGAAATCGAAATCGGATCAAATTTTTTTAAAACCAAATAAACCAAACCAAACTAATTCGGTTCGGTTTAAAATCGAATAAACCGAACTTTTATTTATTAATATATATTTTACACATAATCAAATACTAACACACAAAATTATATAGTATTATTTATTAATATATAATATTTTATTATTTTTAAAAGTTTGATTTTTTTTTTTTTTATTAATCAAAATTTGGTTTTGGACCAAACCGAACTAATTAACAAAACAGTCCAAACAAAAAAAAAAAAATGAATTTTTCGATTTGAACCGACTCACTCCTAATTGTTTTATTTAAGGTTTGTATTTGGATTTGATATTTGATAATAATAAAAGTTTAGATTAAAATAGAATTTTATGTAATATATATAGCTCTATTCATACATTTTTAAAAATTTTATAATATTCATCAATAATAATTCTTTCAAGAAAAGAAAGAAACACATTAAAAATTTTTAAATAGGGATCTCGAATCAAATGCTTAATTTTTACTGTTTTCAAAATTATTAAAAATTTTGAAACTTACAAACTTCTATTTAAATGAAATCTTGATATGTTTTGATTGAAAATTGAGTTTTGTTAGTATTTTAGTTTTAAATATTTTTTAAAAATATGAAGTATGAAAAATTGTAACTAATATTTGTATTGAATTATTATTTTTGTTAAAAAATAAAATATAAATAATATATATATTAAAAACCGTCTTTTGTAAAAAAATTATTCATATGGACACATAAAATTTCTTGTTTGTTAATATTAAATGAAAATGTAAATTTGTTTGAGTGTATTGAGGAAAATATTATGCCTTGTTCACCAAGACCGTTTTTAATATATATATATATATATATTTCTTTGGATTTTTTTAAAAAAATTTTGAAAGTTTCAAAATGTATACAGTCTCCATTCGCCTCTAAAATTTATATTTGTATTAACATAAAAAATATTCATATATTTGTATTATTTTTTTTACAAATATCATTATAGTATTATAAAACATATTTTTGTCTTTTTTTTTCTCCTTAATTTGTATTATATTTTGATATAATAATTAATATTCAAATATCTACCTGCTAAAAAAATAAATGGGAACCGGATGAAGATAATATCATATTTAAAATAATAAATATTCAATATTCAATATAATCTTTGTGAGATAAAACAAAATTCTAATACTCGTAAATTATAGAGTAAATTATTCAAATATAAAAATATATTTAATATAAAGTACAATAACACTGAGACGGATGAAGTATAAATTTTTTAATGATAATGTTTGAATAGTGACAAAAAAATTTTCTTTCTATTGGCTCCTATAATAAGACATTTTAACTTCTTACAATTATAGGATACATAAAGTGGACAAAGATATTAAAATCTTTTACATATTTCTATTAATTAATAAAGTTATTATTATTTTAATCTATTACAAAAGGTTATTATTATTTTAATCTATTTCAAAAGGACCATTTCGATTGGGATGGAGTATATATATATATATATATATAACACTGACAAAAGCAACAATCAAAAATTAAATTTAATTAATAATAGCAATGTACACATTTCATAATTTTGATAAATGCCCTAATTTTCAACAAATTATCAATTTGTGTCATTGCAAGCACCTTTTATATATATATATATGATCTCATGAAATTTCCTACTCATGGAGATTACCTTATATATGAGCTTGTGAAAATTCCTATTCATGGAGATTAGATGACTGCCGGCACGACCGGACGAGGCCCCGACGAGCCTCCTGCCGCTGTATTGCAATCCGCAGATTTCTCTTCAGCATACGGCAATACACCCGTTACCCTACGGTCGAATCAAATACTTTGTTAGATGATAAGATATAATGAGTTACATAGACATGTACATGCCACATCAAGTTAATATCAGCTGTAAAAATTAAAGTAAAAAATATTTACGAGTAAAATCATATGAAAGGTATGTTTAGGTGCTTAGTAAAATCATAAATGATTGACGTTGAAATACTTTCTTAATTTTATAAATATGCTGAGAAATTTTGTAGTCGTGACATATTTTTGTTATATTTAAAATTAAGTAGATTATACAATTCGACTTAAATAAAATCAAGAAAGTATTGGAAATGCATCTAAGGCATTGAAACCGGGCACAATTTACGTACCTCTCCTTGCGCTTCTCCAAAAATCGGGCAAGGGATCTTCTACGCGACTGTGGTACGGTACCTAAAAGCAACAACAATAAGTGAGAATTATGCGCCAATTTAAATACACTTAGGCTCGATTTATTTTTTATTTTTTTAACCATGCAATCACCTTAATTGTCTGTTAAAAAATAATTTATTTTTTTTACACAAAATATAAATGCACAACTTAAGTAAATAAAGCCATACGGTTTTGAAAAATTGTACTATCAATTTGTAAAATGGATTGAATAAAAGCACATTAACGATAATCAATGTAATCTAAATATTCTCTTCGTCCGACTATAATAGAATAGTTAGTAGTAGAATCCACAGTTGCTAAAAAAAAAAAAGGGAAATATAAATCTTGAATTGGATAGACGAAAATCGAAATATGTAAACTAAGGAGTAATATAATTAATATAAAAATATATAATTAATTTTTAAGCATTCGGTAAGACCGAATGTAATTAATCACACTACAATGTCCTTGTTTACTATCAACGGTAAACATATTCTCCTATTATAATTTTCATCTCATATATTTTTCGATGTTAATAATGCCGAATTTATGGACAGGATCCTCAGGCTCCAAACTGCCATTCAGTCCACGAGTCCTACACTCAATAGCTATACATACAAAAAAGTATATGTATAAATTCTGAGTGTTGGGCCGGGGGCTGGGAAGCGTTTGGGGCTGAGGATCCCGGCCCCATATTTATAACCAAGACACTTAAACAAACAAATGTAATAAAATCCTAAATCCTTAATCCTCCTCACATATGACTATAGCAATCCAAGTAATATGTTGTGAGAATATCAAGAAGTAGTACCCGAAGAGATGAAAGTGGTGTGTCCGACCATAGGGGCAGGCTCAGAAGCTTTTGAAGACGAGACAACCTTATCATTGTTGGCTCCAGACCAGGTAGCAAATTGAGAGACACTGGGGGAAGAAACCAGGACAGGGCTTAAATGATGCGGTGAAGTGCTGTAAGGCTGGCTCACAAATGCATCAGAAATCGATGACCATGGAAATGGTGCTTGGACGGGAGCTGCTGGAGATGTGATAGTTGGTCCATTTCCGGCCAACAGCATTATAGCCTGAGCCTGAACTTGAACAAATAATTATACATTCAATCATTTTGATGGCGAGTAGTTCTTTTTTTTTTTTTAAAGAGATATTTTCGCACGAAACAACAATAAAGTAGGACTTAATAACAAATCCATGAACCTTAATATATATGGACCCCTGACGATACATGTAAGTATATAGAACTATAAAAACTAAGTCAAGTTTCGATTTCAAGAATGTATGGAATTGCGAAAAAAGAGAACCAAAGATTATTTTAAGGTATCATAGTAAAGTGATGCACCTTCTCGGGTGAAATGCTGTCGTAGACACACACCGTGCCATTGTAGAATATGGTTAGCTGAGAAGAACCACCGGCAGTTTTGGAAGCATTTCTGCACAAGAGAAGCATTAGAATCAATCCAAATGTTTGACATAATTATATATTAACAAGTATCAAATGATACAACTCTATCATTTTATTTTTATTTTTTTATATTAACAAGTATCACCGTAGCTATAATAATCCTACGCTTACATGTCATACTCATATGCTTCGGAAAAATGACACGTGGATAAACCACAATTCACTCGTAAAATATGTGCGTATATAGGATCATTAAAGTGATAATGTGTGAAATAAAAAGTCATTTTCTTCATATATTTCCACACAGGAAAACCAAAATAACAATGGGTACAAGATCAAAATGACACGTGGATCCACAATCCACTTGTGAAACACGTGCATATATAGAACCATTAAAGTGACATGAAACACGTAGGTATATAGAACCATTAAAGTGACAAATGGACAATGTGTGAAATAAAAGGTCATTTTCATAGAAGTGACAAATCGACAATGTGTGAAGCATTAAAGAGACATGAAACACATGCGTGTATAGAACCATTAAAGTGACAAATTGACAATGTGTGAAATAAAAGGTCATTTTCATATATGTCCGCATAAAAAAAAAAAAAAAAAAAAAAAAAAACCAAAATAGCAATGTGTACAAGATCAAAATGACACGTGGATAATCCATAAAGCACTTGTGAAACTCGTGCGTGTATAGAACCATTAGAGTGGCAATGTGTGGAATACAATGTCATTTTCATATATGTCCACATAAAAATCCAAAATAACAATGCATACAAGATCAAAATTATATCTTTCTCTTTAACTTTTTATGAAATGATTCTTCAACTTTATATCACACGATCCCATGTCCAGATCCCTACTATTTTTCGTTCATAGTGTTTCACAAAACAGAGGTAGTGTGTTCGAGCTTAGAAGAATTAGACATAAATAAAAACGTTCGGGTAAGTGACCATCCAATGCCAGCCTTAGGTAGGGATTTTGTAATGAGGCAAGTTTTTATACCTTAAGTCAGTAGTTCCCACCACTGGGCTGCTTCCCATAGCTATGACAGGATTCGACAGTGGAACCCCGACAACCGGCGAGATTGCCAGATTCGTTTGACCAGTGACAACACAATGATTAGGCTTCGAAGGATAAGTTGTCGCAGCAAAAGGAACTCCACCTTGCTTCTCAAAACCAACACTTTTCTGAAATCCAAACAAAGAAACAGTGAGGGATACACTTTATAATGCCTAAATGCTTCAATACAGAGAATGAAATAAGTATTCCAAAGTCAAATAAAAGCAATTAACCTGAGTAAATGTATACGGCCTGTGATCAGAGTCGAATGTTTCAGCTGATGCTAAGCTCACCAATCCAGTTGATGAATCAAAACTAGTATCTTGAGTGCCAGCACCATCGAAGGATAAGAGCTGAGGAACTGATGAACCCTTGCTCGAAAATGGCCAATGCATTGCTGAACTTCTCAATGGAGCTGGAGAATCACATGACTTTTTGTTACATGTATGACAATCAATGTCAGAGGCCACGACCCTTTGTTTATACTATCAACTCATTTCATATGCCAATTACCTAATTATTAACTACTAAATAGTTAATTTGGTAAAAATTAGTTTCATAAATCTGCCATGCAGAATGTCAAACTGTGTGAAATGGAGAAGTTTTTTTTAAAAAATAAAAATAAAAATAAAATCTTGAGGCAAAACTGTCAAATAGCCCCTTTGTTTTGTAGAATTACAAGAACTATATATATATACCCACAAATGTAAATTGAACTCTGTTTTATAATAACTATCAATACTTTGTTCTTTTCAAACCAAAATTATTACCGGTAAATAAGAGCAGTGGTATTCAAACACGGAAATTTTCAGCTCTAATATTATATTAAATGACAGTCTTGCATCATTTTATTTACTTATATAAACTAGAGTTAATCAAAAATTATTATTTAGTTCAAGTTCCTATAAAAATAACTTATTTCCTTTAACGAAATATTACATCAAAACCAAACAAACTCTTTAATTATACCTAGAAAACAGAAGAATAAAATATTCTGATGATGCCTACACCAGGGTTGTTTTTAAATATTTCATAATCTAAATATGAAAAAGATAATAGCATCGCAGATTATTTATTATTGAAATCGCAGCAATTAACAGCTCAATGAGTAAACATTTTAAAAAATATTATAAACAATAAAAGGAAACACGTCAAGAATATAAAGGAATCTCAGCACAGTCAAAACAAATTAAAAATTATTAGCGCTACTTGTAATTAGAAATTAAAAAATATAAATATATATTATATATACATAAGAACCCTGGTGCAGGCATCACTAGAATAATTTATTCATCTCTTTTTTGTAGGCATCAGAATTAAAAATTTTGGAATGTGGAGATGACTCCTTGGAGGGTACAAGCACCACAGCTCATTTAAACTTAAAGAAATGCTTGCTTTAAGGCTTTAATAAAAAGCAAATAGATAAAAATAATGGAGGATCTGGGGATGCATGTTGGCATGTGTACAATGCTACAATCTAACACTCACAAGAAACGAGAAATTGGAATAGAATAATAAGTCATTGCAAGCCTTGAAGCATACGCCAGTGGGAACAAAATAAGTAAAGTAATGTGTACAATAAACGTGAACAATTCAAATCAGCATTCAAGAAGAATAAAGTAATGTACAAATACAATAATAATAATAATGTGAATATATATAAAAATAAAATAAAATAAAAAACACAGATGCATACGGATTGTAGCTCAAGCCGACAGCTGGTGATTGTGATTTGTGATTTATAAATTTAGAGAAATAAACAATTAATAAACGTCATTTTCAGCCTTCACAAAGCATTAAACGAAATTCATCAATGGAGGATTTTTTTTTTTTTTCATTTTTTTTTTTTTTCCATTTTTGCTTTGAGCTACGGAATGATTGTTTGAGTGAGTGAAACGAAAAATCCAAACCAAAAACTTGTAAAATCTACCGAAACGTCTAAAACAAGTCATGAAACAGAACAATTTGTCCAAACTTGAACCGATTAAAAAAAAATCTCTGGCAATTAACAACATATTAAGCTAATTATAGAGATTATCCTCTTCGTAGAAGAAGAATTAACCAAAAGTGAAAAAATTAAACAAGTAATGAATTGAAATGTATGTAATTACCAGCGTCAATAGGCTCTTCAGGCGCCTCCTGCTTCACCGCCAAGCCGAAGAAATCCCTCTCCATCTTCTGCAGCTCAACAAATACCGAATAATGATAAAGAACAACAGCGCCAATTGACACAACCAAAAAGCCAATCGAACTGCGGAGATGATTGAATTGGAGAAGACGGAATTAATGGAGAATTGGATTTCGAGCAGATCGGAGAGAAACAGCTTCTGCTGCTCAGCTTGAATTGTGGTGAGTGAGAGAGAGAGAGAGAAATGTGAGATTTGAAGAGAGAGAGAAGGCGCGTGAAATACACACAGATATATATAAAATTAGAATATTAATTAATTATTATCCATTAAATAAAAAATGAAAATTATTATAATGTGATGTGACTACTTTTTATTATTTAAATGAAAACAGTTTTCTCGTGTCCACTCTGTCAACTAAAGCCGTGAATATAACGCCTGTTTGTTTGTTTGTTTTATTTTTTTAATATATTGTTTATTCAAATGTACTTTTTGTACCCCGAAATAATTTTATTTTTATTTTTCTTTAAACAGTAGCTTTTTTTTTTCTTTTCATCTGTAAAAACTTTTGAATCTATTTATATAGATAATTTTAAAAATTTTAACAAAAAAATAATATTTCCTTCGTCTCACTTCTCATGTCCATCTTTTCATTTCTGTTAATTTCACTTATTTTGTCATTTTCTTTTTTTTTTAAATAATTATATACTTTAATCTTATTTTTTAAAATTTAATTTATAATTTTTTTTAATTTTAATTATAGTAATCAATTATTTTAATCTTAATCTATAATTATTTTTATTATACGATAATCATTTTCACTAATATATTTTTAATTATTTACTAATTATACTCCTCCTAAATTCTCGTGTCTACGGTAACGCAGACAAAAAAATTAATTATTTAGTAATAGTTTTTTCAAAAAATTAGTACTCCCTCTTTTTCATAATTTTATTTTTTTTCATAAAGGATGATCTGTTTTTAAAATTTATTCATTTTACATCTGTTTAATTAATATAAATTAATTTAATTAAATTTCTGATATTTACGTATGGGATTCATGTCAAACTTTTAAATTCTATCTTCTTAATAAATAAATATTTTTATCTATATTAAATTTTTTCATTTTTTATAAAATGGGTTTTAAGTTAATTATAAAGCAATAAATATATATTTTTTATTTTTTTATATTATATATCTACAAAATAATATTGATATTGTATATATTTTATTGAAATATAATGTTAAAATATTTAAAATACCAACAATATTATTGATATAAAAAATAATATTATAATTTATTATTAATAACTTATTAATTTACACTATCTAAAATGCTAGTATAACATAGATTCTTTATTTTTTTTTATTACCCAAACAATTTCTATTTTTTAAAAAAATACTTTCTAAAATTGTCTAAACGGAGTTTTTTATTTTTTTTTGATCGGAGAGTTTTTTATTTTAATTTGATATAATAGTATTGATCTAAATAATTGTGACCCTTCACACAATAATTTTAAAAACTTTGATATTATTGGATTTGTTAAAATACATCGTATTAAATATATTTTTTTTTACAAAATATTAAATTATATATCAATTTTTTTACCAATAACTAAAATTTCAAAACTAAAAGTCTTCAAAATTATCTATCTAAACAAAGTATGTATGTTTAAAACATAGGAAGGTGTGTTTAATTTATGTTTCAACGATAAATTATCACTATTTACCTATTCCATTATTAATGAAAATATATTATTTTCTTTTACAAAATATAATATTAAAATACCTTTTGAATCAAAATTCAAATTAAAATCAAACAATCAAAAAACATAATCACAAAGTCACAAATGACAAACCACTTACAATCTACGATTTTTTTTTATTTGTCTTTAATTTTTAATATTTGTTTAAATTATACTTTTTTCGATTCAAGTTGAATGAACTTACTTGACTTTTGCACGCAAATTTCAAGTATATTAGCTATTTTATAGAAACGCAGTACTTCCTCCATTCGTCTCTAAGGTCATATTTATCTTTTGTGTCATTATATTTAATATTAAAAATATTTTTATATTTATATAATTTTTTTTTTTACAAATGTCATTCTATTTGTATTATAAGACAATAATAAAAGTATTTTTGTATTTTGTTTCTTAATTTGTACTACGTTTTGATATAATAATTAATATTAAAGATCAATAAAGAAAAACAAAAAGTAAATGAGATCCTTAGAGCCGGAAGAAGTTAGTATAATAGATTAGTGTAAAATTTATTATACCATTGACATTAGTAAAATAAAAAAAAAAAAAGGATAATAAATCAAGAAGTATTTTAATATTTAATTTAAAGATTTTTTTTTTATTTTTTAAAAAAACTGATACATTTGATTTGAACAGGCAAAAATGACAAAATAAATATATTTAATTCAAATAGAATGAATACTTTTATGTACTATTTTATCAATAAAAATAATACTCCCTATGCTCTATTTTCTAATGTTCTATTTTTATTAAAAACTACTAAATGAAAATGCAAACCAAATAAATTATATATTTGTTGGTGGAGTTTAAATGATAAATATACTATGTTATTAAGAGTTGTTCTACGTAAATAAATATTTTCTATTTATAATCCATGTGATTTATCATCATTTTTATTCATCAAAATATAATCTCATACTATAAATAATAGATTTGTTTTATTTAAATATGTAGTTAATTATTTGATTTGATACAAATAGATATTAATATAATATTTTAAATTTTAATATAATATAAAAATAATAAAATTAACTACTATTTCGTATTGTTTTTTATAAATAGATTTTTTAATATTAGTACACTCTCTCTTCTAAATAAATTATTTACTTATTTTTTCCACTTGGTATGTTTCTTATAATATATATATTTTAAAAATATATATATAATTATAAACTTTAGTTACATTTAAAATTTTATAATTTATATATTTTATAATTTTAATTAAATTATTTAGTTATCTTACTTTTAATTTATCATTATTTTTTATTATATCATAATTATATTTATTAATACATTTTAAAATTTCTTATTAATTATATTTTACTTAATTCTTTGTATTTAAATTAACATATAAAAGTTGAGACAAAACGAATATTATATTTATATTTAAGTGACATTTTGTGAGAGAAAAAAATATATTTATTTTTTTAGCTAACAAAACAGACCATTGTTTAATATAAAAATAATACTCCCTCCGTCCCAAAAGATTTGTCTTTTGTTTTTTCATTTTCGTCCGTCCCAAAACAATTGTCTTGTTTCCTTATTTAGTAGCCGTGGTCCCCACTTTATTACAAAATTATTCATACTTTTTCATACTATCCCTAATTATTACTTTAACATACTCTTTAAAGCAAAGACATTTTAGTCATTTACATTCTACTTTATACCCACTTTCAATTAAATACTATTATACCTTAATTTTCGTACCAACTCTCAATAAGACATTTTTTTTGGGACGGAGGGAGTAATATTTATGTAATTTATTATAAATTGTAAAAAAAAAAAAATTAATACTCCTTCCGTCCAATTGAAAGATTGTCATTTTTTATTTTTGTCCGTCTCAAAACAAGTTTATCATTTCCTAATTTAGTAATTAAAATACCTACCTAATATAAAAAATATCATTCCAACTTACACTATATTACACAAATGTCATTACTTTTATATTACACAATACTGATAGGGGTTTTTTGTCTTTTTCACAATAATATATTATAATACTAATATTCAAAAATCTACGTGCAAAAAGTAAACGACAATTTTGCACCGAGACGGAAGAAATATAAAATATGCAGTACAATTATTTAAAAAATGACTATTTTTTTTTGAATAAAAAAATATACATATATATATATATACTTTTTTGGGTATGAAAAAATATATTTGAATTGATATTTGAAAATAAATAATTTATAAATAATAAAAATTGAATATAAAATAAAGAAACAAACAAAAAAATCGAAATGATGCTATTTTTGGAGCAATGAAAAAATCAATAAATGTGACACGGAAGCAGCACGTGAGCCCACGAATTAAATAAGCGGGTTTAAGTTCCACGTGACGAACCTCGTGCAAATTTGCGTGTTTGATAGCGTCACATCAAGGTGCACCGCCAGTCGCCTTCGTGTCCAATTTCTATTGGTCCGTGACGTACAAGCGAATCACAGCCTTGCCTTCACTAATTTGTCCGTAATCGTAAAGAAACGCTTTATATGTCTGTAAGGCTTAACTACTGAGGCTATTTACGACCATTCACTTATAATTTATTTATTTTAATAACAATATATTATTTTAATTTGTAAAATATTTACAAATAATATTTAATTGGTAATTACATTTTTGCCCATATTTTTTTATGTAAAAATATTTACAAATAATATTTAATTGGTAATTACATTTTTGCCAATATTTTTTTTATGTAAAAATAATGATGTAATATAAAATAAAGATATATATGAAAAAGAAATATATAATTGCACGTCTCATCATAGAAATATAATTTTGAGCCGGACGGAGAAAATATATGTAATATTTTTTAATGAAATGTTTACTTTATAATTGGACGTCTCATAATAGAAATATATATACTTTCTAGCCGGACGGAGAAAATATTATATTTAAAACTACTCCCTCCATCCTAGATACCGTGTCTGCTACACTGTAGACACGGTATTTTAGGAGGGGTGTAAGTAGTAGATAATTAAGAATGTATTAGTGAAAATAATTATCCTATAATATAAATAATTATAAATTAAGATTAAAATAACTAATTAGTTTAATTAAAATTAATAAAAATTAAAAATTTTAAAATAAGATTAAAGTATTTAATCATTTTTCAAAAAATAAAAGTGACATGGTATGTGAAACGGACAGAAACGGCAATGTGGACATGATATCTAGGACGGAGGGAGTATTTCAATAGTTGCATAATGATTTTTTTTATTTTAAAAATATCAAATCAAATATTTTCGACGTCAATCTGGATTTTGAATATTTATATTTTAAATTAAAATAATTATTTAATTTAATTTAATTTAAATAAATATTGATATACTCCTTCCGTCTCATATCTATATATCCATTTACTTTTTGCACGAAGTTTTAGAAATATTAGTATTATATTGAGATAAAGTAGAAATAAAGGTAAAAAGACTAAATTAACCCTATTAGTATTGTATGATATAAATGTAATGACATTTGTGTAATATATTGTAAATTAGAAGGGTATTTGTAATGTTAGGTAGATAGTACAATTATTAAAAAATGAAATGAAGACGGACCAAAATGAAAAAATAGATAGATTGTTAAGTGACGGATGGAGTATTATTTTAAATGTAAAATTAAATTTTAATTTAATATAAAAATAAAAAAATTAATTTTTCTTTTTTATTTTTTTAAAAAAAGCTAATAGTTAAAAACCTAACAAAACATTTTTTTTTAAGTTCGAAATTTAAAAAATATTAATATTACATCGATACAAAATTTAAATTATTATTATTTTTTAACTTTATGAATGCGCACTTTAATTTAAGTATAAAAATAATAAAGTTTGTTTAATGATAATATGAAAGTTAAGATAGTTTATAGTAATATGATCATTGACAACAATGAAACTATTGATTTTAGATGGACTAAAATAATAAAGTAAATAAATTTTATATTCAAAATATTATACAAATGCATAATTATATTAATATTGCATTGTTATTTAAATTAAAAAACTTATTATTTAAAACTCATACTTAAAACTGAAACCTCCTAAACAAACACATTCTAAAATTTTCTAAACATTAAAAAAACACAACTTATATCTTTTGAATCAAATTTATTTATATTTATTAAATATATTTTACTACGGTTATTCGATCAAATATGTTAATTTGACTTAATCAATACATATAATCAAGACAAACATCAATTTTATATTTGTATTGTACTCTTTCCGTTCCAAACAAGGTGCAACATTTGTTTTGAACACAGGTTTTTAGATGAGTAGTATTAAGTAGGATAATTTAGAAATGAGGTGGTGTGATGGAAAGAGAAATGTATATATATGTATATATATTTTATTTGGGTGATGGAACGTGATAAACTGTGGGATAGACATTAAATATAATTAATTATTTCATATTTTGAAAATATTACATGTGTTTGGGTCATACAAAAAAAAAAATGCTGCAAGCAATTATATTTGTGTATATAAAATTATAAATTTGTTGTCAAATAAAGGGTTTGTTTGTTTAGTGTTTTTATCTTTTTATTTTAATGTAAAGTATAAAAAATTATGTCAGAAAGATAAATTTTGAGTAACAAACTCAAAAATTTATATCTTAATTATACGGGTTGACTGAATCAAAATAATATAATAATAAAAGTAATTGGATTAGCATTCCAGCCACTCCATATTCTTATTTTATATATAAAATATAATGTCAAACAATTAAAAATATCAAAATATAAAAGCACAAGAACATGCCTTTTTCTTATAAAATGAAATGCAAATGTATGTTTGTTTTCTTTCATTATCAATGTATATTACAATTAATATTTTTTTCACTTTTTTTTTTTTTTTTTAGATCTAGTAGTTATAGTCATTTTACAAATAATAACTATTGTATTTTTAAGATTATTTTAGTTCAAATATTCGTACTATTTATCATGTATGAAATATATATATATATATAGTTATTATTTAGATAATGGCACCAACTTTTATTTAATATATACAATCAAATACAATAAATAAATTGGTTTGGAATCTTTAAGACCTTTGTTGTGTTTAATTTAAATAAACGTAATTTGACTTGCAAAATTTTAATACTTTTAATAAAATATTATTTTCCAATCAAAAGTAATCGATTATTTGACTTATAACTAACTATACATTAATATTTTAATAGAGAGAAAAATGGAAGATGCATGCATGTACCTTTTTATTAAAAAATGATAATAAAAAAATTAATCCTCTTGGAATATTAAAATAAAAAATGAATAAATGTAGAGAAGTGTCACAAAAAATAAATAAAATAGATATAGATGCATGTGATTGTTAAATAAAACAAAAAATAAAAATAAAATTCATAGATAATTTAGTTTATTCATTTTGAAGCTTTTTGTTATGTAATTTGTAAATGTCCCTTTAAAAATTATTCATTTTATATTTAAATAATATATTCAATAATTATTTTCATCTTAAAAATATTAAAAAAAAAAAAAAACACCCACTGTATAAGTTTAAAATGTTAAATATATTTCATTAGATAAAAAATTTATTTGGTTCATATATAAAATATCACAAATTATACTTATATAAACTATTAACATTATATTAAACTCTTAAATGTAGTATACATATATTTAATTATATTATACTCCCTCCGTCCAAGCTAAAAGTATCCATTTACTTTTGGCGCAAAAATTAAAGAATAATAGTATTTTAATTATAGCGTGTAGGTAAAAGTAGTGAAATGACATTTTTGCCTTTACTTTTTTGGTATAAACATAACGATGTGATGTAAAGTAGGATATTTGTGAAAAAAACGAGGTATTTAATGAAATGATTACTTTATAATTGGACGTCCAAGATAGAAATATATATACTTTCATGCTGGACGGAAGGAGTATATCTAATGTTTATGGAGTATTAACAATAGTCTCATTTTCAATTTTGGTAACTCCCTCCCACATTTTTATAAATTATCCCTACTTTTTTACAATAATTACATAAAGTAAAATATTTTAGTCTTTTAAAAACACTTTTACACTTACTATCAATATAATACTACTATTATTCCTTAATCCTCGTGTTCATTCTAAAAATGTCCTTATTGTTTTGGAACGGAAGAAATATTAAATTAAATATTGAATCATACAAAAACCTGTAAAAAAACGCCCTCGAAAAAAATAAGTGCACATGGAAAATTATGTTATTAATATAAAAAAAAATATATTTTGTATTGAATTGTTAATTTTTTATGAGTGAATAATATATATATATATTATATTAATGTGTGTATTTGTATTTTTTCTAATAATATTTATGGAGAATTGCTAATTGAGAAATGCTTAATGAACATGCTGGCTTCCCTTCCAAACCAAAATTAACAAGGACAACCTGCATACTATAAACAAGCATAAAACCAAAAAACATCGCATCGATTGTCCTATCGAGCATAAATTCCAGACGGGACATTAAAAACTGTACATAGAATCGAAGATCAGAGAATGTACCTCATGTAGATGCTGTCTTGTGAGACCGATAGATTCGAATCTGGAGAAGATGAATCATCCGAATGTAAAAATGGTAAGTCGAAGTAGAATAAGAACTACAAGATGGATAAGGATTGGAAGTAAGAGTTGGAGGGCAATAGCTTTATTGCCACATACCTGAGCAAATGCGTATATGGCGCGCAAGATTCGAGCGTAGTCTGTTCCGAGCATTTGAATGACAATATCCGCCAACAACGTGCCCCACATCCTAAACAACAAAAGAATCGTATTGTAGTGGTTTAGGTATCATGATGAAATATTGAAACATGCTATTGCTAATTAAACACCTATGATATGGAAAATCGAACATACACAATGTCTTCGAATTAAGTGTTGAACATAAGCAGCAACTGCCTTTTGATTTTTTAGTTCTGCACTATTTTCGTCGGTTCGATGAATTAAGCCAGAGATTTCATATTACTTTTATATCTTTTAGCAGCATACCAATTATGGAATTGAAAATAATTAAAATCAATTACACTAATGATACTATTTTATTATTCTCTGAATTTGCTTCAGAATTGAACACATTGTCATTCTTAATAATTCAACAATATATAATTATCAGATGCCATAGGCAGATCTTTCAACCAAACAGCAAACATCTAGCCATACATTTATATAATATTTATATATGTATATATACACATATATGGTTCCTAGAAGCTAATTTGGTCGGTAAGTGACAAACCAGCGACTTAATGAAATTTATATTTCGTTCATGCTGCTAAGCTTTTTCCTTTTTAACCTGCTATGAAACTGTAATAAGTTACCCACTATAATGCAATCAACGACTAAGTATGTAGCTACCAACGAAACACAGGTGACGACAATTTCAAGTGAGTATGAAGGATTTATATATTGTATTTGCCAAACTAACGAGCTTGAGAAAAAATGAAATAGGAATTCAGTAATGAGTATTTCTTACATGGGACCAAGTAATTGAGTCAGGCTCCTAAGCCCCAGATATCGCGCGGCAGCAGCTCGCAAACCCTGTTAAATGTTTTTAAAATGAAATCATGTGATACGATAATGAAAACACATCCAGAATTACACAAACCCTATTAAAGAAATTACTATCTCAAATCGAACTTCTTTTTACAAGCTTTATTAAACTAATTGAAGCTGCTTTTCTATTGCCCGCCAAGGTCTCTCTTAATTTTCTGATGTGAGTTGTAAGCAGAATGTGTCTGTGAGTTCGGCTAGGTTGATCTTATTCGAACTTAATAAAAGCTTTTTCGACAATTTAAACATATTGAATTCGAGAAGTTTCTGAATAAGCGTGAACTCTGTTCATGAAGTAAAGTCTTAGTCATTTCCCTTTTTCCACATAAGTTTTATTTTCCTTTCTTGCTGTGTCCACGTGTTTATGGTCAAGCATGAGGCGAAAATTAGTTGATAAGCCAAATTTGAACAACGTATTCAACTTATATTTGAGCAGGCTCGACTAATAAACAAACCAATCTCAAATAAGGAAAGTTCAAGTCATTAAATTCTGTAGAAGTGAACCCAAAGTTTAAAAAAATAATAAGTACGGCAACAATGAAAGAATATAATGAACATCGATGTGTAAGGATCATTTAACACATAGTTACCTGTTTAGCAGCCATCATGGCTGCTCTAGATTCGAGGTTGATAGTCGCCAAGTGTCCAGCCTGAAAATCATTATATTAAATGATTTCAGAAGTCACCAATGAGAATGTCACATTGAGTAGCAACTTTCCATTCAGGCCCAAAAATTCATAATCTCAATTTAAAGATCTCAGTAAACAACCTTTTTGACAAGTTCTTGCTTCATCTGATATTTAGCAGCTTCTGTAAACATTTTTCCTGATAATCTCTCACCTAACTGCAAAAAATTTGGACGTCGAACCTACAGGCAAATGAATAATTTAAAACACTGAAGCGAAAAGTGTCTTACCGATACCAACAGTTTCTCCAGTGTGAGGATCCCACCGCCCTTCAAGTACAAAGAGTTAGGCGACAAGTAATTCCAGTGAAGCCAACAAGATAAGAAAGGAAAACATAATTCACAATACCTTTAGTAATGTTGATTGGAGCTCTGAAGCACCAATACGTAGAGCTGTGAGCTTTTGTACTTTCCACTGACTCAATCCAAGTTCTAGGTTGTTAGATCCCTCGGAATACTTTGAGCTACTCTTAGAACTTGAAAGATTTCCTGGTTCTTCACTAAGGAAAAAATTAATAATTAACTGTAAGCTATCCTGTGTCATGCCCTTGAGAGCATTCTTTGTAGAAAAAGCACTAAATGAATATAGTCATGCGTCACAAACTCCGCATTCATGTGCAAAAGATGGGAAAAAAAAAGAAAGTTTTTGACATTTCATTGTTGATCACCAAGCATGTATGAGTTGAAAGCATTATAACAAATTGCAATTATATTATGCTGGTTTGGAGCATACTTGAAAACTCTTTCCATGGAGGTTTAACTTGGTAGCAAATAAAATAAGCAAATAGTCGTCAACAGGGTTATTGATTGGGAAAGTGGAAGGATCAAAGAATTTCTCTACCTGGAGTACTCTTGCAAGAGATGGAGAAAAATCTCTACTTCTAGACCCTCGGAAGACAACTTGGCCGAACAAGGTATTTTTAACTTTTTTCGAACTTCAAGCAATACATTTCTATAAGATGGTCTCCAACCCCTACAACAAAAATCAAACAAATAATATGATGAAGAGAACTTAAAAAAAATAAAAAATGCAGAGGGACCCATTAGGTATTGCTAAGCTGTTGCCATCAACACTGATAGTTTCTTGATAGAGTTTCTAAACGTTAACTGACTCTTAAACCTTTTTGAAACTAGAATATACAACTACACAAAAGAACTAATAGGAAACAACAGTACTAACTAAAGACTCAATAGGAAATAAGCAAAAGAATTAAGGCATAGACACCACAAAGATAAAGTTATCCCCGCCTGCAAGTGTGTCATCACATCGACATCTTCTCCTCCTCCTCTTCCTTCCTCTTCTTCTACTCTTTTCTTTTTATGGTATAATCCAGTACCAAAGCCCTCTGATTAATCAGGGCTTTCATGGAATGCGCTTACTCATGCTTGGGGAAGAAAAACCTACCCAAAGCATTTCACATGCCATGTGTTATACTTTTTGGTTAGATAGGATGAGGTGGATCCTATTACGATGTAAGTGCAGAACCTGAGTAAAACATATTTGACTTAGTTTAACTATTGGAAAGAGAACAGTTAAACACATACTCCATATATTGAGTCAATTAAAGAGGCTTTTGGGTGTTTTTTATTTGACTTCTTTCCATCAGGATGTGTATTTGGATAACCAGTTCAGAATCTCAGTTATCTCTGAATTTCCAGATATGAAGGCCGAGCTTGGAACGTCCTATTAATTAACTAAAAGACTACAGCAGCCTACCAGTATTGTGGATCAGTATTAGAAAACACTACTGGAAACCAAGGAAAAAAGGTTGGAGGATAACCTTAATGTTGATCGGGCATCAGCTGCAAGAAACAAAAACCTCGATTCGAGCATTGAAATAAAATCTTCCCTCTGTTCCATATCTTCTCCAATAACAATATGATCATCTTCAGATCTTTGTGCTATTGATTTCAACAGGGGACTGAAGTAACTGAAATCCCACATAAAACATCACATGCACCATAAGAAATGGAGAATAAGTGCAATTGATCACCCAAAGCGAGCATGCATGTCATCCTAAGTTCTCTCAGAATAAATTAGTGTGAAACAATATGCAAACTCTTAAAGAAGAAAAAAAGTAAATATGATTTTCCAAAAAAAAAACCATTGAATCGTGTGTTTGCAATATACTCACTTATTTTTAACCATGAAAAAAGCAATTTTCAACTACAAGTGGGAAGCAACCAAAGAATTTCCAACAAAAATGAAAACTACTAAGATGACACATTTTTAATAAAATACTAATACATTTCTGTAATACCCACAACAAACACAGTAGTTAATTATGAAATCAACTTTTTCTCAACTATAACTTTATCTGTAAACCTTACAACTTCAACTAAAAGTAAAAATCATAAAGTTTTACAACTACTGGCTATCTCGGATTAGAGGGGGAAAGCATACAAACATGGTAATGTAGAATGTAGCTCATGACAAGGGGAAAAAGAAGTCCAGTGGGTGTGTATTCAATTGAGAGTCTTCCCTCTTCTTTCTTCGATTCTTGCTTTTTTATTTCTTCTTTTTCCATTACTAAAGCCTAAACAACTAAGGAGAATAAGAAAAAGACACAACGTCGATCCAGTGGACGTGATCCAAGTTTCAATATTTTCTTGATAAAAAATGAAATTAGTGTTGAACTGCCAGTTCAAACCAGAGGTTAACAGTTCGAAAAATATTGAAACTGAAATCAAGCTTGAAAAAATTGATTTCAGTTTCGGTTTGTTGGCCCATTTCAGTTGCATTTACTACAATGTTTGCATGCCTCAATATTTGGTAATTTTATTTGGCTTCTTATATTGATTTGCATCAATAGTTTCAACCCCGAAGTTTATAAAAATTCATGTAAATCATTAAAAGAAAGTGTATTGCACACTCCTATCAATTCTTATATTCTAAGTTCCAATCTAGTTGGCTAAATGAAGTACTGAACGAAAAACAAATCACCTTGGCCCATACAAAATTCTTTCTAGTTCATATAATTCAGAATCAGTGGCAAGTTCAAGCACTGATCGAAGCTCCGGATCATGCGCATAGCTTCCGCTGATCTCTGCCAGAAAAAAGCCGAGGTAGCAACAGCACGAATTATCAAATTCAAACATTTAAAAAGCGATAACATGTTGCAATTCCAGAGGTAACTTTTAGGGTAAAACAAAATCTTAAGGAAAGCATTTCCGCCATTGCGGTGAATTACCATTGGAGCGTCTCGAAATTGAAGACTGAGCAGCGATTAACAGCACTCTCGAAGGTCGATTCTGATTCGAATTCCTTGGAAATACCTACAATCGAACAAAACAAGAATGAAATTCCAAACTATCACATACTCTGTATGGGAAGGAACGGTTTCCGAATAATTAATTACAGGCGACGCGCGGGGGAGCGACAAGAGCGGGCGAGGGCTGTGGAGGAACTCGAATTGGCGTGTGGAGGAGAGGGAGGACAGCGACGGCGCAGACATGGCGGCGGCGGCGCTTCTCTCAGGGAAACCACGCAGCCTGAAGCAGGGGAACCACACGCAGTGTCTCAGTCAAGGGCAGTCAGTGTTCGACAGACCGCTCCATCATATTCTTCATTAATTTTAACAAAATTAAAAAATCAATATTTTAATATTATTCTTTTACATAACACTTATCTTTTTTCGTGTTTAGTTCGTCCACCTAATTTTATAGTAATTTTTTTTTGCTATTTTGTTAAATTTAGCCGTTTTAAATCTACTGAGATGTGTTTGTTTGAAGTTTGTATTTTGAGTTGGGATTTAAATAATAAAAAAAATAAAAATATATCTATTAATACGGTGTGTTATAAAAGTGACGACAATTGTATAATATATTGTAAATTGTAATAAATGATACTCTTTGTTTTTTGACGGATAAAAATATGAAATGATATTTTCTTATGGAACGGAGAGTACTATGATATGATATTTTGAATGTAAAATTATTTTTTCATATAATATATAAAAATAAAAATAAATATTTGATTTTATATTTTTTAGAAAAACAAAATTTATAAATAGTACTCCCTCCGTCCCACGTACCATGTTATTTTTTTTTTGAAAATGATTACACTTTAATCTCATTTTAAATTTTTTAATTTTTTTAATTTTAATTATATCTTAATCTTAATTTAAAATTATTTATATTACAGGATAATTATTTTTACTAATACATTCTTATAATTACACATCTCCTAAAATACCGTGTCTACTGCAGACACGTATATAGGACGGAGGGAGTAAAATTTTAGAAAAATCCCATAAACGAACACACTCTTAAATCTTAAAGCATGGTCAGACCTAATATCAAAGGAGTATTTTTTTATTTGATATTTATTTATAATAAAAAAATTTATTTTTTTATATTTTCTTCATTTATTTAATGATTTAATTTATAATTAAAATTTTAAAAATACTTTATTATATTTTTATTTTTTTCACTAAAATGTTTATTTTTTTAATTTGTATACTGGACCCAATGGATTATTGCTTAAAGAGACATTTTTATAGTATTACCACTACAATTATTGATCATAATTTTTAATTTTTTAATTACAGATACATCAATAAATAAATAATATTAAGTTAGAGTTTTTTATTGTCGGTAAGTGTTTGAATATTTATATTTTATTCTTACAATAATTTCCTTTTAAAATATTTAAATTTTAAGTTGGTTGGATGGAAATCAATTTTAGCAATTTTTAATGTATATTCTAGTCGAATAGTTACTGTGTCGATTTGGAGAATCAATATATTTTGTGAAATATAATCATGTTTTTTTAATATATATATATATATTTGTAAGTATGTTGTACATAAGTACCTTATGTGCTAGAATCAATAGTAGTATTTTCTTACGAGACTATATAATATGTTTTTAGTTCATTTAATATATTAATATAAATAATATACTATCTATAGTAAGTATTGTGTTGTATTTTAAAATTAGATCAAATTCAATTCAAACCTAAGAATTTGTATATGAATAGGATTGCAATGGATCTTGAATTAGGTGACGTTTTTGTGCAGATTTGATCCAGTCAACACAAATTATTAAGACAAACATCATAGGCATACACAAAATATAGAAGCATGAGTAGTTAAGTTTTAGATTTGTGCTATGTTGTATAAATATTTTTATTGTACTGAAATCAATAATATATTATGTATGTGAAATTGTATCATATATTGTCGGAATATATGCTATATGATATTATATTATGTGTTTTCAAGTATGAATTATCTATCTTGATTATGTGTTAGACTATATCAAATTTGTACGATACTAATTTGATTCAATCAATACGCAGCCTGACAAATTAATATGGCAATATCCAACCTACTGAAATACCTAGATCTCATCCTATATTGAAATTTTGATCGAGAGTCAAAACATTTGTATTTCAAATACAACTTAATATTATTTACTCCATTTAATTTTCAATAAAATATAGTATTATTTTATTTCACAAAAATTCATATCAAAATACTATTTCAATTAAAATTCAAATCAAAACTCCAAATTCAAATTAAATTCGAACAAAACATATATTAAAAGAATTTATAAAAAAAAAATTAATAAATCAAAAGTTATTTTTGCATTTGCAAGAAGCCGAAGGAATAGTAAGTAGTAACCAAACTTTAAATACATATAAAAAAAAAAAAAAAAAACTACAATGCTCAAAATAGATATATTGAGATGTATATTTATTTATTGAGTAGAAATAAAGAAAAAGCGTAAATAAACGATACACAACTTCGACTCTCTTTTTAGGTTTTTATTCTAAAAATTCTAACCTTTCATAAAAATGAATTGAGATGGTAGCGAAGAGTCGGAACAAAGGAAAGGTTTTGCCGACATGTTCTCATTGATGATCAAGCTACGACTTGTCGAGGTGCCGTGGCACACGTCGCTCGGGTACCACACAAACCCGTAGGTCGAGTTCAAATCTTTCGAAATCTTGAACCAATTCTTGGCAGTCTTACAATTCGGATTACCTTCCACGCCTCCGATCTGTATTAATGGAAAATTTGTAACAGAATCGATCTCGTCACTCACCTGCCACAAAGTGGAGTTAGTGCACTGTGGCACGGGCATTTCAAACTTCACATTGAAGGATTTGGAACGACGAATAAAAGGTTCGCTGGCGTTTGCAGGATGGAAACTACACGGTATGCGCTCGTATCTCATTATTTCTTGAGATAAGGTATGCTCACAATCTTGTTGGTACGGGTATTTGGACAACACGAGGCTTATCCCTTGTGGTGCAAGCACTATGTATCTTCCTGATCTAGCCTGTCATAAATCATTCACGTGTAAGAACGTTCAAACATATTTATACTTGAAAAAGATGTAAAGTAAATTATAAACGATAAAATTTATAATTTGAATCTTATAAATTGTAATGTATGATATTTCAAATGTTCTGAAATCTTACTTATTGTTGTTCTAATAGTTTTATATATATATATATGACACTTATAATGCATTGTGAACTTTTTATACTTCTTATTATGTTTCATTTTAAAGTTTTTTTTTTTTTTTTTTTTATCATTTTTGTATATTACACTTCAAAATATTTATTTTTTATTTTAAAAAATTTAATTATATATTAATACCAAAATACTTTTATAAACATACCATTATACATACAATTACTTTATAGATAAAGTCAAATAGTTAAAATATCAAAAAAATTTAGACACTTCCACTGACTAATAAAATACTACTCCCTCCGTCCCACATACCATGTTCACGTTGCCGTTTCTGTGCGTCCCACATCCCATGTCACTTTTCTTTTTTGGAAAATAATTATACACTTTAATTTCATTTTAAATTTTTTACTTTATTTTTTTTTAAATTTTAATTAAACTAATTAGTTATCTTAATCTTAATTTATAATTATTTATATTATAAGATAATTATTTTCACTAATACATTTTTAATTATCTACTAATTACACTCCTTCTAAAATACCGTGTCTACAGTGTAGCAGACACGGTATGTGTGACGAAGGGAGTATTATTTCTTAATTTATTATAAAATTTCAAAAAATTCCTTTGATGTAGGACGAAAAAAGTATATTACTTTCTAAGTTATTAAATATTTAAGCTGATGGTAATTTATGACATATTTTCGGAATAGTCTACTTCAATGTAAAATGATAAGACATAATATTTAAAGAATCATACTTATATTTCTTCTATATGATTAAAATTTTATTCATATTTAATCGATGAATAGTTCCAATATGCTTAATAATCCAAAATCTATAATAAGTACTTACCACGAGAGGATCTCCATCGCTATCCCGAACTAGATCATCATCATCATTATTAGACGGTTGTTTTGCCATAGCGGAGTATGTGCAAATGAACGATCCAACGAGGACGGATACAAAGAGGAAGATAATGAACGTCTTCATTATTACAATCAATTTACTTACTTAAAAAGGATGTTATATAAACTCTCTCGATCATCTATGAGCCTTTTTATAGATAGAAAAAGAAAGATGTTGTTAGAGTACGAAGAGAATTAGAAATAAGTCAATATATGCGCTAACTTTACGTCTTTTTTTAATTATTCAATATTTCAATTTTTTTCGAATTGAATATTTTATACTTATTTTTTTATAATATATAATATAAATATATCACAGTCAATAACTATATATAATATACGTCCCGTAAGGAATGACTTGGCGATGTAGGGATTGAATTTGTGACCGTATATGCACTTTTGGATAGCGATTGCGGTTCCCATATCATCGAATATATATATATATATAATACAAAGTAAGAAATGAATTCATTTAAATACATTGTTAAATAGAGTAAGCAAATGTAGGTAGCGTTTGATAATGGAAACCCTAATTAATTTAATCAATTATTGAATGCACATACATGGAATTGAATCAAGAATTCAAGATTCACAATACTTTACTTTTATTTATTTATATATATATATATATATATAGTTATGGGCAATTTTACCTATATAATAAAGTTATATATAGGCACGGTATAGTAGAAGACAATATTTCACAATTAATTACTTGAAGAAGTTATTTTAGAAAATGTTTTTATATTGGTGATTTAATTAATTAATTATTATTATTATTTTATATTTCGCAAGTTTTTATTCGACGAGTGTGTTCTGAGTAAATCTCTGATCAAATATAATAGCATGCAAACTAGGATCGACAAGACAAGTCATACTAGACGAACCATGTTAGGCATAACGTAAAATAATTATTGAATTTGATATATATATATATATAACGAATATTGAGTTTATGTTATTTTTGTTTTAGTGAAATGAAAAATTTGTAGCTATGATGTTTATGTATATATGTATATATATAAATGCTCTTATAGAAACTATTATTTTAGTTCTTTTGTAATTCTTTATAAGATATATTATTTATTTTTATAAAATATTATATTTAAATTATTATTAAAATAAAAAATAAAATAAAATTACTTTAAAACAATTTTATTTTTTTTATTTTTTAAAAAAGTCACTTAACAAATTAACAAATGGAACTAATTTTATCATACATCCATAATAATTAATAATTTAAGTGATACTTTGATTTTGTTCTTTTAATATTTTTAATCAAAATTAATATTGTCTATTTGATACATTTTCTAATAAAAAATATATTATTTCTTTCACAAAACATTATATTATAATACTATTTAAACAAAAATTTAAATAAAATACTCTATTTCAAATCAATTTCAAATCACAATATACCTTTTAGTCAATTGATTCAATGACATGTATTGCTTTGTACACTTAGTATTTTTTTTTAATATTATTAAATTATTAACTTTTTAAAATATTATATATATATTACTAGATTTTCATAGAAAAATTACACCAACTAATTATTTCACCTAAAAATTATATTAAAAATAATATATATATATATATATAAAATATTCCACATCTAAATCTTCATTAATAAAGAAGCAAAGTGCACACTTGAGAATTGCGTTATAATTTTAGATTATTTTAAAATTTTAAAAATAAAAAATAATATATCTAATGTAATTGTTGATGTAATTTTTCAACAAAAATAAAGTAAAATTCAAAGATATAGAAAATATCCTTAAACTTGATTAATTAGTGCCTGAGATTAGGAATCTCTAAACACTGTATGGTACAGAAAATAAACTGGAAAATAAAAGACTGAAATTTAAAGTGGTGATCCCCAAATCTGACTTTGCTTTGTTGAAGTTGATTGAAGATGCCTTTTCAGAATAAATCTGAATCCTTAAATAACCTTTGAAGAAAACGGTTTGAACCGCCGTCTGGTCGGTTACAGCAACCGCTGTCAACCGACCACCAATTTCTCCTCTATTGACACGTATTACAACTTCCTTCAACCGTTCCCACCAGTCACAGAACTCAGACCTGCCTCTTACCCGACCTGCCTGTCCACTGCCAAATTTCTTTTGCCCGACTTCGTCCTTCGCCCGACCTGCTTCTTCGCCCGACCTCACTTGGCCGACCTCCGCATCAGCCGCCCTCCGTCTTTGACACTTGGCCGACCTCCGCATCAGCCGCCCTCCGTCTTTGACCGAAGACCTCCGCGTCTGTCCGTACCTCTTCCTTGCCCGACCTTCCTCTTGACAGACCTCCGCGTCTGCCCGACCTTCCTCTTGACAGACCTCCGCGTCTGCCCGACCTTCCTCTTGACAGACCTCCGCGTCTGCCCGACTTCGCCTTCCATCCGATCTACGGTTTACCCGACTTGGGTACACCTTTTTTTTTAGACTCCGCCCGACCTTTCTTCCTTTTCCCGACCTTTATTCTGCCCGACCTCCAGACCTTTTGGCTTTCATTCAGACCCTACCCAGAATCCTACTGCCACTTACTATTATTATTATTTTTTGTGCTTAACAATAAGCCTCCTCCTCAAGACTCCTAAACATCACTTCCAGTGATGTTTTAGGAGTTTGCAGGCCGGCATCCGAGGCTACGTCAGCCTCAGATCCGACCTCCATCCTTCGAGGCTACGTTGGACCCGACCTCCATTTATCGCGGAATGGTGCTGGCCTGGACGTTGGTCGATCTTGCACTAACATTGCTTCAGCATCTCCCCCCTGACGGAAGTCATGATTAATTTCTGTAAAAAAGGATTCTAACCTTCTTGTCGTGGATGCTAAACTGGCCAGATCTTGAAAATCGTGGGCTGTCAGGGCCTCGCGAAGTCTGGTATGCATGTTCCTGACCACCAAATTGGTCATTTCGCTTTCATTGATCATCGTAGGACATCGTCCCTTCATCAATCGCATCCTCTCTATGAATTGGTAGCCGGTCTCTTCCGGCATCTGCGTGATCTCCAGAAGGTCTATCAGTGAGACTGTCGGCAGAGGATTAAAGAACCTTCCATGAAAATCTGCCTCTAACTCTTCCCAAGTTTGCAACTGTCCAGGCGGCAGACTGACATACCAAGAAAAAGCTGTTCTTGTGAGCGACAACCCAAACAATTGTAACTTGTGAAACCGATTGTTGCCTACTTCTCCCAATTGAGCCGTGAAGCGACCCACATGCTCAATGGTAGAGGCTCCGTCTTCTCCCGAAAAAGAATAGAAGTCTGGTGGCCTATAATTTCTCGGGAGAGGATGATCGTTAATGATCCTTTCTGGAAATGGCCTCTGGTAAACCGGCCTGTTCACCGTTTGCGGATTCATTCCGAAATGCACCCGCAGAACTTGAGCAATATCCTCCGGATCTACTCTGGGTGGAATATGGTCGAACACTGGAATGTGATCGTGAGTCTGACCTCCCAATCTTTCTTCTCTGGAGAAGGCTGGTTCGGCTGGGATGGGATTATGAGTCTGTCCCTCCAACCTTTCTTCTCTAGAGAAGGCTGGTTCGGTTGGAATGGGATTATGAGTCTGTCCTCCTAATCTCTCATTCGGCTGGGTATTATCAACCCTCGGTCCCAAAGGAACATTATCTGGGAAAGTTAGAGGAATCTTCCCCATATCTGTTCGGTTGAAAGTTGTGACGCTTGGAAATGCACTATCCACGAATGATGGCCCTGCGACATTTGCCTGTAGTCTGGATGGTGATACTCCTGGTGGAGTTTGAGTAGGTTGAAGACTAACCCTTGACAGTGCTTGATCTATCATGTTCAGACTCTGTTGCTCACGCAACATGTTCGTTTGTTGCTCACGCAACATATTCTGCATAACCAAAGCGTGCTGGTTGTTCATTTGTTGAACATAAGACCACCAATCAGTTGGTGGTTGTGGGATTTCCCCGGCATTTGGCACAATAGGTGGTGGAACGGATTCTCCCACCGGTGCCGAAGATGATTGAGGTTGTGAACCTGCCATATGGACCCTTCCGATGATACGGCCGGATCTAAGACGTATGAAATTATCGCCGGAATTGGAATGAGCAATTTTGTCTTGCTCCCACTGTGGTCGCCAATTTGTTGATGTAATTTTTCAACAAAAATAAAGTAAAATTCAAAGATATAGAAAATATCCTTAAACTTGATTAATTAGTGCCTGAGATTAGGAATCTCTAAACACTGTATGGTACAGAAAATAAACTGGAAAATAAAAGACTGAAATTTAAAGTGGTGATCCCCAAATCTGACTTTGCTTTGTTGAAGTTGATTGAAGATGCCTTTTCAGAATAAATCTGAATCCTTAAATAACCTTTGAAGAAAACGGTTTGAACCGCCGTCTGGTCGGTTACAGCAACCGCTGTCAACCGACCACCAATTTCTCCTCTATTGACACGTATTACAACTTCCTTCAACCGTTCCCACTAGTCACAGAACTCAGACCTGCCTCTTACCCGACCTGCCTGTCCACTGCCAAATTTCTTTTGCCCGACTTCGTCCTTCGCCCGACCTCACTTGGCCGACCTCCGCATCAGCCGCCCTCCGTCTTTGACACTTGGCCGACCTCCGCATCAGCCGCCCTCCGTCTTTGACCGAAGACCTCCACGTCTGTCCGTACCTCTTCCTTGCCCGACCTTCCTCTTGACAGACCTCCGCGTCTGCCCGACCTTCCTCTTGACAGACCTCCGCGTCTGCCCGACTTCGCCTTCCATCCGATCTACGGTTTACCCGACTTGGGTACACCTTTTTTTTTAGACTCCGCCCGACCTTTCTTCCTTTTCCCGACCTTTATTCTGCCCGACCTCCAGACCTTTTGGCTTTCATTCAGACCCTACCCAGAATCCTACTGCCACTTACTATTATTATTATTTTTTGTACTTAACAGTAATATAATTAAATATTTCATATAATATGTTGAATATATATATATATAATAAACTTTAGATTACTGTTTTTTCATAGAAAATAAATTTTAAATATTAAACTCCATTTTTTATATAAAAAAATTAATGATTTATAATAAATAAATATATATGGAACTTATATAGTATTTTACAATAATATCCAAATAATATGTTCATATATTTGCACTATATGCAATGTATGTATGCATGAGGCAATATATAATTAATAAACAAATAAAGTGCAAAGCAAGCTACTCGTTAATTGCATTCCTACCCTATCGAATTTATTATTATTATTATTATTATTATTATTATTGGATATTGATAGTTGAATAATATTTTTTTTTTTGTTCTACACAATTGTTGTAGTAAAAAAAATCAGCACTGATGGTTTCGGAAAACTTGTCAAAATTGATTTGTTCGAAGAATTTTTCAACATCCTAAGAAAAAGATCTAGGCTATTTTGATATCTGAATAATTAACTAATTAAGAAGGTAAAAATAATGCTACTAATGTAAAGAGAAGGCTGAAAAAAAAATTGGAATCAAAATAAAGAAAGCTTAAAAAAAAAAAAAAACTGTAAAAAATAGTATTGTTCTTAAAAGAAAATTGTAGAAAAATTATTGAGAAAAACAAAAGAGTAAACTGTTTTTTTAGTTTCGTAACTCCTTTATCATTTTAGTTCCGTAAGTGGAGCCTGTCGCAAACTAATTCCATAAGTGAAAAAATTTCGCTGTTTTAGTCCTCCGGAGCCGGACACGCCCGCGTGGCTCGCCGGAAGCCACGTGTCCGCCAGGTCAGCGACACCTGGAGGACAAGTGGATTTTATTTTTTATTTTTCATTTTTTTAAAATTTATTTTTAATTTATTTTTATTTTTATTTATCTTTTAAAAAAAAATTTATTTGGTCCAATTGAAAGAAAAAAATTAAAAAAAAATTAAAATCCACGTGTCCGCCAAGTGTCGCTGACCTGACGGGACACCTGGCGGACACGTGGCTTCCGGCGAGCCACACGGACATCTCCGGTGCCGGAGGACTAAAATAACGAAACTTTTCACTTATAGGAATAGTTTGCGACATGCTCCACTTACGGGACTAAAGTGATAAAGGGGTTCAGTTACGGGACTAAAAAAACAGTTTACCAAAAAAAAAAATGTTTGCGTGATTTTGGATCTTGTTGGACAAAATCTCTTATCCCTAAATTCTCTCTAACAAACTCCACTTTCTCTCTACAAAATAGTCTTATGTATCCACCTTCTAAGTACATCCACGAGTTGACCTCTTTCATAAACTGCTACACGGGCCAGATCGGTCCAGGTTGGGCCACATTATTGCTTGCGTCAGGCTTGTAGCTGCAAAGAAATAAATTGGGCCAGCTTTAGGCCTTTGATTAACATCCGACTTGAGTAAATTTTAGATTTAATGGCAAAACAGTTTCCCAGACTATCTTCCTGGTCGAGTCCAAATTTAGATCTGCTTTTATGGACTGTTGTAAAATTGAGCCGGTGAAAAGGTGAAAGGATCTGCTCATTTTAAGCATTTGGTTGCAAAATTTTCGTTAGGCCAGCCGGTGATCTAGGTCTTCTCTTTTTAATGGATTACAAATGTCTCACAAAATTATTTGGACAAAAATAACTTTGTAGTCCTAATAATTTTATTAAATACTTGGTGTTTCGACTATCTGTCTAACCTTGATCGGTCATTCCCCTGTTGGGGATCACTTACCGAGTCTCGCATTTTTGGGCCTTTCCAAGAGGACGACCTTTCAAACCATATCGTCTTCCTGTAATGTCCGGGACCGTACATATTTTCGGAAGGCTAATTCGGCCTTCTTGTTAATTATAATTCTGGATTGCAGCGCCTTGGGAGCTATCCATAAGGTTGATATAACACCTTCGTAGGCGGGTGATAATCTACTAGGTTCTTTGAAGCCCCAGTATCTCGTGGTGGTCTCACGCAAAATAATATTTGAACTCCCGAATCAAAGCGATTATTTTCTCCCATTTTTTCGCACTCAACAGGGTGTTGATCTGCGTCATCTGAGGGGCAGCCTCATCCCCAAATTGACCTCCTCAAATGGGTCTTGCACCTCAAATGGTGAGGTAACTCATCGGACGGAGAGTAAATTTTATTTTCGCCTTGATCCAAAAGAGATGACTAGGGAAGAGCCCTTGCCTGCCAGCCGGGAAGGTAAACGGCATGATTTCCAACTTGTAAGAATGGACAGTCGGACTTGTCTGCTATTGCCACTAAATCTTGCATGATCAAATCGTCATTTATGAATAATTGATCAACTGTTGGGCCTTATTTCGGCATAGATTTTGAGGAAAAAATCTGATCACTTTGACCATGAAGTTGCCATCGTAATGTAAAGCTCGTTCAAGGTCCGATCAGTGGTTATTATATCCAAACTTGTTTCCAATAGCTCATCGCAATCGAGCACTCGATCATTGGCTCATTTTCTGGAACCTGGATCGTGTTGTATACTGCAATAGGCTGCTGGTTGAGAGAAAATCCGTCCTTCGGCAGACACCCTTCGGTCTTCATTTATGTCGGGCCTGAAGCTGATGGCGCAAAATTTTCCGATCCAATTTTGATCTTTCAGTGGTCATTGCATCCTGATCATTTGGTTGCCGCCTCTCTACCCCACATTTCTGGTTTGGCTGCCCCGCTTCTTTGCACTTTCCTGGTCTAATTTTGGTCTTTCAGTAATCACTACCTCCTGATCGTCTGTCATTTTCTTACCTGACCTTCCCGGTCTAATTTCGGCCTTCCTGAAAAAAATGTCCATTGTTATGAGATGGAAAGAACATTATCAGTGTGATCTTATATTTTAGGACATTCTATCTCATAATATTTTATCTTGAAAATCCACTTTATGTTAATAAGTTTCTCACTGTATGGAAGATCAAGTTTTTCCTATGTTTAGTTCCGTTTAATAGCCAACAATTTCTCCATCGTTGCATTTCAATAATTTATTCTAGTTGCTACATTGCTTCTTCTATTGAAAGCATATACAATAGACATATTTTGGATGACTTCTTTCCTTTTACAGAGGACAATTTTAAAAAGTTAATACACAATGATTTTTTTTTTAAGTCATTGACACAAGAAAGTCTGAACAAGGCTCGATTAAGCACAGACCTCGGCTTATTTCACACTCTCTCATCTTTTCTCTCCCTTATTTAGACTTTGTTATTGTAAAAAATCTCTGTAAAGTAATAGAACGAGTGAACTTGTAATACTATGGACATGTCATTAAATTAGGTATAAAAAAAAAAAAAAAAGTTAGTGACTTATCAATGCATACACTTTGACAAAAGCTCTGTTTCCCCTCAATCTCGAAGCGACATCAAGGAATTTGATCACGTTCACTTTCGTGTAGTACAATCAAATTGTTTGACAAGAATTCTTTGAGAGTAGAAGTTGAATCTTGTTCGGATAGTGTTAAAATCTATGATCCATCGTATTCCACCTACTTAATTGCATTTTGGTCGCAAATGCCAACAATTTGGAAGTTGTTTTGCTAGTGGTTTTTCTGCCCAATCTAAAGTAACTTGTTCATCAAACGTAAGATTTTAGCTGACTGTAATTTTATGTCCCATAATATCATAAATTAGTAAGCCTAGCAAAGCTGGGCGTGTTAGGATGTCATAGACTTGTCCCACTGGTTAACACGAGTCATTCCAACGCACTTCTGTCCTCACTTATGCGTACAAAGGGTCATCTATCCTCAAATTACTCTAGAGCAAGCATGTTTAACGCTTAAAACGAATGTGCACATTGTTGACATGAGTAGATTATTCAATCCATTTAATTTATATTCAATCTTGAATGGTCTGGCACCAGTTCATTCATGAGAGTTGGCCTAGCACCGGCCCAACTTTCGGGTATTACATTATTTTGTTTATATTATTGTGCTATTAATGACAAACATACCAAAAATTTCAATATATTGGTTAACCATATAAAAAAAATATCGAATATATCAAAATTTTTTATATACGGTATGATACCAAACTAAAAAATTCGGTTAGAGCTGTAAAACAAACGAACAATTAGTGAACTTGACTTGATTCGGCTCGTTTGAGCTCGCTAAGAGCTCGCTCGTTAAACTAAACGAGTCAAACACAAACATAAATTTTAACTCGTTATATTCATGAACGAGCTCGAGCTTCTTCGCGAACTTTCGGTAATATTTGTTAGAAAAATTAAATTTAATAAGTATATATATTTATAATTATTATATTTCATCCTTTTTTAATTTAAAATATATTAATAAAAATTATAATTATTATTAATTTAATTTAATTTTTTTTTAAATATTAAATATTAATAAAATTTCTTTTAACGAACCAAGTCAAACCAAATATAAATAAAAATATTATTGAACTAATCGAACTCAAATAAAAATTTTAGCTTGTATATATTAATAAACGAATACGAGCCAAACTTGAGTTCTTAGGATGTCAAATATGACAAATTGGGCTCCCCTCGGCTCATTCAAAGTTCTAAATTCGGTATTATGTGTACTGCTGAAAATTTCGGTATTATGCATACCGATAATAGTTTTATTAATTTATTTATTAAAATAAATAATTATTTATTTTTATTTTTATTTTTTATTTATAAACAAGACTAAAAATCCTAATTGGGTTTCACGCCTGCCACTTTCCGCCGCTAAATCGAAGGGAAGGCCAGAAGGGAATCGAGCAGCTCCTTCCCGTCGATGGATTAGGGTTTTAATGCTTCTTCTACATCAATTCAATTCAATTCATTTCAGGTATGTTTAGAAGGAATTTTCTATCGCAGCAATTTGTTAATCCTTCGAATTTGCAATCGAACAAACCCTAATTCCCTTTCTCCGCAGTGAATATTTTTACAATTGCGCGTGAACGATAAGTTTGTCTTTTTGTCGAGCACGATTTCCTCTTTTCTGGGGTTTGATTGGTTTTTAGTAATTTCATCTGCTTTGGGTTTTATGAGGGAATTTGATTAGTCGTATTCAAATCGAAGAATGGTTTTTATTTTAGTTTTAATCGTCCAGTAGCTAGTTCCAATTTTCATCTATGGCAATTACATCGAAATTCTTGGCCATTGCGTTGATCGGTTGATTGATAGGGTTTCCCGCTGCTTTGATTAAGTCGAATGCAATCTTCGTTATAATGTTGTAAATAATCTTTTTCTTTTTCACCTTAAAGATTTTTTTCTTTTTGTGGATTGGTTCAATAATGGTTTTCTGTTTGGATGATTTGATTTAGGAGCAAATGAATGGAATCAGAGTGGAAGTTTCTTTCTTTCGTCCTCTTTTGGGCAACAAAACCTTTTCTTGCCTTCCTTTTCATTTCGAATTTTGATTCCAACTGATCATCCGAATGGATTTTGTCTTTGTTGATTCCTGTCAGTTCAATCCAATTGGTTCTATTATGTCTTAATGGTAAAGATGACTTTTGATGGAAATCATATCTAATGGTGTACTGTCGAATGTTTTTTTTTTTCCCTTTAGCTGAAGAATGAGTTTGCAGAAATGCCATTTTAAAAGTTACCCAGGCAGTAATCGACGAAATCCTGTAATTCTGATGAAATCTTATTTGTCTTGATTTTCTAGATTTCTTTCATATTTTGTCTCTGCGAATTCTTGTCGATTTCCAAGTTTTGGGTGAAGAACAGCAAGTTTATTTTATAGTACGACAAAGCTAGAACCAGTTTGCAAGCTGCGTTTCAATAATCCAGATTCTAGTAGCTGATTCCGGGATGTTTGGTTTCTGTATTTATTTATAGGAGTTTACTCTTATTTCACTTGCTGAAAATTTGGTCGTTAGGCTTGGATATGGATTTAGAGACGGAGAATAGAATAGCTGCCATTCTTTTGAAGGAGGCGGCAGAATTACGTCGGCAAGCTCAGAGGGAAGGTGCTCTTGCCTATCTTGGCAAGCCAACTGTAAGGAGTAGGCCTAACTCTCGCTTCCTTACAGCAACTGTCCGTGGAGTACAACAAGGTTAGTTTTAACTGATATAATATCTTTTATTTTTGGCTGTCGGGAAGTTGTGCTTGTAATCTTGGTTGGATTAGCTTTTATGTTTTTCTTGGCATTTATATATTGATGTATCCGTCAGATGATGTTGCCATGATAAGTAATACAATTTGAGACAAATCCATAAAGTTTCTTTGTTGATGCTAGCTGGTTATTTCATAAATAAGAGAAAGTTAACCCCCTGTATCGTTTGGCCTATTTACTCGTGTGAAACTATAGCTATAACTCATTAAAAGCATGACGATTTTTTGGGTGTGTTCGTTTTGGGGTTTGGATTTTGAATAGTAAAATTTTGAATTGTTGATGTGATGTTTTGAATGTAACTATAATATAAAAATAAAAAATTAGGAGTATTGAGTTCGTTATTTTTTTGGAAAATTTTGATGAATAGTAGAAAATCTAATAAAATAGGAGTTTGAGTTCGTATATTTTGCAGAAAATTATGGTGAATTGTAGAAAATCTCAAAAAAAATCTTCAAACAAACACACCAGTTAATCTTTAGTACAATAGTTGTCGAGGATGTTTGGTTTTGTTTTAACTTCAAATTATTTATGTTTGCCACTAAGGCGTGCTTGAGATCGTTAGGTAATGATATATAAGTATGAGAATTGAATACGATGTCAATAATTCCTTGATTGTTAGGTCTTTAATTCAGAGTCATGGCGGAAGGCTTCTGTGTGTGATTGGCATTTATTATTCTCTCGCAATATTTCAGTATCGAATTTTATTCCTCGGTATCTTCTCCAATTGTCTGAAATTTTCAAACTTGTCAATTTTTTATTTTCAATAAATTTGTTTCAGCCAATCGTGCCGTGGAAGTAAATGAGATGTGGCGACTGAGGGAGAAACAAATAGAGCTCGACAACAGGCTTAAAGGAAGCAGAGATATTTCAAAATCTCATAGGGATAGTAACCATAGGGACAACAATGACTCGGAAAGGAGTGGCGCAAGCACTTCTATTTCATCGAAAAAAAGAGATGTTCCAGATTTCCGTACAATTGAGGATGGAGGGTTGGGAGACGACGAAGTTGAGGAATTTCTACTGTCAAGGTTAGCCCCTCTTCTTCCGATCTTGTGTTTATTTGTGGGTTGGGGAGTTAGGTTTTGAGTTTTGAATCGTAAAATTTTGAATTAGAACAGTTATTTGATATGATATGAATAGGTGTAAGACGTGAAATTTTGAACTCTTCTTCGATCTTGTGTGCTTGTTTGTGGGTTTGAGAGTTAAGTTTTGAATTTTAAATCGTAAAATTTTGAATTAGAATAGATGTTTGATGTGATATAAATAAGTCATGAAATTTGGAACCCTTCTTCCTATCTTATGTGTCTGTTTGTGGGTTTGGGAGTTAGGTTTTGAGTTTTGGGTGTTAAAATTTGGAATTAGAATAATTGTTTGATGTGATATAAATAAGTGTTAGATGTGAAAATTTGAACTCATTCTTCCGATCTTGTGTGTTTGTTTGTGGGTTTGGGAATTAGTTTTTCAGTTTTGAATCGTGCAATTTGGAATTAAAATAGTTGTTTGATTAGATATAAATAAGTTTTAGATGTTAAATTTTGAGCTCTTCTTCGGATCGTGTGTTTGTTTGTGGGTTTGGGAGTTAGGTTTTGAGTTTTGAATAGTAAATTTAGAATTAGAATAGTTGTTCGATGTAATACAATTAGGTGTTAACGTGAAATTTTAAATGTAAAATTAATTCTTAACCTAATATAAAAATTTAAAAAATAAGTATTTGATTTAACGTTTCATAGCAGAGAAAGAATTAGTACATAGTAAAATTTGAGTCGAAAACTCGCAATAAACAGAACCTTATTTACTAACCCCACTTTAAAATCATAATTTTATTTTTGACATTCGGCTTCAAATGATAGAACAAAGAGAGGGAGGGGCGCAGTTGGATCGAGGATGGATGAAACAGGTCCGTACCTTTCGATTCCTCGTGATTCTGAAATAAATGCATCGGACGAGGAGGTGAGAAGACCTCGGGTTTTACTTGGGCCGGAGAAGCCTCGAATGTTAGAATCTAGGGAATGGTCGGAGGATGAATGTAGCCGAGATGAGAGAAAAAGCGCGAAGGCGCATTCGAGCAAACGGCACTTGAAGAAGCACAAGAAATCGGAGGAGAAGAAGAAGAGAAAGAAGAAGAAAGGGAAACATAGGAAGCGTGATGAATCAAGTGTTTGATTGATCGATCAATGGTTTCTCAGTAGAAATGTTTGAATGTTTTTCTTCTTTTTTTTTCTTTTTTTTTTTTTTTTTTTAATTGTTGTGCTTTTTAGTTTTGTTGATTCTTTTTAGCTAAAATGGTATAATTAGTTGTGACATTTTAAAATAAAACATAAAACAAATTTGGATATAGATGTAATGTTATTTCTAAGAAAATTGTGTGAGATTAAAAGATGTCTGTTTATTTATAAAAAATTATCTTTTCAAAAATATATTATATTCAAAATTAATTTTATTTGTATCACTGAAACGTGAGTTCTTAAAATCTTATCTAAATTTAAAAAATTAAATATATACTAAAAATATACTTTCTATAATCCAATTTTTTTTTTAATTTTTTTTTTCATTATCATCTAACTTTATTTTTAGTAATTTTTTTTTTTTTTTTTTTATCTATTTGTTAAAAAAATTTGTGTGTGATCAAAGAAGCATACAATTATGACAACACAATTAGATGACAAGAAATATTTAAGATGAAAATAAATAATGCGTTTGTATTGTTTAAACAAAATAAATAATTAAACAAATATAAATAAATAGTGAAATATTACATAATATACACAAATACATATACGTACATAGCAAACAATACATACATAATTTATGCAGCACATAAAAGCAAATCAACAAATAATAATAATAATAATAATAATAATAATAGATAAGATGACTAAATCCAACCTGCACTCTATAATAGCTACCGTAGGGATAAAATCGTCCTCTCACAAATTCAACAAAGAATACAAAAAATATTCTATGTACCTTGGGTTGTGCCGGCGGTGACGACTGCCGGAAAATCACAATCCGGCCGAGACGAGTCCGTGCAGCGTGACAATTCCGATGACCACATTGTGATCGTCGATCACCGGCAAGAACTGCACTGCAGACGGCGGAGATTCCATCTTCTCCATTGCTTCCGCCGCCATCGCATCCGGCCCAATTGTCCTCGGATTTCTGCATTTCCAAAGACTATGATCAAATGAAGTTTCGAAACTCAATTGCTTTGGTATTTCAATTATTTTGTTTTCGGGATATTCATTATACCGTAAACTAGTTTCTTTTTTTTTTTTTATAATCCAACACACAATTTCAATTTAAAAAAGTGCACCAACCACTTCTGTTTACTTATGTTTTCAACTCTGTTTACGCCCTATTTATCAAAACACCAAAGAGTCGCATCGGATACATGTTTTTTTTATTCACCTTTCTAATATTCTAAAAACAACACACGATACCAAAATACTTCCAAAACATATCCAAACGCGCCCATAAATTGTCAATTCGAACAATTTCGAACACAAAACACCATCACATATTTGAATTTGAATGTACCCATAAATTCTCAGTTCGAAAAATTCCAAACACCAAAACACTTACAAAACATATTTGAGCGCAGCCACAAATTCGCAATTCAAAAAATTCCAAACACCAAACCACTTTCAAAACATATTTGAGCGGACCCATAAATTCTCAATACAAACAATTCCAAATCCAAAACGCCAAAACACTTCAAAAAATATATGCATGTGCCCATAAATTCTCAATTCCAACAATTTCAAATACAAAATGCCAAAACGCTTTTAAAACACATCTAAGCACCCATAAATTCTCAATTTGAACAATTTCAAACACAGAACGCCAAAAAACTTCCAAAACATATCTGGACGCACCCATAAATTCTCAATTCAAAAAATTTTGAATACCAAAACACATCTAAACAGATCCATAATTCTCGATTAAAAAAATTTCCGACAAAAACACCAAAAACAAGTGCTATACCTGTTGCACATCTCCCCCACAGTGAGTTGGAAGATCCTCTGACCGCTGGCTTTCAGAGTGCGGCGCAAATCACCATCAGTAAAAGTACCGAGCAGATGATTGTCGTCATCTATGACGAGAAGGCATCCGCAGCTTTTGGTGGTCAGCTCCATCAGTTGATCCATGATCAGATCATCCTCCTTGCACACCGGCAGCTCTTCATTTTTCTTCATGAGATCTTTCACCTACGGATCATCGAACAAACATCAAAAAACCCATTGCAGCTAAAATATGAACAGAACTGTGGCACAAAATGCGATAGCAGATCCCCTACCAACCCGCAAACCATCACAATCCAAGATCAGTCGGCATTTCCCAATTATCAATTTATAAAGAAAGCGTATACGTGGTCTAAAAACACTCGTTACATATCAAGTTTCTGTCGAACATGAGTCAGGAAGCGAAAATTCTGCTTCTCTGCTAACCACAATTATCGACAAAAAACGGCTTACGATGTATAATCAACTGAACGTTACCGAGTACTTAAATTCAAACTTCAAGATTCGACACAAATCTCTAATTCCTCACCATAAACTAAATCTAAAACATCACTGCAAAACAAATCACATTTTCAAGTTGATCTAAGGGATTCTGCAATTAATCGATCATCGGATTCAATTATGCTTCGGCGACAATAATTGTGTGTTTATCAACGATTGGCATAGATTTTGAGTTAGATCTATGAATCTCATGTCGAAATTGCTGTAAAACGTAGACCTCAAACTTTCCACCGACAATAATTCTTCATCAACGTTCATCTCCAAAGCACATTCAAAGCAACAAACATATACATAACGCAAAATTGAAACAATGGAAGAACACAGAAGGACAAAAAAAAGGATGAACAGAAGCTAGAAATTCACCTTGAAGATCAACGTCTTGCCAATCCTTCCAGCAGGATGATTCGCAGCGTACTCTTCCTTACTCGTATGCCTCGCCTCCATAAGCGCAATCGCGACGGTATCCCCAAACACCATCTGAATCGCCGTCGAAGTGACCGGCGCAAGATCGAAGGGGCAGAGCTCTCGCTTGAGAGGCAAATGCACATCCATGTCGCAAATCTTCATCAATCCATTGGGGTGCACCGACGTTACCGATATGAGATAAACCCCCTTCGCCTTGGCGCACGGCACGAGCTTCAAAAGCTCCTCCGAATTCCCGCTCTTGCTGAAGAGAACGAGCAAATCCTTGGGCGAGAGGATGCCGATGTCGCCGTGTAAGGCGTCGAGCGGCGACAGGAATCCAGATCGGATCCCGAGGGAGACGAGCGTCTGCGAAATCTTCTGCGCGACGAAGCCGGATTTTCCGACGCCGGTGAAGAAAATGGTGCCGTCGGCGTTGAGGAGCGCCTGCGTGAAGGCTAGGGTTTGGGAGAGGTCGAGGTTTTGGAAGAAATGGTTGAGGTAATTCTGCTGGCATTTGAAGAGATCGAGCAAATGTGATTGATCGAGGTTGGATTTGGAGAAATTGGTTTGATCTGGAGGCGGGAGAGACCCCATTGTCGTCTTCTTCCTGGAGCTTCTGAAGGAAGAAAAGATCTGAAAGGATTTGCAGTGTGAAGGAGATGATGATGCAATGGAATGGAATGGAGGAATCAAATTTCATGTCCCATTTCTGCGCTGCAAAATTTTGTTCTTATTGATGACGTCACAATTATCAAATTATTTTTCTCAAATTAATTATTTTGGGTTTTTTTTTTCCTTGTTTTATTAGGTGTTTTTGGCTGTGGCATCGCGGACAATAGATCAATTTGTGTCGGTTGAATTATTTAAATGAGTTAAATAATTCAATTTTAATTTGACTCGTTTCAAATTCCTATTGTTTTTTTTATTATCGATTTATGCGTTAATTCGTATATATAATTAATTTGAATTATTTAATTCAAATTCATTTATTTTTGTCATGATAATTGTGTTATGTTAATCTTTGCTGATTAGAGTTTAATGTGTATAATGCATTAAGTTGAATTATTTAAAATTAAATTTAATTAAAATTAATATGTAGACTAATTATTAACTTATCATTATTAGTTTTACCATATATTTTACTATTCACATTTTTCTTTTCATTTAAAAATATCACATCAAATAATTACTTTTTTAAAATATTATACTATAAATTTATTTTACATTTAAAACATTACATCAATCTCTATAATATCACATCAAATAATTATTCAAATTCAGTTTTTTTACTATTATAAAATTCAAATCAAAAAACTAAAACCCACAAACAATAGAGCAACTCTAACATACTGCATTTATAAAGTAGATTGTGCAAAAATTGGGGAGGGGCTCCAATCCATTCCCAAATTCATCTTATAGAGTGGAATTTGTGTGGTGTTGGTGTATTTTTTTGTTATTTTTTTTTTTTTTTTGGTATATTGTGTAATTTTATTGTTATAGAAAATAATAATATGTAATTTTATTTTTTTTGAAAAATAATGTATAATTTTATTTTTTGGAAGGTGATATAATTTTATTTTTTCAAAAATAATGTATAATTTTATTTTTTTAAAGTGATGTAATTTTATCTTTCGAAAATTGATATATAATTATATAGTTTTTTAAAAAATAATATGTAATTATATATGTTTGGATTATATTATAAAAATAAATTAAAGTTGAGGTGTAATTTATAAATATAAAAAAAGTTATATAAAATAATACTATAAAAGAGGATATAAAGAACATAATTTTTAGGGTAAAAATTAAAGTTTATAGTTGAAGTTAAATTATCAATTGTATTTTTACTGTAACTACTGAAAAATGAAGTAATTGATTAGAGTTAAAGAAAAATACAATACTTGTTATAGATTTTTGTGAATCCAAACATAACATGTCCCTTAGTTAGAGTCACAAAAATCCATTAATTAAAAGCCCATTAATTAAAATACAATGCTTGTCAAACCCTTATAGATCAACCGGTGCGGGGCTTGGATGCTTGACCGTGAGGTCACCTGCCACGTATGGTTTGTCTAGTGTGATTTGTCTGTCAGGTTTGGTTTGCAGGGTATTAGGTTCGACAAAAGATTTATCTAGTATGCACTTTCAGGTTGCGATTGTGTGTTCTCACGTCATTAAAAAAAAATAAAAAATCTTAGAATAAAATTGTAACTTATAAATTCTTTGAGGTATGTAAGAAAATATGACATTAAAGATTTATTCATATGTTGGAAGAAAATATGATGTCCGGTTTAGAGAAATTAAAATACAATATTTTGTCAATCAATCTTTTTGTAGGTAGATGGATCCTCAAAGGGTGGCAGTGGTACCAATTGATCCGAAACGGGACAGATTTTGCAGCCTTCGAAACTCGCTCCGCTAAAAAATATTAGAATTCAAGATCTGCCCGTTCCGCTTCAATTCGGCCCTAGCATCTGTTCCGTCTCGAATCCTTCAGGTTCGAGGTCGATCCGATAAATCCGTTTTTTAAAAAAAGAATAAAATATAGTAACTTTTTTAAAATAATTTAATACTAAAAAAAATATGCGTCAAAGTATCCAAAAATTATAGTTCTAAAAATAAGAACAATCAAATATTGACAATAGTCCGTTGATGGCGGCCAGCCGTAATTCTAATTATAAAAAGAATTGTACAATAAACAGATGGAAAGACAAATTTGATTTAGAATTAATGTTCTATTTTATCTTTAAAATTTTTTAAATAAATAAATAATATAATTTATATTGTATAAAAATATAAATAAATTATAATAATTGTTAAAATATCCGAATTCGAATCCAGTTCCAGAGAGGGACGAGTTTTTAGTAAAATTTGTAATCGCTCCGAATCCGGCCAGATATAAAACACAAAATTCATAATCCGCCCCAAACCAAATTTTTTAGCCCCAACCCACCCCATTAAGACCGGGTCTGGGGCGGATCCGGGACTAACCCGCCCCATTTGACTCCCTAGAGTTGATGCTTCGTGCTAAGAATAATCATAAAATAAAAGAACCTATATACATTGGTGGAGAATGGTAAAAGAGTTTTAAGCATGGCAAAGGAATACCTAATGTGACATTATTTTTAGGGTATGTTTGTTTGGAGGATTTTCCAAAATTTTCACTATTGATCAATTTTTTTTTTCAAAAATATTAAATAAAATACCTATTTTTTATTTTTTATATTATACAAAAAATTAATTTTACATTCAAAATATCACATTACCAACTATTTATATCAATATTTTACTATTCAAATTTCAACTCAAAATCCAAATCCGCAAACAATCACACCACAATGTGGTTAGATTAGAAAGTATTTCTACCTAGAAGTTACATTTCTTGTTTTCCATATATTTCTTGTTTTGATAATTCAACGTAAAAAAAACTTTTTATTTATTTATTTTTTTAATGTTGATACCCTACAAATATGTATTTGATAACCCTGTCGTCTAATTTAAAGGACTTATAAGAAAAATCCAAACAATCAAACACTCCAAAATTACTAAAAGGAGAAAGATGCTATGTAAAGAACAAGTTTTAAAAGATTTTTCTTTAGATTAATCAAATCAGGTTTGATAGTGTAATGAGAACTGAATTTATACAAGCAATTTCTCAAAAAGCATTAAGGACACATAGCTCAAAATACTAATACTTCGTCCGTCCCACATATTATGTCCACATTGTCATTTCTGTCCGTCCCACATACCATGTCACTTTCCTTTTTTGAAAAATGATTACACACTTTAATCTCATTTTAAACTTTTTAATTTTCTTTTTTTAAATTATAATTAAATTAATTAGTTATCTTAATTTTAATTTATAATTATTTATATTATAGGACAATTATTTTATCTAATACATTCTTAATTATCTACTAATTACATCCCTCCTAAAATACCGTATCTACAGTGTAGCCGACACGGTATGGGGGACGGAGGGAGTATTTATCTATAAAATTGAAAAAAGATAACAAGCCGAACAACCTAACAAACAAAAAATAAAAAATAAAAATTAGTGTGATTTGTCATGTCAAATCTAATTTGCAGACTACTAGCTTCGATTAATTTGCAAGTTATTAAATTTGATTGAGAATTTACTCCGAACACATTCAATGAATAGCAACTACGAAATTTTACGTCATAAAAAATACTTAAAGGGTCTAAAATATGACTAAGTGAGCTAAAAGATATATAAAGATCAAGTCGAAAGATAATAAAAGGTAATTCTATTTAGATACAAAGAGTTTATTTATTTAGTGTTTTGATTTAATTTTTTTTATTTTTAATGAAAAAAAAATAAAATTATATCAATAATATAAAATATAATATTTTATATTGAATGTCAATTTTTATGAGAAAATATAATATATATATATTAAAAATCGTATAAAAAAAAAAAAAAAAAAAAACAAACATATCCAAAATTTCTTGCCTATTTTGGTTACTTCTTGAATTTTGGTATAGACTTTATAAACAATTTTTATAATACAAAAGCTAACATTGTCAAGTCATCTTTTATTTGATTTGAATCCATGTCAACATCAAGAATAAATTTAGCCCTTTACTCACACTCCTTCCATTTATACTTTACAAAATTAAATATATGTTCATTTATTTAATTTTTTAAATTTTTTTTCTCATCCAAAAATATAAAATAAAATTCTATCCATGAGTAAAGGGGCAAAACAGTAATTTCTGAACATCCTATTTAATAAAAATAGATATTTTTGCAGGCCCATATGTAAAATATTGGCATTTTAAAGAAAATTCTGACCAAACGACGTTAACAGACTCAAATAAAAAAATCCCTCACAAGACCTTTAAATTAGAATTAAAATAATTAGTAAATTAAAATTTAAAAAATTTAAATTAAAAATTTTTAAATAAAATTAAAGTGTATAATATTTTCTTTTTTAAAAAATAGCAAAATAAGTGACACTAAAATAGAAAGGTAGAAATACTAGGGTGTGTTTACGCGTCAAATTTTAATTTTAATTTTAATTTTAAATAATAAAATTATAAATTAAAATAATTGTTTAATGTGATATTTTGAATATAAAATAGATTTTAATATAATACAATAGTGCTGTTTATCATTTTTGTCCGTTTTAAAATAATAGTCTCATTTATATAAATAACCTGTAAAATTATCCTTATTACACAATTGCTACTGCTTTTTATACTAATATATTCACCGGGAAAAAAATTTTTTACCGGTATTTTTTACCCATTATCAATATAATATTAATATTTTTTAAATTCCGTACGAAACACAACTTAAACTATAGTTTTTGAACAAAAGGATTATAATATAATAAATAAAATATAAATATTTGTGATGATGTATTTTTTTTAAAAAATTAAATAGAATAGTAAACATTTTATATATAAACAAAGTATATACATGTATATAGGTTTCGCTGTTACTGATTACTTCCCATAATTTACATTAAAAAAAATAAAAAAGCATTTTAAATATATTTTTTAAATTAAAAAATCAATCCATCATCATACCTCAAATTAAATTCAAAGTTCAAATACACACAAACATTCACAAATTATTTTATTTTTAAAAATAATATAAAATCATTTTTGTCTTTTATATTTTATTCTACAAATTAATTAGAGAATTGCAGTGTTGGCTACTCACAAAAAGTGGGAAGAGTGCTTGAAATGTTTTTATTAAGATTTGGGGGTGGATTTGGGCGATGGATTCAACATCTCCTCCGTTTTTGGCATCTCCAACAGAACATTCTTCGATCCGTAAGCTTTCGTTTTTTTTTGTTTTTTTATACCCCTTTTCTTCTTTAATGTAATTAATTTCGTGTTTTCTTTGGGCCCTTTTCCCAATTTGATTCGTTGCTGTAATCATTCGCATTCTCGCAAGTGTTCGCGGTATTTATTTAGGGTTTGCGTAAAGTGCAGATCTTTATTGTGTGATTTCAATCCCTAAAGAAATATTACACCGTTTGTTTTTGTAGATGCTGTAGATTTTGGTTAGGCTATTTGTGTTTGGATCCATTCGATATGTCATTTTACTCGTTTTCTAGTTTTCGTTAGCTTGAGCTTGAATGATCAGATTCCCTTCGCTTTTTTTGGTACTTTTTGGTTCTGTGGCTATGGAGAAAGGAGATATATTTTTCTTCTTTTGTCTTTCTTTTTTATTTAAGTTTCGAATTGAAGGAACGTTGCTTGTATCTGATTTTTAATGGGTGAGGAAGTTGAAGTTGAATAGAAGCTTGAAATGTTTTGTAAGTGGTTTGGATTATGGGTTCTTTACTTTGTTTGTTTTACGATTTATTGCGATTTTCCAGGTCTAGCTGAGTTGATTTTCTAGTAATTTGGTTGCTTGGATTACTGGAATTGGTGGAATGGAAATGGGGGATTCAAGTCCAGTAGATGTTATATTGGAGTTCCTGAGAAGGAACAAGTTTACCAAAGCAGAGTCGGCTTTGCGAAGCGAGTTACGTAGCAGACCTGATTTGAATGGAATTCTTCAAAAGCTTATGCGTATGGATGAGGAGTCGGGTAGTGCCTCAAATGAGGAAGTAAATAGTGGCACTGCCCAAGAAGAAGATCCAAAAGTGAATAGTTTGAAGAATTTTCCGGTATCAGGGGGCGCCGAAGCATCCAAGGAGGTGATTGTAAAAGAGGTACAGTGTCGAACAGGAAGGCATGAGTCTGAAACAAAATGGAAGAGTTGTGATGATATTGGAGAGCAAAGCAACATTAATGATGGTGTTGGCACGAGTGATAGAAACTTCGCCTTCTCCAAGGATTCAGACGAGAATTTGCTTGACTTGTATTCATGGAAGCCTGGTACTAGCAACGGTCTGGTTACTTCATACCAAAAAGGTAGTGAAGGCACTGATGGGAACAAATTTTCAGGATTCCAGCTTCCTGGGAACCCTCGGTTGAATTTAGCCGAGACCCTTAACAGTGGTGAGGTTAATCCCAAATCCACCGAACATGTTACTTCATCTGGTGAAAAAAGATTGATGTGGCCGGATAGCGGCATTGATGCAGGTACGGAAATAATACAAGGGAAGACTGAGAGGAAGGAAATCGATCTACAAAGAAAATCAAGCGGTGTATACTATAGGGATGAGAATGTTGCAAATCCATGGTCTAGGAGTGATGCGTCCGTTCATCCATCTTCAGAGTCTTGGAAAGAGTGTCCGGTCAAAACCATTTTTCCCTTCCCTATAGGGGACACTTTTACGAGTTACGATAGTGGTTTCACAGTTGATAAAAAGGAGGGAAAAAGAAAAACAGAATTCAATGATGTTAGAGCAGCGATAAAGGAACAAGTGGATGAGGTGGGAAGAGCTATTTTCTTCGGGAAAGCTCAGGGAGGTGATGCGAATGAGTTTGGTCCATTAGAATTTCATCTCACATCGGAGAACCATAAGGAAGAGTTACCAAGACTGCCACCTGTTCGGCTTAAATCAGAAGACAAACCTTCCAATACTCTCTGGGAAGAGAAATATGGATATGATGGAGCTGCCCCGACACTTTCAAATGTGGACAATGCTTTTGCCATAGGGTCATTTCTGGATGTACCTATTGGGCAAGAAATCAATCCTCAAGGTCTGTGAAAATATGTGTAGCATCTTTTTTCTTATCCATGTGATACTTGAAAATCGTGCAAATGATTTGTGCCATCAATATCTGCAATTAGTTTGTTATATTGATTTTAAACAAAACCGATTTGTGATGGTTTGTTGTCAGGTGCACATAGGCAGAATAGTTACATATTATATTAATTTGAACCGACGAGGATTTTATTGTGAGTGCATAAACATGTTTTTAGTGGAAGCGTAGTTCCCTTTGTGTATGGTATGAATCAGTTCGTTAATCTATATTTTCAACTTGTGAAATCTGCTACCAGTACAAAAGATGGAACTCAAGTTTAGTTTGATACACTTGTCAATTTCATATCTACTTTAATCGGCTTGTTTCTTAAAGATACATAGCTGGAGAGGTTCCAGTTTTTGTGTTTTCCTAACTTTTGATTGGGTTCTACAAGTAGAAGTGTTAGGTAATTCAGCTTACGGATGAATTTTGTCGGAGGTGATGAATTACCTAATCTAATAGAGAAAGTGTTTTCTGCAGTTCATTTGATTTTATTTAATGGTAATTTTTAGGAAAAAGGCTTGGGGGAGGCAGTTGGCTTTCTGTAAGTCAGGGCATTGCCGAGGATGCTTCTGATTTAATTTCTGGTTTTGCTACTATAGGTGATGGAATGAGTGAATCCATTGATTACCCTAACGAATACTGGGATTCTGATGAGTATGAAGATGATGATGATGTTGGATATATGAGACAGCCAATTGAAGACGAGACTTGGTTTCTAGCACATGAAATTGATTACCCAAGCGATGTTGAGAAGGGCACAGGGCAAGGGAGCGTACCGGACCCCAACGAACTTGGAAAGAGTAAAAATGGTGAGGATGATCAATCATTTGCAGAGGAGGATTCTTACTTCTCTGGTGAGCGTTACTTCCAATCAAAAAATGTTGATGCTGTTGTACCTTCAGATGATCCCCTGGGATTGTCAGCGAGTGACATGTACCGAAGAAAAAGTGAGAATGACTTGATCAATCAGTACGATGGCCAGTTGATGGACGAGGAGGAGCTCAATTTGATGCGGGCCGAACCTGTATGGCAAGGCTTTGTCACACACACAAACGAGCTCATCATGCTTGGGGATGGAAACATTACGAAAGAACTTGGAAGGCTGTATCTAGATGATATGTGTTTGGATGATGATCAGCACGATTCGGTTCGATCTATTGGTGTTGGCATCAACAGCAATGCCGCTGATATAGGCAGTGAGGTGAGGGAGAGTTTGGTTGGCGGTAGTAGCGAGGCGGATCATGATGTTGGTGAACGATCAAAGATAGAGAACAGCAATATGAAGAGACACGATTCCGATAAATATGTGATGAGTAGTGACAAGGGTGCGTTTATGGTGGCAAAGAATCATGTCGATGGGGGATTTTCGTTTCCTCCTCCTGTGGATGGGCAGCTGGCGCAAACAAGCTCGAGCAAATCTTTGTGGTTAAACCAGGGCGCCACTATTGTTAATGATGAAGCTGATGATTGTGGTGTGGCTAATGGAGACATGCTTGCACCGTGGAGGCGCAACAGCAATGGCTCTTCACCAGCTAAGAGCTCAAGGGATGATGACAATGCTAAGGCTGAGGAATCAGCAAGTTCTAGCCATTCATCTCCTTCGAATCGTGGTTATAGTGATAGGGAACATGTAAAGGAAGACGAGGGCATAACAACGGAAGGTGTTGTAGAAGACCCTGGAGCATTGTTGGAGGACGAAGAAGCTGCTGCAGTACAGGAGCAGGTGAAGCAAATCAAAGCGCAAGAAGAGGAATTCGAAACCTTCGACTTGAAGATTGTTCATAGGAAAAACAGGTACCGTTTCTTTCTCATTTCTATGAATGGTCCTTGCAGTGCTTGGCAGTCTTGAAGAATCAAAATACAAAAACTATGCACCACTTTTTGCTTGAATGAGTTTTCATTTTTGTCGTACTAAGTAGTATCTGTATAGAGAGGTACAACTATTGTTTTCTACTCAAGAATTGGATCTGTTAAACTTTGAAATTTTCTAAACTTTTAATATGTCTTCTAGAGTTGTACTTTTGCTACCAGATGAACTACAATTAACACGTAAGATTATTAGTAAATTTATTTGCTTCCCTCGTAATTGCTTAATAAGGTCATTTAAGGTAGAACAAGGACTGTATAAACAGAGCATTGTTTTGAGTGCTATGCGTAGTGTATGTAGTGTCAAACTGCACGGAAATTACATACGAATAATTTTATACAATATAATGGGATTTAATCACTAATAGATCTGTGAACATCATTTTATAAAAAATAAATCTTTGTACTGTTTGGCTGTTTATTATGAAGTGGCCTCCCTAATTGTGCTTCTGGCTATTTTTAGGACTGGCTTTGAGGAGGATAAAAATTTCCATGTTGTTTTAAACTCAGTTATTGCCGGCCGCTATCATGTCACTGAGTATCTTGGATCAGCTGCATTCAGCAAAGCTATTCAAGCACATGATCTGCACACAGGCATGGATGTTTGTGTGAAGATTATAAAGAACAACAAGGATTTCTTTGATCAGAGTCTTGATGAAATAAAGCTGCTCAAATATGTGAACAAACATGATCCCGGTGACAAGTACCACATACTTCGATTGTATGATTACTTCTATTATCGGGTAAGTGAGCATTAATTGGATGAGTGAAGCCATTTTATTTCAATATTAAACTGAGCTCTTACTTATTGTTTGGTTGGTTTTGGTTTCAAACCAAAATTACTATTATTCAGCCCGCACTATTCCCAATATATTATTTTCTTTCACAAAACATTATATCAAAATATTATTTGAATCAAAATTCAAATAAAATATTCAAACCAAAACCAAACAAACTCTTTGTTTTTAATATTTATCTCAATTAATTATATACTAATATCTAGTGAAACTAGTAGTTATAATTTACTTTCATCCTCTTTTTATTGAATTGTATTGGTAGACGAGCTTTGGGGACTTGGAAAATTGTTTCTTATCCCGATCTATTATTGCAGAATGCAACTTGAGATTCATCTGAGGTCCTTGAATCATCTTTCTCGTGTTATTCTTGTTTTTATAGGTTTTTCAATGCAATGGATTGTAGAATGCAAAATTAACAGAAGATATGTTGCAAAAGTTTAGGCAGTGATTGTCAATGATAGACAACAGTAGATTCATGCAGTTAATTTCAAAATTACACTTTCTCAGTTACTGTATACGATAAAGTTGCTCTATGTGGTTCCATATGTATTAATACATGCTTCTCCCTTGCCTGCTCAAACATTTGATAAAAACTGGTGAAAGTAAATTGAAGCCATTAGTAAAGTTTCTCTAGCCTTGGTTTCTAGAAATGTTATTAATTAGCTTGAGATGTTTTACCAGATGCGACTATGTAGTAGCTGCTATAGACTCAGATCCTTTATATTGAATAATCATTTTTGTGGCTCTCTTTATTTACTTAAACATATGATAATTATAAATATTTTTGAACTTTGAACTTTGACATTACATTTAAAAATGAAATTTACCTGGGAGATTAGTTCACATCTTTGTGGGACACAAATTTAGATTGCTATTGCAGAATTAGGAGGTTGGGTATAAATGCAATTTTTGGCACTTCCTTTTTCTTGCTTGATCAATGTTTGGTGCGAAATTTTCCTATTGACCTTTCTTTGTCCGTGCAGGAGCATTTGCTGATTGTATGTGAATTGCTTAAAGCAAATCTCTATGAATTCCATAAATTTAATAGAGAATCTGGGGGTGAAGTCTACTTTACGATGCCGAGACTACAGGTTGGCAGTGCAAATATTATTTCCTGATCGATTATTACTGTTTTTGATACTGAAATGGATGTTTGATTTCACAGTCTATTACTATTCAATGCTTGGAAGCGCTGCAATTCTTGCACAGTCTTGGCCTTATACATTGTGACCTAAAGCCTGAGAATATTTTGGTGAAAAGTTATAGTAGATGTGAGGTGAAGGTTATTGATTTGGGAAGTAGTTGCTTCGAAACCGATCACCTTTGTTCGTACGTTCAGTCAAGGTCGTACCGGGCACCTGAAGTTATCTTGGGACTTCCGTATGACAAAAAGATCGATATTTGGTCCCTTGGTTGCATCCTGGCAGAACTCTGCACAGGCAATGTAAGTTCATCTATTTTGTAGCTCTTTATTTAACAAATAGTCAATTCTAGAAATATGCAATTAACTTTTAGTTGGTCTTTTGATCATTGCTTTATTATTTACTGCATTCTCTGTTCCAAACATCCTGCAACATTTTCATTTCGAGTTTGTCCCAAACACTATGCAACATTTACGAAATAGGAAATAGTTAAGTATATTTAATCCCTAATAAATATACATCACATTTTATCCCCTGATATCATTCAAATAAAAGAATAAATATACACTTCTATCTCTCATTATATCACTTAATATCCAAATTATTTTTACTTAATACTACCGGCCTAAATTTCCGTGTCTAAAATCAAATATTGCACTATGTTTGAGACATGGAGAGTATTTGTTTATCCAATTTCACTAAAACTAAAAATAAAAATGATAGAGCCCACCAATTTTATCTATTGTGCAGCATGCTGTCTGGTCGCTTATTGTCATCTTGCAGTTAGTGTGTTTTCAGAGAGTAGAGACGAACATTTGGTGCGGCTAGCATATATCAACTCATCGAATGGGCTGTTTAGTGTGTGGGAGCTCAAATGAACGTTTTATTATCTGTCTCCACCCTCTTGGTTGAGTCAAAGCCTATTTTAATATGACTACAGCTGAGTCGGAGAGTTTGATTCTTGATGAATTAGTCAGCTCGATTTCAAATCCCAAATTAGTCCTTAAATTTGGCGTCAGGCCGTCAACCACTTATGAAGTCATTTGTATCACACTAGGAGTGTTAGTGCGGCGTGCCCATCCAGTTTGAAACTGCACAAGCTGTTTCTTGTTTGGATCTATCCTGAATCAACAGCAATTTCGCCGAATAATTTATTACGAAGCAAAATAAAATACAGGCTGCATTTGATCAGTTTTCTACCAGATGAAGCAAATTTTATTCGCCATTGCCTGTTCTGCAACTATTATTGTGTTTCAATCTTTTTGTTGTCCCATTTAATGAAATTTTGCTCGTTAGTTTTGCTGCAGTCTTTATATCATGAAATGCTAAAAATAATGTGCAACCTAATGATGTTATGAATAGGTTCTTTTTCAAAATGATTCTCCTGCCACTTTACTCGCTCGAGTAATTGGAATCATAGGCTCTGTTGATCAAGAGATGCTTGCAAAGGGACGCGAGACGTACAAATACTTTACCAAAAATCACATGCTTTATGAAAGGAACCAGGTAAACTTCTGTTGTTTCATATTTTGATCACACACAGTACTTTGTGAAAACATAGATGAAACACTTTTAGAACCCTCCACAAGTATTTTCCTTTTGTTTTGCTCTTATCCTTTCTGTGAGTTTTGCATTTGAATTTATTTATTACCTACCATTCGTCCAAAATAACAAATTTGTTTTGGTATGGTAAATGAAGTCTACTTTCTAACTTTCAATCAATCTATATTGTGCGATCCTCTGTTGAATGGGGATTCTTATCTTCATTCTGCGCCGCCCAATTGATCGTGTGACCGTGTGTATATATGTGTGTATGTTACAAGATTGATTGTTAATTAACTTGTACGATTGAGGATTTTCGCGTTCGAATAGATCATACATGATGATTGAATAATCGATGAATTCTAAGGGCCTTTTATTATTATTCTTTTTAGATTTGAATGAAAAATAGGCTTCAGATAAAATGTTTCGAATAGAAAATATGTGTTAGAATGTAATGTTAGAATAGAAAATAGATTTTTGGATGTCATATATTTAGTGCAAAAACAAAGACTGTTTGCTCAGTATTTATAGTTTTAGGTATTTATGTTATGAGTTACGAGGAATTATGAAAGTCTTATAAAGAACGATGTCTTTGTCTGTTTACGTGAATTTCTATTGTTATATATATATATATTATATTTTTGGGTAATATTTTCTGAATTCTTTATAATTGTGTGCTCGCCCCATTATGCCACGGGACCCTTTTCCAATGCTTGACATATTTTCCCCTTATGTTGTCTTCAGGACACCAACAGACTCGAATACTTGATACCCAAAAAGTCGTCCTTAAGACACCGGCTACCAATGGGAGACCAAGGCTTCATCGACTTTGTTGCCCATTTGCTTGAAGTAAACCCATCGAAGAGGCCATCAGCATCCGAGGCACTAAAGCATCCTTGGTTGCAATATCCTTACGAGCCAATCTCATCCTAGTTCTTGAGGTCGTTATTACATCTTCAGGATCGAACGGGTTCTCAAGAATTTAGGTAAAATCGTTCCCTCCATTGATTTGCTAGTAGATTCTTTCAATGGGGCTGTAATTTTCGGGTGCCTTCATCGGTTTTTAACTGTTGATATTTGGACATTCTTCCTTTACCCGCGGGAACTTCTTGTCTCCAACAAAATGTATTGTAATATTGTGCGCGCACGAGTAGATTTTTCTTTTCTTTTGTTATTTTTGGGAGTGTTTTGTTGTGGGAAAGGAGGGATGTGTTAAAAACCTCTTCTTGTTGTACATGATGTGTGATAATTCTTTTGGCTAATTTTAGATGTAATTTGCCTTGTTTTTATTGCAATTATGGATTCAACCTTTCAATAGACGTTGATATTATCATCTGCTCCCTGCAAAACTTTACTGTCTTCTTCTTCTTCTTCTTCTCAAGTCAGGTTTGTAACAGTTCAACTTGAATTCGAATAATGGGTATTTTGAATTAATCGTTCGATATTTTACATACGCTTATGGATATAGACATGTAAATTATAGACACATATATAATTCTGAATAATAAAAATTTATGTTTTAAAACTCAAGTAAACATATAATGAAATTAATGTATATGTGGTGCCATGGAATTAAATATAAAAAATAGTATATAATTAAAAATCTATGATTTTCCCTATATATATATATATATATATTTAACAAACATTACCTTTGTGTAATTATATTCACTCTAAGTTATATATTTTATAATTAAACACTTTTTATGTATTTTTTTTATAAAAATATTTCTTATCCTAGTATAAGAAAGAATAGCATATTAGCATAGCACATTGTCTAACCAAATATACACTTGATTTATTGTTTCATCCGTTCAAATTTATATCATTTTTTTTAATTACAAAATAAATAGATATAGAGAGAATATTATAAATATTTAATTACAAAGTAAATAGGTATATATTTAATTTCACTTAATAGGACCAACAAACTAGAAAATTACATTTTTTATGGGACGAAGAATAAGAAAACTAATCTTTTGATAATTTAATATATAATAGTTGCAATCTTTCATTGTTTTGTGTGATTAAATTCAGTGCATCAAATATACACTTGATTTTATTTATCATCTCAAACAATTCTTGAGACTATTTTCTAAGACAATTCATCACAAGGAAATATGAATGTGTTTACATATGTTTTTGGAAGTAACTTAGAATTTTGGATTGATCTAGAACAATAAAAAAATTAAAATTAGAATATAAAATATAAAATATATGTGCATAGATTGGATATGATGGTTTGAATAGAAAATATAGTTTGTATTTAATATTGTAAATGAAAATAAATTTTGAATATAATGTATATTTTTTAAAAAGTTTGTTTGTTATTATTATGAAGTGTGAAAATATAAGTTTGAAAACATTAGTAAACAATTAAACTTTATATTTTCTTGTTATATATATGTATATATGTGTGTGTGTGTGTGAGCGCGTGTGTTCGATTTTCAATTTTATTTTGTAATTTGTATAATTGTATTGTCATACTTTGGTTTTGTAATATTTGATCATATTTCATATTTATATTCTAAAATGTAAAAATCACATGGTTGTAGTAACATAAAAATTTCATGATAAAAAGGGTGTTATGTTACCATAGGTTTAAAGTCAAGAAGAGCCTTCAAGTGACAAGAAATCTATAAATGGCATAGCTCCAGAAACTGAACAACTTCTTCGAATTTCTGAGCATGTTGTTTTTTGATCGACTTCATTTTCTTCTATTTCTTCTTCTTCTTCTTCTTCTGCTCGACTAATATTCGAATCAGTATTCACTTGGAGAAAATCGTAGAATTCTACTCCATTACTAGCTTCTGCATTTTCAAGATTGTAGTAAACAATGAATAATAATAATAATAATAATAATAATAAGGAGAGCACAATTAGTGTAATGTTAATGTGATATAATTTGATTTCTTCACAATATTTTTGGTTAAAAAGGAATTATATTATATTGATGAGCTTATTTATTTATCAATTTAATTCTAATGTTTTAAGTACACCACTCTTACAATTTTAATTATATATTGTAGAACCTGTCCTTTTTAATTGATGTCTGCTGAAAATTATTCATAATTAATTAATTAGACATCCTTATTATAATAATCTCATGCACTAATTTGCATAATTGGAGTTGATATAGCTTGCTACATCGATCAATTCGAAAAAAAAATTCTACATTAGCAAGCCATGCAACTTCAATAATGTTCCTATATTAGCTCACATCACCGATACATGTGAATCTCTAGTGCTCGAAAATGAATACAAATACGACAACATCTAATTGACTATGAATTAATTTCCAACAATCTTCAAAACAAAAATAACAAGAAATTATGATACAATGTGAAAAAACTAAGTAAAATGAAAAGTTGGTGGGATTAGTGTTTCTCTGTAATTTAGAATTGAACTAACAATTTAAAAATTAGTAAGAATTTGTTTTGAAACAATATTTTATGCTGTATAAATAGATATTTAGCAAGATATTTTGAATATATAATATTTTGGTATAAGGTAAACGAAAAATACATATTTAATTTGAAGGTTTTTAATATAATATATTCAATGAATATAAGTGAGATCGAAAAAGTTTAGGAAGAAACATTACTAAGTGGAACAAAATAAAAGAAAGTAGCAATGCAATCTAAATTATGTTTGATATTTCAAAAAATCCATATTATCCCATAAAGGAAAAAAAAAAAAAAGAAAAAAAAAAAAACTATGGATAAAATCATTTGTATTTTGAAAAACTTCAAGTACATTGTATGAATATGATAATAAAACAAACAAAATGTACCATTTGAATTCTAACCATATATTGAGTTTATATTATCCCTAATCAACACCTTATCATTCCTATAAAATAAAAAATTGATAATCATTTTTATATATCTATGGAATAAAAAAATATTGCAAATTATATATATATATATATACATGTGTGTGTGTAATTTCTTACCTCTATAATCCATCTTCTTCTTATGTTGAAGTTGATGATCCTTCCATTGTAATTGCATTGCAAGATCATTTCTCCCAAAGGGATACCGAAAATCATCGAATCTCCATTGAGGACATCTCAATTTCTGCACAAAGTCATCACCATTTGGATAAAATCTCATCACATTTTGATGGTCATTATGCCTTGATGAGGAAGACGACGAATATTGTTGGTCGCAAAGATTATTGCTATTGTTATTGTTGTTATTATTTAGTGATCGGATGATTAGAGGTTGCGAATGAGCCCTATTGGCGTATGCTCTAGATTTTTCTCGGCATTTTCTTGCCATTATTACGTGCCAATGATTCTTGACAGCATTGTCTGTACGCCCCGGGAAGCACCTCGCGATTATGGCCCACCGGTTTCCATGAATACGGTGGCAAGCGAGGAGGCGCTCTTCTTCTTCCTCGGTGAAAGGGCTTCGATTTATTCGAGGATCCAATTGATTGAACCATCTCAATCTACAACTCTTCCCTACAAAAAATAAATAAAAAAAATTGATCGTAGTTGTGTAGATAGTTGAATGTTTGATTTCAAAATTAAATAAGTAACTTGAAAAATGAAACAGAATTTGCTTGTTTGTGTTTTCAATCATAATTTTATACTATGGAAATTATAGTATCTTTCTCCCTAAAAAATACTATATTCGTCCAGTTCTAAGGGTACCATTTACTTTTTACGTGTTGATTTTTTAATATTAATTATAATACTAATAGAAAGACATTTGTACAAAAAATTATACAAATATAAGGATATTTTTAATTTTAAATACAATGACGCAAAAGCTAAATGTGACCTTTAGAGGCAGACGGAAGGATTAGTATTTAACGCGTTCAAAATATTATAGATAAAATTGTCGACTACAAGAAAATATTGTTTTTATAACGAGGTTTTTTCATCCCTATATCTATTTTTTCAGTTACTAATGATATTAAAGACATAATTAGAGATAAAATGACGAAATTTAGTTACAAATATATTGTTTCTTTTTTGGTAGTGATCTATCTATTCAAAATATCGTCTTCAAATTATTATCAAATTAAATATTTATTTTTTTTATTTAATATACTAAAAAAATCAATGTTCAATTTACTAATATATTTTTGAAAATTTTAACACTATTAATTAATAATAACATTCTTCAAAATAAAAAATAAAATATTACATCATATATATATATATATTCTTTCTCACAAAACTCGGACTCAATACATTTTTTTTTTTAAAAATAAAATAAAATTAATTTTTAGAAAATTTTAAAAACATCCATCTAAACCAACCTTAAATTTTATTCAAAATATCATGTTAAACAATTAATTTAATTTGAAAATTTATTATATAAAACCTCCATACTCAAATCCAAACCTAGAAGATTGAAACACACCCTTGGTTGTTCATACAACACCAAACCCTAGCAACATATGTATATATACATATATATATAGAGAGAGAGAGAAAGGGAGTTAGAGAGAGAGAGAGTATACCTGATCTACCGTGGAGCTTATGGGCAATGGCGTTCCAGTTGTGAGGGCCATATTTATGGACCAATTCTCTCAGCTTCTCATCCTCTGCAGGTCTCCAATGCCCTCTCTTGCACATCATCGACTCTCTCTCTCTCTACATATATATGCATATATATATGCACTGTGGGAAAAAAGTGTTTAGATAATTGTAAGTGTAGGAAATGAAGAGGAGGAACGATGGATAACCTGCAAATGGAAACAACACACAACTATATACATATATGATATATATATATATAGAGAGAGAGAGAGAGAGAAGAGAGAGAGGGGATGTTAAGTGGTCTTTCAACATCAAAGTCTGAAATAATCTTTGGAAAATTCTAACCTACATTACCCACCACCTTCTTTCATTTCTTCCAATTCTCTCTCTCTCTCTCTCATACACACACTCACAATCGCGCGCATGCACTTCTTATCTGACATTCTTAGTCTCTCTTCTGTAATTTTTTTTTTCCCACCAAATGTCAAATCAATATATAGTTTGTTTTTCAGACACGTCAAGTCACCTGCTACACATGATTCACCTAGTGTAATTTGTCCGTCGGACCTGGTTTGTAGGGTATTAGGTTCGGCCGGAAGTTTATCCAGTGTACACTTTCCGATAGCGGCTGCGGGTTCTCACGTAAAAAAAAAAAAATATATATATATACATAGTTTGTTCTCGCAAGGAATAGCCTGATCAGGCCTGTTCTTGACCTTTATTAGACCCGAGGCAAAATTAGAATATTGAGCCCTTAAATATATTTCTTATATAATAATAATAATAATAATAATAATATATTTTAATATAAATGTATTAACAAAATATTTTTTATATATTAAAAGATCAAAATATAAATATAAAATTAATGTGACATATTTGGTATAACATAAAAAAATTAAAAAAAAAACTATTTGATTTAATATTTTTTAAAGAATATTTTTATAAACAATTAAAAGTCTTCGAAAGAAAATTTTCAAGGATTTGTTTCTTTTGATTGATTTAGAGAAAAATTTGGTTTGAATTTGATATTAAAATAATGTTTGATAAAATGTTTGTGAGAGAGAAACGCATAGTCTTAATAGTAAAAATTAGAAAGTTTAGATTAAATAAACAAACTCAATGTTTATATAATACACAAATTTTTTAAACTACTACTAAAAAATATAATAAAATATAAAAATTTAAACATATAAAAATAAAAATAATAAGAACACAAAAATATTACTCTGTCATATCTTTTTAATTTTACATAATTCACAAAAAATATAAAATCATACCATTAAATAAACACACTAAAACATACAAATAAATAATTTAAAAATTTATGTAAAACCCATTTATTTAAAAAATAATTATAAAATAAATTTTTATTTAAATTTTATTTTATACATTCTACAAAATATAATAATAATAATATATATTAATATATAGGAGTATATATATATATATATATATTATTGGGGCCCTTTATGGGCTTCTAGATGGGAATGGGCCGTAGGCAAAGGCTCTTATGGCCCTGGCCCAGGGCCCGAGCCCGAGAGTTGAACTTGCGACCATGAGATCATGGGTTCAAACGCGGACACATCAGGTCTCTTGTCTACCATAAACAGATCAACCGAATATCATTTCACATTGGAATATTAGAAGAATAATCCACATTTTACCGTGCCCCGTTATTATTATTATTATTATTAGATGATAATAAAATATTAATACAAATTAAATTATTAGTTAAAGTCGTGTACAACTAAATATGTATAATTAATGAATGCATGAGAAAGATGATGAATTAAATTGAATCTGATGAGTTTGGTAATGTTGTTAGAACAGTAATCATATATATATATATATATATATTTGTGATTTATTTATTTTATTTTATTTATTTAGGTCTTGATAAGCTTTTCAGCACCTAACTCTAAATTGGCCAACTTAACTTAACTTAACTGATGCACCTCCTAATCATACCACAATTATCATTTTTAATCCTACCTAATTCATTCTATCTAATTAATATACACATTTATAAAATATAGTGTGTGTGTGTGTGTTTTCTTTCCTATTTTTTTATGATTCAATTTATTATTTATTTTAATAACAAATATTAATAATATTATCAATATGGATAGTGTGCAAACTAATATTCATTAATGTAGTTCAACAAAGTTGTTATATAGTTAAATAATGTTTTTTTTTTTTTTTTTTGTATAATGGATTTACATAAATGTTCAATATAATATATTTTTAATCATTCAAACACATTAACATCATACTTCATCCATTTTTATTTTATTTTTTAATTTTTTTTTGTTAATATACATGACTCAATACATTATATTATTTTTCAACAATGTAATAAAATAAATTGCAATTCAAACCATTTGTATGTAATTTAATTACTCTTTTTAATTTTTGCTAATTCCTTATAGTTGAAACAGCAAGGCATTTCCAGCGTCATCCAAAAAAAAAAAAAGAATTAATGTTATTCAACTAATTTAATAATTATAGTTATCATCAAGATTAATTAAATATTTAATTTTAATACGTAAGTACACATATTATTAATAATAATTGAGGAATATAGTACAAGAGCACGTAAAATATGCCAATCTAAACTCCTAAATTAAAGCCAAGAAGAATTATACGATAAAATTAGCTCATTCAAAAGAAATATAAATACATATATATATATGGCCGCTCAAATATAGAGAGACAACGCATTAAATATAAATTAATAACATAATATTTATATTTATATAATACAGATATAACTAATATAATATAAAGATAATATCCCTTCGTCCCAGCTATTCATTTACTATTTGTGTCATTGTACTTAACATTAAAAATATTTTTATATTTGTATAATTTTTTATACAAATATCGATTATATTAGTATTATAAGACATTAATATAAGTATTTTTGTCATTTTTTCTTAATTTGTAATACATTTTAATATAATAATTAATATTAAAAAATTAACATATAAAAAGTAAATGAATACCTAATTACGAGACATATGAAATATATAAATTCACGACATATAACAATAATTCATATAATACGTAGTTCCATTCATTTCAAACATAAGAGAAGCGCACATAATTTTAATTAACACTACATATGCTATATTAATTGAAACTATATAATACTCTTTTTCGACCATCTTTTAATTTTATACCCATTTTTTTTGAAAATATAAAAGAAGTGGGCATAAGATTAACAGAAAAAAGAAATATTATATTAATATAAAAAATGAAATAAGTAAAAAGTAATATAAAGGTATTATAAAAAATTTATTAAAAAATAATAAATAAAAAACTAAAGTAGAAACATTATAAAAAAATTATTAAATCATTAATAAAAAATAATAAAATAAATAGAAACAATAACAAATTGATTATTAATTATTAAAATAATAAAATTATTTACCACTAAATAAATTATTCATAAACTTAACCGAAAAAAAAAAAGAAAAAAAAAAGCTCACATATTTATCCCCACGAGAAAAGTAATTATTTATCTAATTTTTTTTATATACTAATTAATGGAGTACAAAAGACCAAGTTATATATGGCTATAAAAAGTTCCAAATTCAATTTAATTTCAAGTAAGATCATTCAACTAAAAGATTGCAATTGATTGGAGTTTTACTCAAATATTTTCACAAATATTACATCAATATCCATTCATATCAAATCAAATTATTCAAATTTAAAATTTTTACTATTTAAAAATTAAAATCCAAAATTCAAACCACCACCCAAACACAACCTTACATGAGTCACATTTGATCATGCAAATTACATCACATATTTAAAGAAACAAAGAAATGAAAATTAAATAATAATAATAATAAATAAATAAATAAATAAATTATTGTTGTGCAGTTGAATTGTCATACCTATATGTAACTGTAAAGGCAAACAGTACTTAGTTCTCAACGTCCTTACGGTTGCCACAATGTTAAACACTTGTTTTTGACCGTTGGCCTAACCATTCTTAAATATATTTCCCTCTTATTTTTTTTATTTATTAAATAAATAAACACAGCAGCATGCCTATTCAATGAAAAAATCACAAATGTAACAACAATACAAGAGAATTCCCAAACTCAAACAAACCAAACTATGAAACATAACACATCCATTCAAATTTCACCCAAACATATTATAATCTCAACAATTTATTACAAAAACATCGGATTCAAACCACAAACACAAAAAAACACACTTGTAGAAAACAAGAATGTATATAAATTTGATCGAAACATAAAAGGCGGGCGATCGATAGGATTAAAAACAGCTAAAGAATTCCCAACTCAAGAAGCTATCCAAACTTCTCAACTACTTGAACCATGTGAATTGCGCGAGCAATCATGGTTTTCTAAGAAATGTTTCGGGTGTACAACTACTTAACCTAACGATATTTTGCAGCAGCTACTGAAATATAAGCTCAATAACTAAAATGTCACAGAAACAAGTTTTCGAAAATAACATCAGCATCACCATGTATGACAGTGTGATTAAATAATATCATCAAAAGCTTGCCCGACAATATAAAAAAGAATCAGAATCGAAGGATCAGATCTAATGCGACAATGTAATATAAAATATGATTCCTTTTGAGTACAGCTTACTTTTTTAGTCAATGGATAGTAGGTGGAAGACAAGGATGTATATAGTTACAATTCCAGTTTTAGTACTAACCTTGATGGGAAAATTACACCTTCATGTGATTCTATATGTAGATCGGGACATAGAATGTTTGGCGTGTTCTTCAATCTACGTTCTTGCCATGAATACAATCCTAACATAGGCTACTGTGTATTAGTTAGTATATAGATGGAATAAAACATCGTCATCAATCAAATTTTTATGTATAAAATATCTATTGACGAATCTCATAGAAGATAATGACTCGTAGGAATAGGATCAAAGCCATTACTTTCGGCTAAAGTGTTGAATATAACTACTAACTTACCAGGCCATGATGATTTCCACACTTTGTAGCTTTTTAAAATGGTTCATAATTATTCGGCGTATAATCATAACTTGAACGAGGAATAAAATTTAAGGAAATATACGATTCTTCAATTACACGCAACTAGAAATGCCACTAACAGAAAAAGGAAGGTCAATTTCCAATGAAATGATCATACCAGGGATTGATGGCAGCTCAAGTCGTGCCACCCAGCTTTCCACAAAGCTACAAGAAAGTCTGGAGCTCTACACATCACGATCTCGACTTTTGTAGCAGTCAAAAAGACAATGATGATATTAAACAGAATTTGTGAAATGAAACGACATCACTTATTAGATTAAGCACCACAAAGAAAATAACAGAATGCTTTGTTCGACAAATATGTGCTTCGTTGAAATATCATAAAGCCATTATTGTCATCCCACCATTAATTTTTCTATTTCATTCGCCTAATTCAACATAAACAGCACTTCTTTCACGTCAAATAGCAAGAGTAATTTCTACCACATTGAGGGAAAATTGACAAGTTCAAATAGAAGGTAAATACAATCATATGTTAATATGTAGGTGAAACGAGTAAATTGGCGCATTAATTTAGTTAATTCCCAAGGGTCAACATTTGCATCATACTATCAACATTAAGAAGAAAAAGACTATGAATGCCCACAATTAGGACCTAATTTAACAATAGATATCATATCTGCAAGGATTTCAACTACACAGAAGAGTATATGATTGATCGAAGTGCTATTACAATAATCAAACTACACGGCTACTGACTAAAACTGCCCAAAAGAAAGATCCTCAGCTAAGTACAAAGTGATCAGTTGAATCAATCAAAGGGTACACTATATCCTATAGTTACTTACACAGCTGATAGTTCAACTTCCTGAGAGCAAGGTCGATATGCAACAAATGTGAAATCATTTGAGAACGAACCAGGATTAAAACATGTAATCCCTGTGTAATTAAATGCCTTCTGCTCGCTTCTATCCCCTAAGACTATCTGCACATACAATAAAAAATGACTTAAAATCAAATTAGATGAATTTGACCTTCTTCAGATGTATAAATGAAGAATAGAAATTACTGTATGAGGGGTCGGATAGATGTGTAGACAGTGATCATAATTCCAGATGATCGGCTGTACGCTCAAAGGCAGAGGGCACAGATGGCTTTGATGAGTTATTGTTGCAACAAGCTGCAGAAGAAATATTAGGATCATGTATCGTTTAATTTTGTGTAAAATACAAGCCAGCCACTTGTGCGAGTATATGTGAGGAAAAGATCAGACTTACATGCTCGAAAGGGTCACTTGTTTCTTCAGTTGAAGGAGGCATTACGCATGATCTCCGCATTCTATACAGCATATCTTGGCGGAAGAACACAATTTCTTGTGAATAATATTTAATTCTGATTTCCATCAAAACAAAGTTTACTTTCAGTTCAAAAAAATAAATGATCATTTGAAATTGCAATAGTGATGAGTGTTTTTAATCGCTATAAGAATGCATTTAAAAATTCAAAGTGATCAACCATAGTAGCTTTGAAACCTTTTCTGAATCCTGGTAAAAAATATCAGCAAGAATTGAGACCATAAATAACCTGCAGGGATTACTCAAGAACACTGCATTAGGGATGTGTTTTTGAAGCTCCTCCTTTATGTAATTTGGCAATGAACATCTGGGCAGAACATTCGAAGGACCTAAAAAGAATAAAAAGCTGTTGTCACTGACTCATACATGGAAGAAACCTGCAATAACAACTAGTATTACCTATGTCGTCAGGACCAGGAATGAAGAGAAATCTGCTGTGTTCTTTCAGCTGTTGATGAGCTGCAATCATTTCACCAAGTTTCCCAAATTGTGATCTGCATATACAATTGTTTTATTGTCAAATTTTGGTCATAAACAAGATCTTCAATGGAATACAGAAACTAAAATTTCTTACCTGAGGCTTGAAAAGGAATTAAAGGCTAGGTTGCATGGACGTGAACAGAAGTTTCCCATGAAAACAAATAATGACGGGGACACATTTGCATTCTCATAACCGCTGAGAATGACCTCCAGTTTTTCCATAGTCTTCTCCAAAAATAGCATAATGAAGAAATTAGTAACCAACATTTGCAACATAGGCACACAAAAGAGTTGAACAGATTAAGAAATAAAGAACACAAAGAACTGAATGAGTGATTACATTGTCATCGTCCAGCCAAACATCAGAAAGTATAACAAACATGTCATTTACAGCCCCTTTTTCCAGCTCTGCAAGTCTAACCTGTCGTAGGGGTAGGGTTGTGCATAATCAGTTCTGTTTATATCATAACTTGAAAAAAGATCTCTTTTCACAGAACAGATTACTGAAGGATACCGTCTCTTCTTTTGTAAGTGAACCACCACCAAAGAAATCAACCCCTGCGAACATTGAGACTGACTTTTCCCGGTCCTCCAGTGGAGGAAATCCACATGTTTTCACCTGAAAATTAATTTTCAACCAATTAATTGATAATCTAAATTTTCTAAGCACTGGTGGGCACAAGTTTTGGTGTTTATAATCAAATATTTAAATCTATATTACATAACCCTCATATTATCAGCTGTTTCATCTCAATGACATATTTTCACTTGCAGGTCACAGAACAAAATTAATACAAACCTGAAAAATGCCATTCAACAGCATCTCGCCTTCTGCTAAGACTACCGTGTTTTCTACAAAGAATCCTGTTGTTATTCTGTGGTTTATGTTAAGGAAACGGAGGCTCAGGCATTCATATATTTCTAGAGTAAACATCTAGAATTCTTGCATCCCTATTTCTGTGAAATTCCCCCATGCCATGATAAGAAAAAGGGCTTTCGTGTAATGAAAGAAAATGAGTATCGATCCTTCACTACAAAAAAATAATATATTTGTAACGGAATTTCGTCCCTAAAGTTCACGTAGCTAACGTAATTCCATTCCTAATTCCGTCTCTAATGTCATTAGTAACGTAAAAAATAGATTTAGAGACAAAAAAATTTTGTTACAAAAATGATTTTTTCTTGTAGTGCTTGCTCACAAATCAAATGTCTTAGCACCTCTTACAAAACAAAATGAAGCTTGTTTTAGGATTGTAAAAACCTCAGAGAAGAGAAATGGCTATAGTCTTCCTAAAAACAGGTTACAAAAATATAAGAGAATACGTAAGCAAACACAACTCATTCTAGAATCCAAGCTACTGGTGTAACAGCATAAGAATCTAAAGAATTATAGCTACAGTAAAGGATATTGCATTGGTTAAATCAGCTTCCACAGCTGCAGTCAAGTCTTCCAAATAGAAATGACCATCTTCCAACTGAGAGATAAGACCCATCACCCATCTCTTTCCTGTCTGACCAACAAGCGATTGAATTGGAGATATCTGAGAACATTGTTTTCAAAACATCACAAAAAATCGATCAGCATGCTACTTAAATTAATTATGTTGCATAGAACAGAGGAGACAGGTACCTGGCAGCTTCCATAATCAGAAATATCACTATCGAAAACAGGCTTAGAAAAATGCGGGTCACGGGAAAGCCTTTGAAACAACAGAAGAAACCTATCCCTGTATAATGACAGCTTTGCAGAAGCATCACCATGAATTGGAAGTTTCCCCGTGTATCTGCAAAAAAAAAATGAAGAAAGAAAAAAGAAAAAAAGAGAAAATGAGCTTGCTACAAGAACCACTGGCAAGATAAGAGTTCCATGACAAAACATTCTGTAAATTTTCCAAATTTAATGCAAGACTTGATGGCATACATACTTGTGAAACAACTTCTTAATAGGATCATAGCGAAATTTGGGGAAATCAAAGGCATCAATTATTCTCAATGCTGAAGCAGCGGAGAGGTAGCCTCCTCCTGACGGATTCTCCTCAATAGCCGCCTCAGCTTCCAGCAAAAGACTCACCACTCTGTGCACAGGTTCCTTGTCCAAAATCGAGGATTTCACTACATCAAAATTTAAAAACAAAGAAAGACTAAAAACCAACACTAATCTGAAAAATTCATGAAGAAATTGAAACCAAGAGATGTGTCGGTGGATTACAAGAGAGGTGGCGGAGCTCATCAAGGAGGAGATCAATGGCTTCATCCTCAGCTTCAGGGAAATGGGTGAGGAATCCAAGAATTTCTGACAAAGCGTCAATTTTGAGGGTATAACCCCTCATCTTGAACTTCCTTTGCACTTTATTCCTCATTGCCACAGCCATCTTCTTCCAAATTAGTGGGAGATGAACAGCACAAACTACAGCTCAAGATGATTGCGACAGGGTGCTGTATGCCTACTCTACCATCCTGCAGAAGGAAAATTAAATACATAAAGAAAATGATCATTAATAATAAAATCAGTTCATAGATCCTGAGAAAGATAATACAATACCAAAGAGAAGCTGAATGTTATCAAAGTATACATCATTGATGAAAAATTAAATGAAATTATTCTTTTTTGTATAGAGATTCTTTCATAACATTCATTCAAATAACTACCAACAGATGAAAACAAAGCTTAATATATTACAGCCACAAAATATAACACGAAGTAAATCATCATTCGAAGCTTCAAGGACACATTAGATCCTTCGTCTGACAAGTGTTTCTAGACATAACAAAAAGAGTTGGAAATGCATACTTCAAAAAATCTCTGATACCATCATATTCAGCAAACGAAAATAGCAAATCATATTGACAACTAAAGCAGCTAGTAAGACATGTGCATTGCATTCACCCTTTATATTACAATTTCCCGTCAACATCAACAAACATGTAACTTATATCATGCTATTTCAACATTTTGCATATTTTTATTTGGCACTTCATTGTAGAGTCCCATACTTTCCCCCCATGCTTATATACTCTTCCAACTCTTTTTTATTTTTTCCTTTTAAATTACAAAATAACATTCCAAACATTTAAGCGTTTCTCTACTACGCAATCCTCACAAATTCCTTACAAAAATAAGTCATTTCCTCTAGCAGAACCTGGCATCCATCCCACTATTTAATGTAGCCTTAGAAATTTCTATTTAATCTGCCATCTCGATTAATACTCTGATTCAAATCATTAGATGCCATAATATTTCTTATTCTTCTTTAATGTGCAAATATTATGAAAAGTTAGTTATCAAAATAAAATCAGAATAGTTCGACAAAATAACAACTTAATGTCATGCACTTAATTTACAATGAAAAACCCACAAGGTAAATCCAATCACACAAAAATGCATAAGATTAGAACCCATCCAGTAAGCGCCTGAATCAATTCCAACGAAGGAACTCATCAATCCGCACAGAACCAACAAAAATCAAACCAACAGACTTCAACACTTCGAATTAAACTAAAATCAAAACAGTTAATTACAAATAACACCAAAAAATCCAATCCCTAAATACCACAGCAGCCGCAGGCATTGAAAATTTGATAACAGCGGTTCATTAAAATAAATAAAAAAAAAAAATAAGGATTGAACTTACAAGCCCTCCCTACAAAAACTGTAGGATAAAGAAGCTGCCCTGCCTCGTAGGCCGACGTCGAAAACCGGCGACGGAGCAAGATGACGGGAGGAAAGGAAATGGCGGATCTGAAAGACGACACGATAGAATTTGGAAGAAAATGCCCTGATGCTTCTTTACTTCGGCATTGAAAATGGCGGGAATCTGTGAGGTTTTTGGGTTGGGGCTTTTGTTGGTTATTTGGTAGTTTTGTGGGCCAAAAGGCCCAATAACATGTCAAAAGAGATTTTGGGTTCGTTTGATTTCGTTCTCAAATAATTAAATGTGTTTATTTTGATTGAGTTTGGAAAAAAAAATTTTGAGTTTGATATTAAAATAATATTTTATGAGATATTTTGTGAAAAAAAGAAATATATTTTTTTCGAAGAAATGCAGAATCCAAATAGTAAAATTTGATTAAAAAAACGGAGCCTAAAATAATAAGGTTTGTTTGCTCAATTATTTTGTTTCCAATACAAGTTCTAATATCTATTTTATTTTTTTTTATAAAAATTAATATTCAATATAAAATATTATTTTTCCTGATTTGAATTTGAGTGTTGTGAAAATCAGATTATCCGATGATTCGAAATTTAAATCCGACTTTAATTTATAATTATAATTATTTAATATTTATTTCAAATTATTTTATACTCCAAAATAAAATAATATAAATAATTTAATTATAAAAAAAATAAACAATATACTCCCTCCCATCCCATATATTTTGTCGATGTTATTGTATATACATGAAAATTTAGATAAAATATAATTAATAAGTAATTAAGAAATATATTAGTAAAAATAATTATAATAAAAATGATTATAAATTAAAATTAAAATAACTAAATAGTTTAATTATGATTTAAAAAATTATAAATTATAAAAATTAAAATATGATTAAAGTTTATTATAATCATATTTTTTTAAAAAATCAAATTATATGGAACGAATGAAAATAAAAAATATGGACAAATTAATAAAATAGAAATATAAAATAAATAATAGACATACTTTTGGTTTCTCACTCCTCTCTTCAAAGCTTATTGTTTCAACCCCCAACTCATATTGAATTGTCCATATTTTATTTCTGTATCCCAGAAGTATAGTATTAATTGGGTTGTACCCGAGATTTAAAGAATAATAATATTATATTGGTAGTGAGTAAAAAGTACGGGTAAAAGACTTTTTTGTTCTTGTGAATGTATTAGTGTAAAAAGTAGTGGCAATTGTGTAATAATAATGAAAAAATAAAGTTAATTTTACAGTATACGATTATTTATGGGAATGAGACTATTGTTTTGGGACGGACAAAAATGGTAAACAAGACTATTATATTGGGACGGAGAAAGTATTATTTTCTATTCAAATTAATAGATTTTTTATCGTCTAATACCATGTTATATAATATTAACGATCAATTCACCTAAAAACTTATAAATAGGTATTATTTATTTATTTTGTAAATATATTGCTAAAGTTGGTTCAGAAAATAAAGAGGAATCAAAGAAAAAGCTTACGATTACTACATGCATTATTACCAACCTGGACCATGTTCTTATGTCTCATACTTTATAATTACATATTCACTAAAATTTTATTGCTACGTGAAATTACTCAAATATCCTTTATCTTATTTTCTAATTTCCTTCTACACTATTTGCCCTAAAAATATTATTATTACTTATTTTTTATTATTATTATTATTATTATTATTATTATTATTATTATATACCTTATTTAGTTCTATTCGAAATGCTTATTTAAAGTTTTACAATAGATTAAAAAATAAAATACCCATTCGAAATGCTTATTTAAAGTTTTATAGTAGATTAAAAAATAATAGTATTTTATTGGTTACTGTAAGATATTTTGACTCTGTATATAAAGTAATTTTATCTGTAATGATATGTTTGTAATTTAGGTAAAAGTTAAAGATTGTTTGATATTAGTGTATGATTACTTTTAATAAAATAGAAAATGAATACTTTAAAATCAACTTACAAATAATAAAAAAAAAATACTTTGAGTTGGAACAAATAAAATATATTATTATTAAATATTATTTATCTTTACTTTAAGCTACGTTGGAAGTGGTGAAAAAAATTACACACCTTATAAGTCCCAAGTAAACTCCACTAGTACGAGGCTTTTTGGAGGATATCCAAAAACAAATTCGTGCGTGCTCAGTCCAAAGCGGACAAGGTGTTGGGTCACCCCACCGATTGAGGTAGTCAAACAGCGAGTCCTTTGTGATAGGCGATACAGGGGTGAGCAAAGAAGATCATTGGTTGGTCCTTGGTTTGAAGGAGGATTGTTGGGGTGCAAACCCTATAAATCCCGAGTGAACTCCAGTATTGAGTTAACTCAGTCCCAATAAGCTAAAGTGTTTGTATTTATTTTTTTTCTTCATTTTTCTATATATTTTTTCTTCTTTCTTTATATCTATATGTCACTCCAAATTTCTTATATGTATATATATATATATATTTGCGTTGTACTTTATCGCTTATCTTAAATTAATTTTTCATTATCTATTGAAATATTTTTATCTTACAAAACAAAATAAAATACTTGTCCAAAAGAAATTAAGTATATACGTACTTAATGAAAATATCTGTATAACTTAAATGAATTATAATTTATATATACAACAAATTTTCTTATATTACAAATTACTCGTGCAGTATAGTCGTACGGCTGAGTTGTAGTATATATATATATATATAAATGGGTGTGTGTTTTAATATTATTTTTATAGTATATAATGTATTTATAAAATATATTTTTTTATAAAAAAATTACATTCAATTTTTTTTTTCTATTTAAAGTATCATAGTTAAAACTTATTTTTAATTTAAAAAAATATTTAAAAATGTTTGTAAGTTTTAAAATATTTGATTTTGTTAGGAGGTGTTGTAGAATAGTACTTCTCTTTCTTTTAATTTTTTTTTTTAAATTAAAAAGATTTTAAAACATTTGAAAGTTTTATTTATTTATTTATTGACACTTTTTAAAAGAAATATTATTTATAAAATCATTTCAAACCAACAAGTATAAAACTATCAAAATTATACTAATTTGTTCGGCTCTAAGAGTCTCATTTACTTTTTGCGTGTTGATTTTTTAATATTAATTATTATATCAAAACTAGTACAAATTAAGAAAAAAATTACAAAAATACTTTCATTAGTGTTTTATAATACTAATAGAATGACATTTGTACAAAAAAAATTATACAAACACTACAAAAAAATATCAATTTTGTAATAAGATTTTTTCGTTGTTAAATCTATTTTTTCCGTTACTAATAATATTAGAGACGGAATTTGAGATAGAATTACGTTAGCTACGTGAACTTTAGGAACAGAATTCCGTTACAAATATACTATTTTTTTGTAATGAAATATATAGATATTTTGAATGTTAAGTACAATGACACAAAAGATAAACGTGACCCTTAGAAGCGGAGATAATACTATTTAAAAATCCGGCCAAGTAAAACATGCAAACAAAATAATAGTAGTACTTAGGGTCTTTATTTAGGACATTTCGGTTTGTTTCTTTAACCAAATTTTCTCAAATTTTACTATTTAAAAAATAATACATTTTTCTTCTTACAAAACATTTCATCAAACATTATTTTAATACCGAACCTAAATCAATTTTTCTCAAACTCAACTTAAAAGAAACAGTTGTTCATCACTTCCACAAAATTCTACACAAAAATACAACATATATATTATTACCAATAAAATATATTATTTTTTTTCATAAAGTATCCAAAAATTAAAGGAAAAAAAAATTAGAACATTTTCACAATTCCTAGGAATTAACAACAAAAAACCTTTAAAAAATTATACTCTCTTCGTCACATATCTATCTATCCGTTTATTTTTTTCACGAATTTTTAAAAATATTAGTATTATATTGTGATATAGTAGAAATAAAGGTAAAAAGACTGAATTAACTTTAGTGTTGTATGATATAAATGTAATAATATTTTTGTAATACATTGTAAATTGAAATAATATTTGTAATATTAGTTAGATAGTACAATTATTAAAAATAAAAATGAATACTTTATTATGTGACGGATCAAAATAAAAAAATGGATAGTTTGTTAAAAATGATGGAGTATATATTAACAGAACACAACTTAATTAAACTAAAATAAATTGTTGGGCTTGCAAGGAACGTTTCAAAGAATCTCAAAAAGTGAAAAATGACTCAAAGACAAAGGGACTTTGATTTTTTTTTAATTTTTCTCTATATATAATTATTGCCATTTCAAGAATTATGCTTTGCTGCTAGTCTTTGGAGTTTAGAAAAGTTCACATCAGCTTCTGAACTGATTACCGGCGGCGGCGGTGGTGGTGCCGGTGGTGGCTGTGTGGCGGCACTCCGGCAAGCCTTATATATATATACACATATTTATCGATCAATGGCTCCCGTTGGATTGCCTCCCGGTTTCAGATTCCATCCTACGGACGAAGAGCTAGTGAATTATTATCTCAAGAGGAAAATCCATGGCCATGAAATCGAGCTCGACATAATTCCTGAAGTCGATCTTTACAAATGCGAGCCGTGGGACTTAGCAGGTTCGTTTTGTAATAACTCGATATAATGTGGCATTCGATCTTCTAACATGAATTTTGAACAATGAGAAATTAGTTTAGGAAATTGGGAACATGAATTTTGAACAATGAGAAATTAGTTTAGGAAATTGGGAATGTCGCGCGAGACATTAGTCGACTAAGAGCATTCATGTGTATATATTCGTGTAACTAATTTTGGTGTACGAAGGGAGTTTATAATTAGAAAGATTAGATTTGAAATTTTATTTATGTAAAAAATATAAGATAACTAATTATAAAAGTCAATTATTGTATGTGATTACTTAATTAATATTTTATCTATGTAATTAAATTTATTTTCACTTTTATTTTCAGTCAGTCTATTAAATTTAATTATTATTAATATTTTCAAGTCAATATTTAATTACTATATCATATGTTCAACACTATTTATAATAAATATATTATCTTTATTATATTATCTCTTCACTCTTTCTTTTTTATTTATTTATAACTAAATTTTTAAAAATATTTTCAACTCTATTTTTACTTTTATCATTTTATTAATAAAATATTATTTTTCTTAATCTCTGTATCGGACTCGACTGCACTAATAATGTATCACTATGGGTAAATTGAACAAAATGTAGATCAATTATTATTATTTTTCTTCAATCTTGTTAATTAATACAATGCACTCAATATTAATCAATGTCGATCCTTAAAAACCCTTACATTTTACATGAATATAGTAGAATAATATATTTCTCCGTCCGCCTTTAAAGATCACATTTACATTTTATATCATTATACTTGACATTGAAAATATATATTTTTTTATACAAATGTCTTTTTATTAGTATTATAAGACACTAATGAAAGTATTTTTGCAATTTTTTTTTAATTTGTACTACGTTTTAATATAACAATTAATATTCAAATATCAACACGCAAAAAGTAAATAAGACCCTTAGAGCCCGACGGAGGTAGTATTTATTTCCCTTCAACTAAAATAAAATCCTATCTTGACTAGGTTTTTTTGGTATTTCAATCCTCTTGATAATTAATTATATATCTTGTAGAAAAATCGTTCTTACCTAGTCGAGATCCAGAATGGTATTTCTTCGGTCCAAGAGACCGCAAGTATCCAAATGGATTCAGAACAAACCGAGCAACCCGAGCTGGATATTGGAAATCTACAGGAAAAGATCGAAGAGTGAGTAGCCAAAACCGGGCAATCGGGATGAAGAAAACCCTAGTGTACTATAGAGGGAGAGCGCCTCAGGGCATCCGGACTGATTGGGTTATGCATGAATATCGACTCGATGAAAAAGAATGCGAAGACGCCTCCGGCATTCAAGTACGTAAATATTTTATTTTATTTATTTTTAGAAACTCTTTGCATTCACATAAATTATTTTTAGATTTAATGTTTTGGTGTGTTTTTCTTTTAATTTTTTTTAAAATAAAATGTGATATTTTTATATAAAAAATAAGTGTTGAGTACAACATATTAGAACATAATAATATATTATATAGTTAAAAAAATATAATATATATATATTATTCCAAGAACACACCCTTATACTAAATATTTAAGATTAACAAGATCTTATGAAATTTTACTAAAATCATGAATCTAAATGTAAATAAATATTGATAAAAAAATGTTTACAACTCTTATTTTCACTAAATAAATCATGAACTCTTATGATGATACAAGACAATTTTTTTTTTTTTTTAAAAAAAATAATTTTCCTTTATTTTCTTTTTTTTTTTTTTTTTTACTATATAATGGTGAGCTTGGATAAAAATACAATAGAATAATCGTTAAAAAAATAAATAAATAGAATAAAAATATAAAATAAACTCCAAAAGAACACTTATCTTTCAATTTTGGGAAGAGGATGAAAATCACCAAATTAAAGATGAATTGTGAGTAATTACTAATAGAAAAATTTTGAATTTGAAAATTTATTTGATAATGTATAAATATGTATTGTTGAATGTTATTTATTTTTTAAAATTATACTCCCTCGGTGGAAACAAAATATTCATTTTATTTTTGCATGTAAATTTTTTAATATTATTGATATTATATTTATATGTAGTACAAATCAAGAGAGAAATAAAAAATACTCATATTAGTGTTGTATATATATAAAAGTAATGACATTTGTATAATATATTACAAGTTATGAGGATATTTTTAATAGTAGGTATGTAATACAATTACCAAAACAAGAAAATTGATACTTTATTTTAGAACACACAAAAATAAATAAATAAATAAATATTTCCCTTGTCCTAATTCAAAATATTTTTTTTTTTATTTCTTTTTTACGGCTGTCCCATTTTAAAATATCATTTTCCTATTTTTCTTTTTTTAAAAAGTAACTATACACTAAAATACATATAACTTTTACTTAAATTGCAAATATACTATTACACATACAATTACTTTAAACATAAAGTCAAATGAAAAAAAATGTCAAAAAATTTTACACATTTTCAATGACTACTATAATAATATTATTTTTAAATTTATTAAAAAACCCCTAATTAAGGACCCATTTGATTTTAGACGAATAAATTACTTTCTTTCGAGATGGTGGGAATACAAAAAAAAAAAAAAAAAAAAAAAATTGATTTATTAATTTTTTTAGAGAAAAATAAATAGTGAAACTTAAATTTAAAACTCACAAAGAAAAAGACTTAGAGATGTCACCATTTGACTCTAAAAGCTCGAATATCTAAGCCAAAAATTTTCATGGTAAATAAAGCCATTTATTTCTCCAAAAAATTTCAGCATCACTCTTTTTAGTGTACAATTTAAAGGATGGATAAAAAGCAAGAGGGACTATATAACCTTTTACATGTGCCCTCACTCTAAAATCAAGTCATCAACATAGAAAATGAAGGTTGCGTTCTTTTTAGTGTTCTAAAATTTGGTATATATTGAAAATATTTTGAGGAATATTCCGATGTTGTTTGGGTGAAATAATTTTTATAATTATTTAAAAATTATGAGAAAGAAAAATAATTTTATTTTTATTAAAAAATATAGTTACTTTTCCTTTTCTTTTTTGAGAATAGTATAAAATAAAACAAGAAACACAATCGAAAAGTCTTGATGAATTTTTTTTATTACTATCGACACAATTCTCTATACTTCAAATCTATAAAAATTCAAATAAAAACACTAAACAAACAAACCCAAATCGTCTATAGGAATGAATAAATACTTGGGTAAATTATTTTTTTAGTCTTGTAACCATACTCTTTTATCATTTTAATCTTATAACTGAAAATTGTCTTAAAATAATCCTACAAGTGAAAAAATTTCGCATATTTAGTCCTCCGGCGCCGGATGCCTGGGTGGCATGAACACATGTCCTGAGCGTTTGATGGACACGTATCCTCCGGCATGCCACGCAAGTATCTTCTGCGTCGGAGGACTAAATATGCAATAAAAGTTCACTTATAAGATTATTTTAAGACAATATCAAATTACGAGACTAAATGATAAAAAGTCTAATTACGAGACTAAAAAAAACGTTTATCCTAAATAATTTACTTAAAAAGAAAGAACGTGAAGTGCATGGGAATGCATGGGGGAGTTTTCCTACTTTTGTGACCCATAATGATCCATATCTTTATTTGCCTTTTGTGTGTAGCAAATATTACCGTCATCCTTAATAATAATAATAATAATAATAATAATAATTAATTAATTAATTAATTAGGTGATACATTATTCTTTTCTTGGAGAGGTCTTTAGTGTGAGAGTGATATATCTCTCTTGAGTGACAAAGTTTTGCTTCACTTTTGTCTTTTGTATAATGAAATGAGACAAAAGTACCATTCTTCTATTACACTGAAATCTCATCCCTCTCTCTCTAGATATATATATATATATATATCTATCTATCTTGATCTAAATTAGAATCATGAACACATTCTTGCATGATAACTTAATTTTTATGATTATCCTTAAAGTATATATAGCACCATCTGCCTTCCCTTTCATTTTTCATGACCACTTTTCACTTTATTCTCCCACATTTTTTAATTAAAACCCAACCTATCATATATATATATATATATATATATAAAAGAGAGAGAGAGCTATTGCATAAGAATAGAGATATGTCTTTGTATTCCATTGTTATCTTTATAAATATATATATATATATATATGTATATTGGTCGAGTCTGGTGTATAGATAAATATTTGAATGATGTGTATTCTTAACCGTATTAACTTTTAGGTATGACGACGATTATTTATATTATATAGGTATCAGAACTTTAATCTTGAATTTGAGTCTCACCAGTACAAATATGTATATATATATATGTTGGCCGAGTCTGTGTATAGATAAATAAATGAATTATGTATATTCTTAGCAATTTTAACTTTCAGGTAAGAGGATGATTTATATCACGTAGGTATCAGAACCTTAGTCTCGAATTCGAGTCTCACCGTCCCGGTGGAATATCTTATATCTTTGAATTAATTATAATTATCCAATTATTGTTATAAATAGAAACCCTAATCTTAATTTTTTACAATTTATTTGACTATATATGCTGATTCATTAAATTAATCAGTGCAATACAAAGATTTGTTTGAGGCTTGTTTCTTAAAATTTGTTTTTTTTTTTTTTTTATGATGTTTTAAATTTTCTTTTTTTTAAGTTTGAATTTTATTACTATGTCGTGCTTTTTTATTATTATTATTTTTTAATTAGCATGGTATTTCATCCAAATTTCTTTTTATATTAACTTTAAAATTGGCAGTAAATAGTGTATCAAACCAAATCTAACAGTCCCAACTATTGACCAAAAAAGGACTTCCCTATAATACTTTTTACCTGTCTATGCTTTCAAAAATATTTTGAAAATTTATATAATGTTGTTTATAGTTTTTATTATATTTTATATGTTTTATAGGAAAAAATAAAATATTTTTCACTAAAACATATAATTTTTTAATACGAAATGGTATAAAAGATAAAATAACAAAACATATATATTTTACACATGTATAAAGGATTGCGCGTGATTTTTATTAACTTGAATTATATAATTTATATATATATATATATGTGTGTGTGATGATTTTTACAAAAAAGAAAAATGAGTTCACAAGATTTGGTATATAATTTAGTTTGACTCTATTTGATTTTAAAGAAAGAAATTTGAATTCTCTCTTATTTTCAAATACTTCGAATTTTAAATATATTGTTTTAAGATTTGAAAACATTTCAAATCACTTAATATTAAATACTATTTGAAATTCTAGGAGAATGGATTTGAAAATCTACTAATTTTATATATATGAAACACACGTGCTACCAAACAAAACAAATTAGTTGTTTTGCAACATTTTCTAGAGACATAGCGTGGGTTGACTCTCGTCTGTAAATAAATAATTATGCATATCCCTAAAAGTTTATTTTAGATAAAACGGTCATTTAATTTACATCATCTAATATGGTATCAAAACTTTTTTGGACTCGAATTTACATCATTTAACATGGTATCAGAGTTTTAGTTCGAGTCCCACCGTTTCTCATTTGTCGTTGTCCAAGTTTAAAATTATTAGATGAGATAGTCATTTACATCATCGAACACATAACTATCACCTAAACAAGAGTGTATGTACATAGGGGCTTAGGGCAGAAAGTTTATATATTTATACTAAATTGTCTCCTCTAAATTTAACTTTGTGTGTCCATTATGTCTTTATTTTCTTTTTCTTCTCGGCACTATGATCGAAAACTTCATCTAATAATTTTTTTTACGGTTAATTAATCGCAGGACTCGTACGCGCTATGCCGTGTTTTCAAGAAAAACGGGTTGTGCTCCGAGGTCGAGGACCAGTTAGGACAACCTAGCAACATGTCATTGCTTGAGTATACACATGGAATTACAATGATCGATCACAAAACTTTGTCACCCGACTTTCTTTCCCCATCGTCGTCCTCTGCCGCTGCTGCCGTCACGTGCATCGAAGAAGAAGATAAAGAGGACAAAGATGAATCATGGATGCAATTTATACAAGATGAAGTGTGGTGTTCTTCCAAAACAACCTTTGGAGGAGAAGAGGTGTCTCAAGGGGCATTCATCAATTACAATGATCCATAACTAATCAAACACAATCATTTATTTCAAATAATAAAAAAGTTAGTATTCCACATTACTCTAATTTTTCGGCAAAAATATTTATAATTCATCTGTAATTTGGAAAGTTTGCAATTCATACTCTTTCAAGAAGTTCCATAATCTCCAAAAAAATTGTGTGAGGTTTGCTTGTATTTAAAAAAATATTATACTTTTAAAAAAATTATGTACAATATTTTTAAAATATAAGGAAATCTCATATAATTTTAAAATTATAAAGAGATCGATGGTTTAACTAATTAAGTCTATATATGTAATAAAAGGACATATTTATTAATACCCTTCAAAGTGGTCAAATTCGAAAGAAACAAATGGGAATCATTATTAACTATGTATCGACATTTGTAGTTTGCTGTTCTTATTTAAGAGATTCATCTTCATCTTCTGTTGTCCAAACATAGTTATCAGCACATGGCATTTAATTAGTTCATGGGGTGGGGGAGGGGTTTATCTATCTTGCAAAATTTTATTGATTCAGTAGTCAATTTTTTCCCACATCCGTCGACTTAGGTAAAATATACTGTTCCTAAGTCCAATGCATAGCTGTGTGTGTCTGTTTTGTATTTTTTTTTTTTTTATAGATGTATTTTTATGTTAGGTACAAAGAGTTGTATTGGTAATATAAAAAAAATATTCACTATGTCCATCTAAGGTGCAATATTTTGATTCCTACACTAGAATTTAGGTGAGAATAAAATGAGAATCAGGTGATGTGATGAGAGATGAGTGATATGATTAGATAAAGTATAATATATTATTTTTTATTTTAAAAATATTTCAGAGGTGGCACAAAGCAAAATAGAAATTTCAGGATAGGATATGTGTAACGAATTGAGTAATATTTGTGTTAAATGATTAATAGTTGATAGAGTATATATTATATATTGTGTATGATTACATATATGCATTTTTTTAAATAATATTTATCGAAAATTGTTAAAAAAAAAAAAAAAAAAGAGTGAATGCACTCAATGTGTTCTTCTTATGGGGATTTTCGCTAAAAGAACTGTTAGAAGTAGGGAAGTTGTAGGATTTTTAGTTATTAAAAATTATAAATATGTTCTAAAATTTAAATTATAATGTTGCTTAGATGAAACAGTTTTTATTATTCTAAAATATTTTTCAAAATTAAAATAGAGTATTTTTATTGAAAAATATAAGTAAAAAAAATATATATATATTGAGATCAATAGAGAAGATAAAAGAACAATTATTTTAGAAGCCGTAGAGATTTTTCCTCAAAATAAGTAATATTATTTTGGAGAGTATAGCACAATACTTTTGGAGATCATGAAATCCTTAGAATTAGTGTGTGATCTTGCTGAATTTTTTTTCTTTATTTTATTTTATTTATAACATAGGAATTTGCAGTCGATACTTTTCGAGTGCGTTCTTGATAAATTTCTGATCAAACCTAATCGTATGCAAATCTTTTTGATTTTTTTTCTTGGTTTTGAATGGGTTGGGACATAAATTTCATGAGTGAATGGATGGAGGTAGTTTATGAAGAAGACTAGTTTATCGTAGAGATGTTCATTTTAAGCTTTTATCTTAAATTTCTACTACTTAATTTTTATATATTTTTTTCTCTTGTAAAAAAACATATAAAAATATATAGTACAATACAAATCACAAATCTAAAATAATTATAATAAAAGATAATCTCTCATATGAAGCATAGACAAACACAAAAAAAGAAAAATACATGATTTGTTTACTTGGTATATTTTTATTTTTATTTATATATTATTATTGTCATTGAAATGAAATAATTATTGAAAGTAATATTTTGTGTGGAAAAAGATATTAAATACAATATTTTATAAAAATTTTAAAAGTAGAATAATAAAATAAATGGAAAAGAATAACGAAGTAAACACACACCTTGGGTATGTCTATGCCTTGCGAGGACAACATATTCCTTTAACGACAAATTGGTTATTTTTCAAGTACTCTCTGAATAAATTACTGATCGAATAAATCGAAAATTTGAATTTATAACTTTACGATTACAAATTTACCCCCACAGTACTAAAATATTCCTTACGAGACCATAATTTAAAATAATAGTACTCCAAATGTTGGTCACAATTTGGACTGAATTGAGGGATCAATTTTGTATGTTTTGTTGTCTTTACATTTTATAATATTCTATATTATTATCCATTCTATAATTTTGTGCGAACACACCTTATGATCGCGAGTCCATCCTCGTACTATCAGGTAAGACAGTTTTGTGTATAAATTAAACGCACAACATAATGAGCTAGCTTAATTTTTCAACAATATAGATCTATTTAGAAAGTTAAATGTCATTGTTAATTATCTTTTTATGGTCTCAAAACTTCTTACTATTATTTTCCACTGAAAATATGGCATGCAATATGTACTTTCAATACAAAATAACAGATCCAATCATTATTTTACATAAAAAAATAAATAATAACCTTAAAAAATAAAAATATATAGGAGGAGGATCATATCACATAATAATTATTTGATTAGGTTATCATATTACATAAAGATATACATCATATATTTTTATATAACACAATATATGTTATAAAATAGCATATGTTAAATTATAACATAATATATTATTATAAATATGCTACCAAAAAAAGTATATAATATATGCTATAATAGTTTGCAAATAATGTTAATTTTAATCCACATAGTAAGAATGATAGCGAGGGTGGAGATGGAAATGGAAATGGATTCATTTCCCAAATATGATCGGGTTTGTTCATCCGACAGATTATGGATGAATATTAATAAATATATATATATATATATACATGTATCCATATAATATAAATAATAAGTATATATTTTATTCTCTTATAAAAAAATAATATTTCAATAAAAAAATATTATATATTATATTATCTACACAATTCATCCTATCTCACAAATATATATATATATATATACAAACTAAAAATACTAAACAAACATTTGCTAATTTTAGGTTCATTAGTCAATATTTTCATGTTCAAAAAATATAGCTTAGGTAAAAAAAACTGTTACAAAGTCTTCATTGATAGATAAGCATTGCGCATAATAATTGTAAGTGTTTGTTTGGGGGTTTCGATTTGACAAGTAAAATTTTGAATTTGAATAATTGTTTGATATGATATAATTAAAAATCGATAATATAATTTGAATGTAAAATTAATTTTTGTATAATATAAATAAAAATAAAAACAATATATATATTTATCATGGGTGTGTTTGTGTTGGGGAAGCAATTTATCGAACAAAATACATTCGTATACTTTAAAGGGCCAACTCCCGAAGCGTGGATGGTTCACAGTTATAACAACGTTTCAACAAGGAAAGACAATGCAGAAATAACACAACAATGAACAAGGTGTTTGTTGACCCGGTTCGATTATCAACAAATCTATATCCGGGGATACCAATCCAAGAGAAATTCCACTAACAAGTGCTGATTAAGGACACAAACAACCACAACTCATTTAATTGAAATGCTAGTCATGGCTAACCCAGGAAAATACCTCATAAGGTTCTCGTTGCTACAACCTCGTACTAACAACAACCACATAACAAAGAAGTCCATAGCTTGATCATTCCCTCCGGTTGGAACTCCATTAATTCCGAACACTTTCGCCATCTTCAGTTGATATCAATGTAGAACCCACATTCAAAATGTCGAAGAGTTGAACTGGATGAGTGGTGAGAGCTTCTCTCAATAATCTTCTCTCTAAAATTTGCACACCAACTCACACTGCACAAAGTTTGTCTTTTTTGATTTTATAAGCAATGTTTTCTTGGTAAGAACACCATTCTCATTAATTTCTTTTAGCATAGAAATTGATGGAGTGTTCTTCAATGTTCTGCACGAGTTTGACCATCCTCCAAATATCAAGTTTGTCTGTTGTGGGCATTAAATGGATTGGACAAAAAGATAAAGTCAAGCCCACAATTTCAGTCTGCAATACGGTTGTTGTGACAACCTTCCTGCAACCTACGAAAATTAAAAAAGAAAAAGTTGTTGCACGGAAATGGAAAGCAACTTTGTCTATTGCCAAAAGTAAAAAGATATATATATATTGTGATGATCTAAGGACATAGACTTGAGAATTAAAGTAAATATTTAATATAATATTTTAAATGAAATTTAATTTTTTACTTAGTATTAATCTGATTTTATAATTTTGTTTTTAAATAATGAATAGCAAAATTGTGTCACAAACCCATGTCGTAATGCAAGTGTACAACCAAAAGTATACAAGCAAATTAAGCACATTATGGATAAAATTAAATTGTGCTTATGTGTTATTATTTCCTTTAGTGGGAATCTAATCACCAATCAACGTGTATAGTTTCTTACATATATATTTACTTATTTATATTCGTAATCGACATCATCATTCCAAGAATTAATCACAACCATTGGTTTCTTTCAATATCCACCATTACCAACCATTAGAGCAAGATTCATCCTGTGCACGAATCCCGCAAAAACATCTCTTATAGTCAATATCTCTACTATATTATTTGTTATTATTATTATTTTGTTAAATTTCACAAAATTTATGTGTGGTTTTATAAAATTGCGCTAAATATCCTATACTTTTAAAATTGCGTTAAACTCTCTCTTAGTTTCATAAACTCTGCATCTAACCCCTCGACGGTCCTTATTTAATGGTATTTGACCTAAATACGCCCAAATTACAAATAAATTTTAAAATCTCAATTTTTAAACTCCTAAAATTACAAATATATTTATTTTTTTATGTTTAGCCTAAAAAAATAGTAAATATACTAAAAAATAGTTATTTTCTCAGTTTTTAAGAGTTTATTTTTACTGTTTTTTAGGTTAAATATAAGAAAAATAAATATATTTGTAATTTTAGGGATTTAGAAATTGAATTTTTAAAATTTATTCGCAGTTTGGACACATTTAAGTCAAATACCATTAAATAAGGACCGGCGAGGGGTTAAACGCAGAATTTATGAAACCACGAGGGAGTTTAACGCAG